TGTGCGTATGGCTTTTAAATTATTACAAAAACTAGAATTTAAAAACAAATCGGAAGGTAGGGCAAATTATTGGTTCCGTGTGGTTGATACCCATATCAACTATGTTGTATATTAAGAAAAAAAAATTGTTCAAATTGTGCTACTTGACACTTCAACTATATACCAATATATCAACCATATAAGACATTTAATAAGCCGGAATTATCACTACCTACCTCTGAACTAAAACTTTTCAAGCTTGAATATATTGCCACACAAACCAAAGGATTATATGTTCTCAATCTCGAAAGGGGTGATGATAGATAGGTACTCTGAAACCATTTCACGTTAAAAAATAAAAATAAAAATAAAAAACTCACTTATGTATGAAAAATTCCAATGACAGGGTGTGATCGTACCAGCCAATAACACTACATTTCATCTTTAAGTCCCAGAGTTAAACGTGTTTTGCCGAGTGTAGAACCAGGATGGATGTGATGAAATCATTAAATATAACATTTATTCCATATCCTAACGAAAAAGACCACACATTATAAGTGGATTATACTTTTGGAACGGAAAAAGTAAGTACGCTGGCAAGTGAATATTCTTCCTGTTTTCACCTACGTACATGCCACATTTTGATCGTTTATCAAATTGTTTCACGAAATCCCATTTTGTTTAATTATCGAATTGTTTCGTTACATAAATTCACTATTTCTACTATCATTCCTCCAAATATTTGAGTAAGATATTAAGGGTTAGAAGAGTTGTAACCCAATAATCCAAAGAGGGTTGTAAAACGCTCAAAATGTCCAAACTTTACAGGGTTGCACCAGGAATTGTGGAACATTCCATGCTGTGTTGTTTGAAATTCCAACTTCCATGCATGTTTGGTTGCTGAGGATCAGGTTCAACAAAAATAAAAAATAAAAATAAAAAATAATGGGAAACAACTTCTTCCATTTTTTTGGAGTTTGTGGGAGACAGAAAAAAGTAGGGGGAGAAATCTGATGTCGACGTATTGACGAATTAATAATGCTAGTGGGGGAATTAAAAAAGAAAATGAAGAAGAAAAAGTTTGAGATAGGAAATGAAAACAAAAAGCCAAAAGGCATCTTTTGCAATTTGCAAGCGCTAATCTGGCCCAATCCGTACTGGGGAAGACAATTAAAAAAGGAGATTATCAGCTTTCTAACGCTTTTACATTTTGGACAAAATATGATCCAGTGTACGTGTGTATGAATCAAATTTGTAATCATGGATTAGTTTTACATTTGTTATTATTTACTACTACAGTATGCAATTTTTCACATTATTTCATCACTAAACTACCAGCTTAATGCTAATCTTGTGTATTTATTGCGACTTTTCGTTTGGTATATATACAAATGGAGGCAAAGCCCAAAAGTAACTGTGCAACCACCTTAAATAATACTCCCTCCGATGCATTTTGATTTCGTCCTAAGTTTCACTTAATATATATTTTTAATTGAAATAAAAACTTTAAAAACATTTCATATAATTATGAGAACACAACAAATGTGATAATATATACAAAGTCTTGTTTCAAAAAAATTAACTAATCTTAGTTTTTATGAACAGTTAGAAAATGACTATTCAATTTGTATTTCATTATCATGTACTCCCTCCGTACCATAATTATTGTCCAGTTTGAGTTTTTATTTTTAGTTTAAATTGTATTAAAAGTGGAATCTCAAATTGGACAATAATTTTGGGACAGCGGGAGGGAGTATATATTAGTATGACTTTTAATTGGTGAGTTTTGATAGTTTCATAGGATCATGAATGTTTGTAAAATGTACTCTTAACTTCTCATATTTACAATTGAAGCATATATGCTATACCATAATATTCGCACGCACCACACGGCAGATCTTGAAAATGAATAAACCCTCCCGTGTATATGTATTTTACTGTTTGAATATGCTTTTCTTACCGCTTTTAGGAAATGGTTGAACTAATTATCTATGCAAAAAAAAAGAAAAAAAAAAGATAAGCTGACTAGGGGGAATAAACTTTATCAAGTTTGACCTTTTATATAAGAATTCGCATCCAAGGAAAACAAATTACTGTAGACGATGTAGAAATGCTTTTATTTCTCTGGTCGGTCGTCCCTCCAAAAGTGCAAAGCCAAATTATATAGAGAGAAATTCGTATTATTAAGACTTGTTTAGGACTTAATGAGAATTAGGGGGTCAGCTTACGCTGTTACGCGTCTGGAGGCCTAGACATGGACTGATCGACTTTCCTACATCCTTGAATTTTCATGGACGGTGGTTGAAAATTTCTACTTCGTACATTTTATATATTATTATTCTTATAATTTGATCTATAACTATAACTTTTTTTAAAACATAAAGTTGTGATGCCAAATGTTGTCCTTTAATAAACATGCTAGGAATCTTGTATTCGATCTGAGTGTATCTAGCCATAAGTTGTGATAATTTTGACACGTATAATTCTCTTATATATATCGACAGCCAAAATCACCCGTACAATTTTTTTTTTCCCCAAAAGAAATTAAAGTCGTCAAGGTAAGGACTATTAGTATTGTCACCTATAGTATCCAATCAATTTTTAGACAAAAATATACTCCCTCCGTCCCATAATTATTGTCCAGTTTTACTAAAATGAAAAATTTTATTTTTGGTCAAACTTAACTATATTTTACCTTAAACAACCGGATATACCCCTACACAAGTAATTATTTAACTACTAAGATTTTATGGATAATATTTTTTACTAAGGACAAATGTGTAACTTGATCCATAAAAAGTCAAATTGGACAATAATTTTGGGACAAAATTTTTTGGGCAAAGTGAACAATAATTATGGGACGGAGGGAGTATATGTGAAGTGAATCAGTATCGGGTTTTACTTTAACAAAAGCTAAGATAAGAGTATTAAAAAAAAAAAAAAAAAAAAAAAACCCTCCACTTATATGTAGTAAGATTTCACATCAAACCTATCTATCATCCATAGGGATATTATGCATATGTGAATGAACTATATATATATATATATATATATATATATATATATATATATATATACCAAGAAATTATTCTTCAGCTGCATCAATTCTTAGAGTGAGCCGCGAGGAACAAAAAGCCAAAATGATGATACTTCTTTAAAGCTTAAATTCCTTCTCTCAGTCCTTGCAAATTTAAGCACAGCCAAACCCGCCCGCACGTTTGCAGCCAGATATATAACGCAAAAACCAAAATTAATTTGGTGCAGAAGAGGAACATTTCTGACAGCCAAGCACAACTACAATAAATAAATAAATAAAGAATTGGTCTTTTGAATTTGAGGCAACCAACAATTTGACACACGATTTTAATCACGATCACCACCAACTAAATTAATCATTAAGCCATTTTTGATAATACAAAATAGGGCACACAATTGGGTGAAGAAGAAGTTCGTCCCAAATTGTAGTTCCAGTCCTATTATATGTGGGGGGAAAAAAAAGGCAAATTGGATTAAATTTTGATTGGTCATCGATTCGATATTAGACCAAATCTTACAGCTTACTAATTAGTACTACTACTAATGTCTAGTATACATCTGATTTCCACATGTCTATATTCCCTAAACCTATCATTCCATAAACTTTTAAAGTTTTGTGTTTAACTTCGAGCTACTAAAAATGGTGATCAACTAATCATTGCATGTTGCATTCCTTCATCATTCCATGCATACATCATCAAAGTGGCAAATAGAGGGGAATAGCTAATCACAAAACTACATTAGCTCCAAATGTCACAAGTATTAGATCAATTCAACCAAGACAATAGTTAGAATCCCAGTATGTAATAAGAGGCTAAATATCTTCGTACATCACAATTTTATAACACTTTTAAACCATCATATAAAATTTGTCGCATATTTCTATTTAATTATTATTTTCTTTTATTAAAATTTTATTAACACCTTAACTCATTATTAGATGAACCCGTCAGAGATATGTATCAAAATCTTAGAGAATAATGTAGTAAGTGATTCAGAATTATGGTGTAGGAGTGTTATTTCAATTGGTAGAGATCCGCCACCAAAAAAAATAAAAAAAAGAATTTTTAAATAGTTTTACTTTTGTAAAAGATTTACTGCATATCTAGCTCGAATCTATGTTAGTGGATAGTAATTTTGAACACGAAATATATATATTACTAACAGGTCAACGTGATAAAGATTAGTAACTTATGAAAATGCAAAAACGCCAAATCACTCTTTTAGTCACTGTTTTATTTCATTATATATATACTAGTGATGTCTGGTCGCGCAATGCGCGACCCTTGCCCAGTCTACCTATAGATCTTAGAAATATTTATATTTGAAAAAAAATAAAATTTTGTATTTGTAGCGATATATTTTAGAAATGTTTGAAGGATTTAGAAATATTTTATAAGTGTGATCATAGAAATATTTGTATTTCACACAAAAAAAAAGAAATTGTATTTCGCCATGTATGTTTTAGAAATGTTTTATAAATGTTACTTATTAAATATAAATAGCCTTAATCGAATAAATGTGTTGAAGTAAATGTTAGATAAAATATAAAAGCATCCTAATAAATTTAAATATTAGTAAGATGATTTATTGATATTCTCCATTGGTCGTGCCAAATCAATACTTAGTTTTGGTGATTTTTAATAGTTTTGTAATAAACTTCATCCGAAGGGTATACGCTTAAAACAAAGTTGACATTTTGTAACAAAAACCTAATTGATCAATTCAATTTAAAAAACCACTCTAGTTGAATGAAACATAAAGAAAAAATTAAAAAAAAAAAAAACGTGTCACGTAAAGTGCAAAGGGAAATTTAGTAATTTAGTTATTGTTAGATAAAAGGGCAATTTAGTACTTTCTACATGCCACGTGGCAAACATATGAGGTGTTTGAAAGGGAGGTTTTTGTTTCTAATATAGTATAGTATAGTAGGTATATATATATATCATTTTCCAACAAAAAATTCTATCAACGTTTCTTGAAATGGGTTGGGCTTGGAATACGCTTTCCTTGAGGCCTGGGCTACATACGCGCTTTCACAAATTCTGTTTGGACACTTCTTTTATGGACTAGAAGCAAGTCCGCTTCATATGGGCCACGTTTTTGGTACATCATCAACCAGTAATTTTATCGGCAAATTACTAGGGACTTCTCCTCCGACTAAAGTTTTATCGCCGGTGAGGCGGTGACCAGTGCTTCGACCGTGCTCAGGATATTTGTAAAGTAGTATATATCCCTTATCAGTCCAGACACCATAAACTCAAATCTTCGGATTTCCTTCTGATTTTGCCGGGGTTCCGTTAGCTTGACGACCTTCCTTAGTGGGACTTTTGTGTTTACTGTATCGGATACTCTTTCTTTTTGGAAATTATCGGAGTACTAAGATTTTAGTTTCCTTGGAAATTCTTGTGTCTATCTTATCTAAACTAGATTAAGCAACTGTTGACTGTTAATTGTCTGTTTTTGAGGGATGAAATTAAAGAAGAGAGAGGGAGGGAAAGTGGGTTGATTGGATGGATGCGGTGTGGACCTGAGTCACCATTACTTTTTGTTCATATCTTAGTCGTCCCTATTTATTTCACTATCTTTGAGAAAATCCCTCTCAGTAAAAAAATCTTCAACATCAACAATGGCAGCTGTTCCATCCCTCGAACTCAGGCCCCTCGGCAACACCGGTCTCAAACTCAGTTCTGTCGGCTTCGGAGCCTCCCCACTGGGTCGTGTCTTCGGCCCTGTCTCAGAGGAGGAAGCCATCTTTTCCGTTGGAGAAGCCTTTCGCCTTGGCATTAACTTCTTTGATACCTCACCGTAAGCCCACTTGCTTTTTTAGTGTTCTGGTGATTCTTTTATTCCGATTTTTTTCTTAATCAGTTTCTGGGTTAAGCATCAATTCCCTGGATTTCGAGGTTTCCTTTGTGTTCTGTTTCAGTTACTATGGAGGGACATTATCGGAGAAAATGTTGGGGAAGGGTTTGAAAGCACTTGGAGTGCCTAGGGATCAGTACATTGTGTCCACAAAATGTGGGAGGTATAAAGAGGGTTTTGATTTTAGCGCCGAAAGGGTGACTAGGAGCATTGATGAGAGCTTGGAAAGATTGCAACTTGATTATGTGGATATCTTGCATTGCCATGACATTGAGTTTGGTTCTCTTGATCAGGTCCTACTTTCATGTTCTTTGGAGTTTCATCTAAATTCAGCTTCTTCTTCTTTTTTCAGTTTTCTAGTAGTACTAGGTGTTAAGTATTGCGTTCTGTTCCTGTTTGGAACCCTTAGATGTGGATAATTATAAATTAACTATCAACCCTGTGCCTACTTCCTGGTTTCTTGAAATAGATTGTGAATGAGACGATTCCTGCTCTTTTGGAAATTAAGAAAGCAGGGAAGACACGGTTCATTGGTATTACTGGACTGCCATTGGGAATTTTCAACTATGTGCTCGACCGTGTTCCACCAGACACAGTTGATGTAATTCTCTCCTACTGTCACTATAGTATCAACGATACCACATTGGAGGATATGTTGCCTTACTTGAAGAGTAAAGGAGTTGGAGTGATTACCGCTTCACCACTGGCAATGGGACTCCTTACTGAAAGTGGCCCCCCAGACTGGCACCCTGCTCCTCCTGAACTCAAGGTTCGGCTCCCTCTCTCTTTGATCAACAAGTGTAGTAATTTCTTTATGAGCTAGTTATGCTGTTCCCCCTGGACATGTAATTGTTTGTTAGCATTTAAGACTTTAAGTTTGATTCACTTTGCCATTTCTGTAATCTCCTGCTAGTTTATTCATGTTAACAAGTTTTGTTTCAGTGAATATACTAATAAGTTTTGTGTGTGACCTAACCTGACCTTTCAACTTCTCAAAAGTTTTGTTGGGTTGCTTTAGTTAGATTATGCACATTTTTTGTTTGATTTGATCATGTCTTAATCTCATCACTTGCAGGAATGCTTTAAGTAGATTTTGTTCTTCTTTTTTTGCTTGATTTGATTATGAAGTTATTATCTCACCAAATAAACAGAAGCGACGCCATACTGCAGTATGATTAGTTTTAGTTGTGAAGAACTTTGATTCACACAGGAAAAAGAAGGGAATAAATCTGAAAATAATCTCTAAGATTGTATGGTCTATGAAACTGATAAGAGCTGGTTGTGGCATCAGTCCCCGAGGGCAGTATAGGAACCATGATGAAAAGACAAAATACTTCAGTAACTGAAGTTAGCCTGTTTGCAGTATGGATTAAATTCATCAAATCTTTATTTTGTTTAGCGCCCTTAGCTGATGTTATGTGGTGGTGGGTTTTTTTTTTTTTTGGTCGATAAATCTTTCACCAGTGACTTCAGAATTTGATTGTTGAATCATCGCAATGCTGGCTTTTTTTCTTCAGGCTGCCTGCAAAACTGCTGCTGATTACTGTAAGGAAAAGGGAAAGGATGTATCAAAATTGTCTCTGCAGTTTAGCTTATCAAATAAAGACATCTCTACCGTTCTTGTTGGAATGAACTCTGTCTCACAGGTATGTTTTTTTACGTGAATCTTGTCATTGACGTAGTTTAATTAATAGTTTGGCTTTTTAGAGAACTAATAACCTCTTTGCTATGCTATCTAGCTTTATTTTCCTTTCACACTACATGGCAAGATTCACATCCTACTCTGGAACCATTCTGTTCTTTTCATTTCAAAGATGTATAACTGGGAATACCTGACCGGGCAATGCCATTCCTCTTATTGGAATATGTGCATCAAAAGGTTAGGAACATCGAGCCATATTTGATGTTTCGAGGGGTAGTCAATTGAGGTTTTGTAGTTACTTCACTTATTTGAGAAAAAACGATAACTTCTTGTTGCTTCTCTTGTGGATATATGTGATTATCTTTCTAAAACTTATAGCTAAATGATCTCACTGTCCACCTGTTAGGCTGTTCCTCTTTGTGTAGATTGATCATATCTTTGTTTTGATAATGACTTTTGAGACTAAAGCTTTGTTTATTATCAGGTTCAAATGAATGTATCTGCTGCTAAAGAGCTTGAAGCAGTTGGAATAGATGGAAAAACATTATCTGAAGTTGAAGACATTTTGAAGCCTGTTAAAAATCTTACATGGCCAAGCGGCATTCAACAGGTTTGATATGCTATGTCAAGGTTCACATGCTGGCTGCTGAGCACTGTTTCTGTGACCCCAAATAATGTGTATTTTTCTTTCTGGGTCAGATAGGTGATTTACTCGGCAGAGAATTGCATCCAATGTGTAATTGGTCGAATCCTAATGAACTATAGTATTTCTTTGTTCTAATCCAAAGGAATGTGATGTCTCTATTTCAGTATATAATTTCAAGTTTCTTCTGAAAAGCAAGAGGCAATTCGAAATTTCCTGTAATAAAGTAATTCAAAAAGTCGGGGAGCACTTTGATATCAAATGGCACTTTGCATGTAATTCCTCAAATAAGACCGTTACCAACTTAAAAATTGTAGCCTTAACTGTAATCTTAAATCTTAATGGTGCAGAAATGGTATAAATAATTACAGTCAACAGGAGTTTTTTCATGTGAACAGAAGCGTTACAACTGTCAAATTGTAACGTTAACTGTAAATTGCAGAAAAAGCTAAAATATTGCGAAACTCAAAGCTGCATTAAAACAAATGAGATGACACATGTAGTTTGTTACGTGTGTTTAAAACAAAGAGTGGGAAACAATTCATAACGGCTGCTACTCAAGTTTTGATTAGTAGGATCCAAGTCAGATCATCATCATCCGAGGTAGTCACTGCTTGCTTAGTTCTTCACTACTAGTTTTTAGTTCCTATTACCTGTTGGCACAGACAAGATTCCTCCGCAAGATTTTTTTCTACCAAAGGCCTTAGAAAAAACAATGGTGGCTGCTTCAGTCCTCGAGCTCAGGCCCCTCAGCAACACCGGGCTCAAGCTCAGTTGCATCGGCTTCGGCGCTGCACCACTAGGTCTTGTCTATGGCCTTGTTTCGGAGGAGGAAGCGATCATCTCCGTCACCGAAGCATTCCGCCTTGGCATCAACTTCTTTGACACCTCGCCGTAAATCCACTTGAACTGAATGTGGTATTTATTTTTGTATATTCAGATGTGTTTCATTTTCCACATTACTTAAAATTCACATGCATTGACTTTTTCAGGTATTATGGGGATACATTGTCTGAGAAAATGTTGGGAAAAGGCTTGAAAGCACTTGGGGTGCCAAGACATGAGTACATTGTATCCACTAAATGTGGAAGGTATATGGAAGGATTTGATTTTAGTACCGAAAGGGTAGCTAGAAGCATTGATGAAAGCTTGGAAAGGCTGCAACTTGATTATGTGGATATATTGCTTTGTCATGATATAGAGTTTGGTTCTCTTGATCAGGTCAGTTCGCATATTTTCTTGGTATAGCTAGCAAGAGATAAGTGTTGTGGTCTCTGTGTTCTGTTTGGAACATTTATGTTTACTTCATATCTTCTCGAAACAGATTGTGAATGAGACGATCCCTGCACTTTTGAAAATAAAAGAAGCGGGGAAGGCCCGATTCATTGGTTTTTCTGGATTGCCATTGGGGATTTTCAGTTATGTGCTTGATCGGGTTCCACCGGGCACAATTGATGTAATTCTTTCGTATTGTCATTATAGTATCAATGATACCACATTGGAGGATCTATTGCCTTACTTGAGGAGCAAAGGAGTTGGAGTGATTAGTGCTTCTCCAATGGCTATGGGGCTTCTTACTGAAAACGGCCCCCCGGATTGGCACCCTGCTACACCTGTACTCAAGGTTTGGGTCTCCCCTTTAAAGATGAAATGTTAGCTTAATTTCCAGCCTGCTCGCAGTTAATCTCTGTTCGATTACGCATACTTGGATTAAGTTTTAACCATTTTCTGGTGGATAAAAACTACTGTATTAATCATGAACATATCATTTTTTTTTTCATCAGACCGCATGCAAAGCTGCTGCAGACTATTGTAAGGTTGAGGGGAAAAACATATCCAAGTTGGCGTTGCAATTTAGCTTATCAAATAAAGACATCTCCACAGTTCTGGTTGGAATGAATTGTGCCACACAGGTTCTGTTTTCCTTATTTCCACATATGATTGAATTCTCTTACTGTTTTTTTCCTCGATCCGCTGCCAACGATCAGCCTGAAAGTTTCATAATAACTTTTGACACAAATGATGTTTGATTACCAGGTCCAAAAGAATGTATCTGCTGCTAAAGAGCTTGAAATGGAGGGAAAAGATAAACAAACATTATCTGACATTGAAGACATTTTGAAGCATGTCAAAAATTTGACATGGGCTAGCGGCATTCAACAGGTCTGATCAGGATATAGTCAGTCGAACTGGTTCGCCTTTTGAGACGTTGCTATGAAACCCAAACGATGTGTTCTTTCTGGGTGTCAAATATAGATGTAAGTTTATTTTACTCCAGCTATTTATCGACTTATCGTGCCCAATGAACTACATTTTCTTCGGCATTGTTCAAGGAATGCTATGCTTCTCTGATAATAGGCTGAATGATGCATCTATCTAGTTTTCGCAATTTGAAATTTCGTTCAAGAAACACCGTATAAAAACATAATACATGGGTATTATATAGGATCAACAAATAAAGGCATGATAAATGATCGATATTCTACTTAGTACAGTCGGTCACTAATTTAGAGCTTTTCGTGGTTTCTTTTCCTATTGATTTACATCAAGTCTTGGGACCAAGGGTATACAGTAGAAGAATATCAAATCCTTCTATATTAACAAAGAATGGAAGCCAAAAGATCCACCTATAGTTGTGCGGGAAGCCGACCTCTGAATTTGTACTAGCCAGCTACTTGCTGTAAAGGAGGCCATGCAATCTCATTGTCATCTGTATAACCGTTAATGAGGAAGTCAGAGCAATTCTTTCGGCATCCATGGTTATATGGATTGCGGAAACGTCCGTCCGGTCCACGAAGATACCCATATCTTACAGCATTTGCCATTTCATTAGTGGTAATATTCCGTGCGACCTACATCCGAAGCCAACAAAAACAAACATATATATTCACATATTCAATGTAATGTGCAAGCACCGATAGGCAGACTTGTGATTACCTGTGATGCTTGAACAAAAACAAACATATATATTCACATATTCATAATCATTACCTGTGATGCTTGAACAATCAAGAGAGTAGTTGCAGCAATAAAAATGGCTATGTCCATGGTAAGGAAAGCCACAGCTCCTGGATGTTGAAAAACAATATGATGAATCCATGATTCCCCTTTCAAGAACGGTACTGATGTCCAGATTCCTGCCAATCGAATCAATTTGTCATCACATCAAAACGCAGATCCATAGTAAAATGCAAAACACAACTATGAATAGTAACATTAGCAGCTCCTTAGCTCAGGCATACTTTGAATTGCAACAGCAGCTCCAACTGATGATGTTGCAGTCCCCAGGCAGAGGAAAATAAAAAAGTCCCTCTTATTTCTCTACAAAAGTTTTCAAGAAATTCAATTCCTCATCAGTGTGTGCATATAAAGAGATAAAAGGTGTAAACGATGTTTAGTCTGTGGTACTCATTCTACAACAGAAAACATGAAGAATGCCAACTAAGCACTTGAAAAATTGTAAAAAACAGTGCACACTTCACCATCACATCACCAGCAGAATGGCAAGTATTACATACAGCATACCTTGCCCACACAATTGGATATCCAGGGACAGTGATGATCAAACTGTTCAACACAATGTTTGCAAGTTGGACAATGCTTTGAGCGAACAGGTCTTATTATCTGAAAAATGAATTGAACAAGAAACATTGATATTATTAAAAAAAGAAAACAAATGAAAGAAGGTTCACAGCACCAGATAAAATATGGAATGAACTACTCCGGTCCCACACATTGAGTTTTGAGATTTGTACTGTTTATAGTATAAATTTCAAAACCCAATGTGGACTTTTTCTGGGACGGAGGGAGTAGTTCTCATTATTAAAACACAAGAAAAAATTGGCAGCAGAAAGCTTGGGTGAAAACCTTGCATGTAGGACAAAGTTGAGACCAGTTTCCAGTCCAGATTGACGAGCTATTCAAATCAATGTTCAGTAAAGGATCCTGCAAAGTATTGAAACATGATAAGACAGTATACCACAAACTTCCTGACATGTGTCTTTTTCATCCCCCGCGCCTGAGGGGAAAATATCCAAGAAAGACACGAGCTGAATGAACTCCGGAACATATACCTCTGCATCAGAATGGCTATCCATCCCCACCTTGATAAAACCTGGGTCTTTACTGCAATCAAATAGAAAATAAAATAAATACCATAAAAAGATGTATGAAAACTACTAGTATGTGCTAGGCATAAGACTGAAAGGCGAGAAGCAACATGATGTACTAGTTCCTATTCAATGGCAATCACTCTTTCCAGATAACCTCAGCAAACAAAGGAACTATATCATCATGCATGGTTGTAGGGGTTCTTCCAGGTTGTGGAACTGAACCAAAGCATACACAACTCCGACTTACTGTATATCAACGATTTCTCCATTTTCAATCAGGGTACACAAGTGATCTATGAATTAATAACTCATTTCAGTTTAAACTAATGAATAAATATGCAATCAACAAGTATGAAAATATAGTGGCTTCCACAGGAAAACGGAGAACATAACTGCAAACTATAGGTGTTAGATGCCAGTAAGATTATTAATTTGGTTTAAAGAAACTTTATGGAATGATTTAACACAAAAATAGGAGACATAAAGTACCGAAAGACCTCATCTTTGCATAAATTCTCAAACCAAGTTAGACCAACATCATGCAGGAACAGAAAGTAAAATTCTACTGAAAAGGAAAATTGAGTTTCTCCAATGATACTTCACTCAAAGCAATCATCTTCAGAGGATTAAAAATATTTGAAAACCCAAATTTGCATAACTTATTGAACCGCCAATGATATAGTTAAGAAACTCTGAACCAGAACCAGCTACATTCTCTATCCTCAATTAATTTCAAATTCGTCACTAAGTCAAAAGAAACAGCTTTAACATGTTCTAGTCCCTTGGGGAAGTACCTGCTACATCGGACGAACATTACAAGCGAAACGAAGCCAAGTGAAACACCAGTCCATCCCCAAAGTCCAACAACAGCAGTTATTCTCGTCATATTTGAAGCTATCAGAAGCACAAGTTCTTAAACAGATTTTTTTGGAATATTTCCAACTTTTAAGGAGTGAGCAGAGGCCAAACTCACCGAAAATAACAGAATTGATGAAGAGAATGACGTTAAAAAATATTAGAGAGAACAAAATAGGAGCAAAACCAACATCCCCATCTTTCCAAGGGAAAAGTCTATTCTTCCAGCCCTTGTTTCGTGCACGCTGAGCTTTAGACTGCATTAGATAGATTGTCCACATATAAGATTTTTGAAGACCAGAAAATGTAAACGCAGATGTTCAATTGGTGTAATAACAAATAGGTTGAAGTTTATTTTTCACAAAAGCTAGCAGATGCACTGAGATGCCCATTTTATATACAAACTTCAATTTAAAAGATATCGCAAAAGGTAATCATCCTTCGCTGAAGCTAAACAGTAAAGAGACGATGGAGCAGGCAGATTTATCAATTGATTTCATTAATCAGCAGCGAAATGCCCATCTCAAAACTAGAGTTACCCAAAAAAACTACTAGCAGGGTGGCAAAAAAAAACGGCAAATTTTAAGAATTGGTAGTTCTTTCATAGTAGCTTTTCTTAATTCCTTAAAAGGGCAAAATTTTCTGCCAATTAAACATACATCGTAGAAGTGCTTTCCCATACCGCAGTTGAGTTGGATCAGATTTCCTCTCTATTCATGCTCTTCAAAATTTTTTGATGTCATCTAGTTTGTTTTTCCAATTGTAATTATCGGGGTAAGAAACACTAAGAAACCCATACTTACACATCACCATCAACACAACTGTGCAAAACACATCAGAAAGTTCAATCATATTCATATAGTTTTCAGTACAAGGTTACCTACGAGGGACAGACCAATATGTCTCTGGCCTTTATCAAATGCAAGCTGTATAGGAGTAAACCCAGCCTTATCTTTTATTAGTAGTTCTTCCTTTGTGCCAGTATGAACAAGTACGGTACATGCCTCCGCATTTCCTCTTAGTGCAGCCCAATGGAGAGGGGTGCAACCTGCATATCAGTAACAATCAATATTGCCATCAAGTAACCCAAGTTGGATGGCAGAAGATTATAATATCAAAATTCCGGTCATGAACTATTTTATCATAAAATCTCATTGCCCTTATTACTCCTACAACTTATATTTTACATTCACCCTTTTCATTATACCATCAAATATGATATCATGAATTTCTAAACAGAGCACAATTCCGGTCATGAACTATTTCCAGCATTTAAAGCCAAGAGTATAGCGACTAGCAAAAGCACACCAGAGCAAAAGATAAAATACCTTCTTTGTCTTGTCTCCCCTGGTCTGCATCTCTAAACAGCAACAATCTAATTGTATCACAATAACCCTTGTAAGCAGCCCTGAAAGTTACGTGTAGTTTGTCAGGCTGAATAACTGCAATTTCAAGTCCACTGACCCATAAACAGCAAGCAAAGCAGCCAACAACAACTTCAAAAAAAAAAAAAAAAAAAAGAGAGAGACAAAGTGGAAGTATGGTCCTAGATAGATTATTCATCGCTGAAACTCACGGATGACTTGCAGAAGATGTGGAACCCTTTTTCGTTTTTATTTGAAAGGATAAATAAAAATATGAGTTGTAAGTAGACTAAAAGAAAGGATGTCTTCAGTTTCCACAAATTTAAGGTAAACATCAAGCTCTTTTTGAAAAAAAAAAAAGAAAAAGAAAAAGAAAAAAGAAAAACACGGAAGGTGACTACGCAGTTGCCAGATTCTCTGCACCAGTAAATATATGCACCAAAGAGCACATTTATGCCTTCCAGCCAAGACATGTTTATTGAGAGAAGGGGGGCGGGGGCAAAGAGAGAGGACTAGTGAAGCTGAGATAGGGGCACAGATGTGGGACTAGTACCAATGAAGGGGACTTCTTCCGTCGTTATCAGGAACATCAAATTCAGCGTGATATTTTGCAATAATGTGATTTAAAAATGTTGTTTGACCATATTGAGCTGCAACATGCACTGCCTGCAGGAAACATGCATGGAGTTCAAACACGGAAGCAATCAAATACTGATCTTACAAGTTATATCTCAGCCAAAAAGGACTAAAATGAATGATCAATGAAAGCAAGAACTAATCAGAAAATAGAAGAGAAAACTATTATTACTTTTGCAGTAAAATAAACACATCTCTAGAAATACAGTCATCAATCAAGAGAAACTTTGTAAGTACGAGATTATTAAATTCTCATGTTTTTCACTTTTCACACAATAAAATATGCTTTGACTATGTATATGGGAAATTATGATCCAATGTCCTCACACGACATGAATATCATAGTATAGATTTCTACTTGCTGTGCCAGCCCAAACAACAAACTAAAACCAAGGCCTAAACCAGGCATACCAATGGAATCAAAAGCTTAGTTTAAAAAAGCGCGCCTCCTAGGCGAGAAGCGAGGCGAGGCGACCATGGCATCGCATCACAAGGGGTGATGCGAGGGGTTTACCTGAAGCGAGTGTAATGCACAAAAAGCGCTCGCTTTTGATGCAAGCGTGATGCGTTAGAGGCGAGCGCCTCATGTATTTGTCACTTTAGTCATATGTTTTTTTTTTAATGAAAAAGAAAAGAGAAAGATAAGTTTTACCCTATCCCTATTTTTATTCAGCCGTCTCTCTTTCTCTCCTCCTCCTTCTTCGCGCGTCTTCGCGTCTGCTACAAGCCGACCACCAATCTCTGTCGCTGCAACTTCAAGTTTCAAATCAGGCATGTCCTCCTCCTCTTTCTCTTCTCTCTTCCTTCTAGCTTTCACCTTCTTCTCTCCTCCTGCTCCTTCTTCCTCTTCTCTCCTTCTTGCATTCACGGTTCACCTTCTTCTCTCGGTCTCATTCACCTTCTTCTTCTTCTCGGTGGAAAAAAAAATGTCCAACTGATTTTGTCTTTTAGCAAAACATATGATTGAATTAATTCACTAATTTTTATTCACCTCCTTGTACTCTAAGTGTTTGTGATTATGCCCCTGAATCCTCTCTATTTTTTTTTTGAATTTCAGTGAATTACATGACGTCTCAATCTACTTCTCCCCTATTTTTTGTTGAATGACATGAATTATATTATCTATAATTGCCATCTATAATTGAAATTACATATATAGTTCACTATATTATATTACATATATATAAATTATAATGTTTTGTGGAAGAGGTCGCCTCACATACGTGATGCGTTCGCTTTCGCCTCTCGCCTCTCGCCTCGGCTCTCGAGCCCCTTGACGCCTCGGCACGCCTCTCGCATTTTAAAACTAAAGATCAAAAGCTATGCATCCCTCCCAAGTAAGAAGTCTTTTCAGTCAAACTCACACGGCAGACAGACGAATGTGAAAATAGAATATAAAATAAAATGCCCAATGCAACGCAAAACTCCTCGAACTCCTTCGTCCATAACTGAATAAATAACAGGAAAACTACCAACCCAAACCAATCAAAGTAAGGAGATCTTTCCTAGCACTAGCTTTAACCATTCCAAGTTGCAAAATAAATATCACCCAAACAGCAAAAATTACAGATAACGATCAGCTGGAAGCATTTATTTAGCTAGCTTAAGATTACCCGATAACCATTAATATCAGCAGCCTCAACTCGCGCCCCATTCTGCAACAGCACCTCCGCAGCTGCAACTGAACCCCTTACCGCCGCCCAATGCAAAGCGGTTTGGCCAACATTGTCAGTGGCATTAACATCACCACCACGCTGCAGACAAATGGAACTCAAGTTAACGAATAATCCGAAAAATTCAAAGCTCTGGATGAAACAAACGTTGAAATGTAAAATTCTGAAGAATAATAATACTAATAAAAGATCAATTAGAAGAATCACCAGGATGATGTATTGGACAACATCCGCAAAGTTGTTGAGAGCGGCCCACTGAAGTGGGTAGTATCCATTGCCATCAGGTTTCGAGATCGAAACGCCGTCGTTCTCGACAAATTGCCGGAGTTTCTCTAAATCGCCGTATGCAGAAGCGGAGAAAACATCGACAATTGGGATTTGGCTAGGGTTTGGACTCGTGCTCTTCTGATCGCTGGGTTCGGACACGATTTCGATCTCGGACGAAGACATTTTCAGTTGAATGCGAGCATCCGATGATCAGTAAGAGTATACAATTAATAAATTTAGTTCATTAAGTCCAATGATTTAGGGGGGTTTAAGATTCTCACACTGACGGTGAGTGCGTGTTCGTGAAGTTTTACTTTTACCTTTCCGATAGGCAGGATTTTTACTGTTTGAAATGCCACGGCTTGACAATCAGGTCCTTGCAGACGATATGTATTTGCTACTGACAACTACCGTGTTACGCTATTTACTTTCTTCCCCTTTGCATGATTCACAATTGCATTAAAACACTCTCAAATTGCAGCACAGATTGCACTTCTTCTTTACTCATTTATTTTCATACCAAGGAAGCCTTTGGACTTTAATTTACAAAACATCTGATGAGTTGAGGATGAGAATAATTTATTTATTTCTAGACTTTCCACCATATTGGATAGAAACGTTGACAAAATATGATTCTTAACTGGATATGAGTATCCAAATTTTATCAAAATATCCAAGACAACATTAAGATTACGTCAGGGTATGCCTAATATGGAGACACAAGTTGAGAGAAAGTAGACTTCTAGTCCTATATAATTCGCATTTGACAAACATATATACATACACCAAAAAGGAAAATGATCAATGTCTTGAAAAAACTTTAATCAAATTAGTGCATTTTGTAGCAGAATGTCGAATGGTTTTATTATCATTGCATGTCAACCATGACTGGTGAAATCATTAAAGTTACACATGGTTATTAAACGATTATGCATTTACATATCCTCGTAATGTATTACTGTTTGATTTTATGCATTTTGACTCTTTTACAGTATCAAAAGTATGAAAGAATTCGATTTATTTATTTTGAATTGACGGTTAAGAATTGTCGGTATAAGGAATCCTATGGTTCCTTTTTTAGTAAATGGTCAAAGCTGATGATAAATGCATTATCCCAATATGAATCCACGACTTTTTTGACTTTTGACAAATGCATTTAGAGTCGATCCAATAACAACGCATTTTTTGGCTTGATGGTGACTATTGGTTTTAATAAAAGAAAGAATCTGATTCATTTATTTTTTAATTGACGTTAGCCATTCAGCCCAACGCATTTTATTGTAGGTATAATAAGGAATCCAATGTTTTTTGGTCCAAGAAAAGGAATTCGATGCATTTATTTTGATTATTGGTCAATATACACACTTTTCTTTATAAAAGAATCCGAGTACTTCATTCCAATTTGCATCCACTTCTCCTTCTAATTTATACCTTCAAACGCTCTCAACAACAAAAATGACTTCTAAAAAGATGGTACTATACTAGGGCAGAAGATGTATTTCTTATTAATTGTTACATCCATATTTCAGAAAATTCAATTGAATCAAATAAGCAGAAAGCAGAAACATTTTGGGAGAAACATGTAAGAAAGGAGCTTTAGATCACGTGTTGGACATAGCCTGAGTACTTATGCCTTTGTTAAAATTAGTAACAGGCAACATTTGTCGCTTTACAAACTTTAGTAGGCAATTAGTGATTTCTATGAACTCTATGGGTGATCTATGTAATTGAGCTAAAGAAAATGCCGCCACATGCTATTCATGTTGTGAGCTTTGACTAGCCGCCAGTTGGGCCTTTCACTAATGCTACAGAGAAAAGAGGGGGACGGAAAGCTTTGGGAATGACGAGAGATTCCAGATATGGAAGGCACAAGAAAAAGACAACTTTCCTGTTCCAAAATTGCCCACCAACCCGTCACATTCACCACATGATTCCCATGTTCTGACATCCATTTTCACTCATGACATCATCCCAACTGAAGCTGGTTAAAATGAGGAAGAAACAGGGGAAGCTGACGGTAGCAGAGTTATATGTATTCCGATTTCCGAGAGAAAGAATTGGGGAAAACCGGAAAAGATCGACGAATTGACGAAAATGGCTGCTACGGGAAGAGTATTTGGACTGAGGAGCAACATTCCGATCAGTTCTGACGATGTGTCATTGAGGAATAGCCCATTTAGGAGGCCAACTAGTATCAGCTATTGCTCCGACGACAATGGGAATTCGGCCCCAAGAAGAAAGCGATTGCTAGCTTGCGCTGCTTCCAAGGATGTTCAGTATCGAATTAAAGAAGAGGGTCAGGTTGAAAATCATGATTACAGAGTCTTCTTGCTTGACAGTTCCGGCAAAAAGGTAAAACCTAGCTTAAAAAGAGGGCAAGATACTTTCTTTTTTTTTTTTTTATGCTGAAAATTGAAACCGAGTTACCAGAAAAGGAAAGTAGAAGAGGAATGTCTAGATTAGCAATACTAATTGATTTGCCTGAATATGGTTCTTTTGGATTGCTTGTTTGATGCCGGATCATATTGGTGCAGATTTCACCTTGGCATGACATACCGCTGCAGTTGGATGACGGGGTGTTCAATTTTGTTGTTGAGATTCCCAAAGACACAAACTTGCGAATGGAAGTTGCCACCGATGAGCAATTTACTCCAATCAAACAAGATGAAAGAGGGGGGAGACTTAGGTAGTTTCTGCCAACACAAAATGTCATTCTCTTTCTTCATATGGTTATTGGGTATGTTAATTTAAAGTTTTGACTCTAGAGAAATATGCAAGATGTTACTATAACAATTTTTGCATTCCGTCTAAAGGTTCCCTACGCATTATACTGTTATTGCATTGGAGTAAGCCAAATGCAAGATCATAACTTTTCTGTTAAGGAATTGCTAGTTTCAGCTATAAACCTAATGCATGATTTCTCATCGTCAATCATTGAGTTGCTAGTCAAAGTCATCATTCTACCCTGCCAGGTGCTTCGTCAATTGTTGAACCACCTCTTGATTCTAAGCGCATTCAACAAAATATTGATGGAAAACTTTTTCCCTTTACGTTTTTCAGCAGTGTGTAGCGTGTCTTATATCGTCGCAATCTTGCATGGAAAATGGCTTACATTGTCAATTCATTATTAGTGCCACCGGCTAATGTTTCGGCTCTGAAGTTGTTAACTATCAATGATGACTAGTAATTTCCAAAAGTTAACATTTTGTTTCCAGGATACTCAATATTTGTAACCGGCTTGAAAATGGACTAAATACGTTAGACTAGATGATTTTCTGAGAACCCTACTGGGTATGCATTATAAATTATTCTTCTGCTCGAATTTGTCCAGAACAATATACAACTCCCAAGAAAGTTATCATCCTTCTTATGTAAAATGCTGAACATACTATAGAATTTTGGGTAATTTAACTCTTTTTCTTCTTTAAATATGAAGTGAGCCATTTATCCTCTAGCATGTTAATGGTTCTGTTTTTTTTTTTTTTTTTTTTCCCTTTTCCCAGTGTGTTAATATTAGTGTTGTATTATCTTCCTCAGATGCAATCTGAGCTGGAATTATGGATTGCTTCCTCAAACATGGGAAGATCCTTCATCAGCAAACCTGGAAGTTGAGGGAGCATTCGGAGACAATGATCCCGGTAGGCTGGTACACATACCTGTCATAATTTTATGATTACTCTGCAAAACTGGAAAATACTATCCTCCTGCTTTATTTTCAAACACATCTTCAAGTTTTGAATAAATTGTTGGCACTTGTTAAAACAATTTTCATGGTCTTTTTTTTTCTCTACAGTTGATGTTATTGAGATTGGGGACTCACCAGCCAACATTGGTGACGTTTTGAAAGTCAAACCACTAGCTGCTCTTGCATTAATTGATGAAGGAAAACTTGATTGGAAAATAATAGCAATTTCCTTGAAGGATGTGAGAGAAACTCTTGTAAATGATGTTGACGACGTGGAAAAATTCTTTCCGGTATGTTTACCTTCATGGATCATATTTGCCTGACAATTGACAAATGCTAGATTTTTAGCTCATCATACATTGAAGCAAAGAACTGCCTAATAAGTAATAAACCACTCTACCATTGACTTCAAATTTTAGAATCTGATTGGATGTTTCACACTTGAGTGATCTCTCCGGTATATTGTCCACACAATGTCTCCCTTTGGGCTAAGATAATTTGTTAATTTCTCCAGGGCGCTCTAACATCCATCAGTTCTTTCTTTAGAGATTATAAGATGATCTATGGTGGAGTGCGCGGCAACAAGTATGGTCTGGGAAACAAGCCGCTAAACAAGGTATGACCGTACGAGTATGATCTGTTTTGTTATATTGATCGCTTACAAGTTTGATGTCTTGGACGGGTAATAAATGTGAGCTCTTCTCACCCGCTAATTAAGTGTGTTCATTCAATCACCAAAACCATTGCTATTTCTTTATTTTCAGTCATTTTACCTTGGAGGTTGGGTTAAATTTTACGGGACGGGGAAATGTTAGTTAATGGCAAGCAAGCTAGTGTCTTGTCCATGTGGACCTCTAATCATCTTATGCACCAAACATTATCTACCGTTTGTGCGGTTTGTTTTGTACTTAATCATCCTTGTACCTTTCTGTGCTGCCCATTTTAGGAGACTCAAACCTTGTTCTATTCCATTTTAAGAATGTGGATTGCTTGTCTGCAGGATTATGCGCTTAAGGTTATTCGAGAAAGCAATGAGGCTTGGAGTAAACTTTCTAAAAGGTCTAGCTGAGCTAGCTCTGAGACTTCTTGAGTGTAAACACAGTTTATGATGCTCGAGCTGCTGATATACAAAATTATGCCAAATTATGATTGAGTATTGATGTACTGAGATAAGAGAAAGAACTATGAGTATTGAATATTGCAGCCGAAATTTCCTTTCAAGTTTGCTAACTTCTTCCCCCCCAGATGTGAAATGACATAATTTATTTTTATTTTGATGGGCTAACAAATTTAATTTAATATAATAGTAATATTAAGATATTAATTTGATACCTCACGTACAAATTCGTTTCACCTATTAGTTTTTGTTTTTGAGGAATTAATTCACGTGCAGAGTATTGCCAAGCATGATTTTTTTTTTTATTCAAACTCTTTCCCTCCAAATTTGACATTGTGCACTCATATTGCTTTTAATTAACAAAGTTGGTAGTTAGAATCGTCTGCTTAAAATCACAGAGGCAAGTAGCAGAGTCAATATATAGTGGTAAAAACAGTAGGGAAAACTCAATAACGAAGATTGATGAAAATGGCTGCTTCGGGAAGAGGATTTGGACTAATGAGGAGCAACATTATGATCAGGTCCAACTCTGTATCATTCTGTGGTCCTCCAACTAGTCTAAGTTTTTGCTTAGACAAGAATGGCTATTTGTTTCAAAGAAATAAGAGGTTATTAACTTGCTGTGCTTTTAGCACTGGTCGGTATCGGATTAAAGAAGAAGGTCAGGTCGAAAACTATGATTATAAAGTCTTCTTGCTTGACCATTCTGGCAAAAAGGTACCTCAAAATTCATCAAATAGCATATGATTCTATCCCACTTAACTTTAATTTTCTGACAAAACCTTGTGGAGCATCTTGTGTGTTTTTGATTGTGCAGATTTCACCTTGGCATGACGTACCACTGCAGTTGGGGTGATGGGGTGTTCAATTTCGTCGTCCAGGTTCAGAAAGACACAAACTTGAGAATGGAAATGGCTTCTGACGAACCATTCATCCCAATCAAACAAGAGAAAAGAGGGGGAATAGTTGGGTAATACTAATATCTCTTTCCACGTTACATCAGGACGTTTTTTACTACTACTATTTGAATTATTATGATTATTATTTTTTCTTTTTTGCTGGCACTTCCCAGATTTTGAAACTAGGTGGTTTTGTTGCATCTTTTCTTTGGTGGACTATGAACTGGAATTATGGATTGTTTCCCCAAACGGGGACAGATCCTTTATCCACCAACGAGGAAGTTGAGGGCGCCTTTGGAGATGATGATCCCAGTAAACACACCTATCATGATATAATACTCGTTCCGTCCCATTTTAATAGTTCATTTTGTTGAATTATACACCGTCCTTATTATTATAAGATATTTTGATTTATTCTAAATTTAATTTTATATGTTTCATGTTTTTTCATGATAATGACTTATCTTCTAACATTGACGAAGTCTTGAAAGTCGAACCGCTAGCGGCTCTTGCATTGATTGATGAAGGAGAACTTGTTAGAAGATCTACCGTAAACCTGGTTCGGCAGTGATTGAAAATTGTGATGCTTTATTGAAATCCTGATTCTGTTTGGGATGGAGTTAAATTTCTTTTGTTTTGTGTGCTTTTAAGGGACTCAAGTGGGATTGTACACAGTTTGCATTCTTTTAAGCCTTGTGTCACTTGATTTACCCGTTAAGACAATGCTGTATGAACACATTATAAGTATGTTTCTCCAAAAAATTAAGTACTATTAAGAGATAAAGCACAAAAGAATTAGGAGTCTTAGATTAGTTTCATCTAATTAGTTATTTCAAGTGAATTACTTATCTTTATCATTTAAATAAAATTAGTTAATTTACATAATTACCATATTTGTAAACTAAGCTTATAAAAAAAACATTTGATGTATTCAGTTTATAAAAGGAAATAAAAACTGTAGTCCTTCACTCCATAGTTTATTCTATGCTTTTATTTTTCTAAATAAAATATTAATTTTCTTCTTGGTATCAGAGCAGGTTCTATCCTGCGTCTGAAGGTTTTTTTAGCTTTCGCAAAATTTTCTTCTAATCATGACTTCTGCATTTCTGTTCATCGATACTCAAAATTTTATCATTCTAAAATTCTCTCCAGTCAATTATTCATTGTGGAGAGATTCCCGCACAGAGCCAAGGACCTATCGGTTACCTCACAACTCAACCATTGTTTCATCCTCCAATGTCATTCATCACCACCAAAAAAAAAAAAAAAAAAAAAGAAGTGTCTCATCTGAATCCATTCAAAAAATTTCAATCATGGCAAAAGTCCGAGAAAATTCCTTGGACTTGTCATTTTTTTTTTTTACATATATAGTTCTTCGAAAAGTACTAAAAAATGAAGTACACATATTTTTTGGAGAATTATTAGAAAAATTCGCATATCTCCACAAAAAATGGCAACATGGTCATTGGAGATGACATTCACACTTTTAAACTAAGATTGTGTGACATTGGTAATCTACCACAATACAAAATTTTTTATTTTTTATTTTTTTTATTGCAACTTCACAAATCTGGATCCAGATCCATAACATGAGACCTTCACAACAAGCTCAGAATCAAGTTTCAAGCAATCCATCCAGTGGACTCTATTCTATAACAAACTGCGCCTTCAGCCCTCAATCCTTCAGTTCAGGCACAGTTTCCGGGAGAATGTTAAGAGATAAAGTACAAAGGAATTAGAAGTCTTAGATTAGTTTCATCTAGTTAGTTATTTCAAGTGAATTATTTATCTTTATCACTTAAATAAAATTAATTAATTTACATAATTATCATATTTGTAAACTAAGCCTATAAAAAGGCATTTGATGTATTCAATTTATAAAAGGAAATAAAAAATATAGTTCTTCACTCTATAGTTTATTCTCTGCTTTTATTTTTCTAAATAAAATACCAATTTTTTTCTAATACTAGTACATCTTTACTTATTTTTTAAACTTGTACCATTATCTTACGTTGTACAATAACTTTATGTTAAAGGATATGATACGATTTTATTGTATACATTTGGTTTTCTACGTTTAAACAGATAAACGAATTTTGATTGTTATAACTTTTTACATACAATGTGTTTTTTCACATTCTCGACGAAAACAAAACACATGATATAAAAAATAAAAGAACATACGTTCCAAAGAAATGTACTTTATGTTACTGGAAAAGGAAAACAAACAATTCCAAGGTCAAAATCAAAAAGCTACCACTACTAAATACTAATGGCGTGCTAAACAATTTAAAAAGAAAAAGCAAGAAAGAGAACCGATTTTAAATGCAGAATGTACCCTACACGAATCGAAGGAGTCGTGGACGGTGTTAAGCTCTTAGTACATCAATGGAAATTGCATCCTTGACCATCGATTTTTTAGAAAACTTCGAACACGAGTACACAACTCATATATTTGGCAAAAACAATGTGGATTCACACTCAATCTCTAGATATTTGAACTTTGAAGATTTTCATTCAATTTCAAGTAAGTGACCGTTTTTCTTTTTCTTTTTAATTTTCTTTTCTTGGATATAAAAGGTTAAAAAAAAATAAAATAAATATCACAACACTATGGTTTGAACAAAAAAAAGAAAAGAATATTTGAAAATTAATGTCCAATATAATGTTCAAAACAAAGATTTTAGTAATTATATATTTGGTAGATGATGTATTTAATTTATAATACTTCTCTAGAGACTTTAATCTATAGCAAGATAAAAATATAAGTGAGCCAAAAAAAATTCCTAAAATATGATTGGTCGGGCGGTTTACTCCTCAAATATGATTGGCCAATCAGTCTTCCCATGACATCAGCCTTACTTCACTGTTTTAATTAGGGGCAAGATTGTAACTTCAGAAATAGCATAGTCCTTTTATTATATATTCAAACTTTAAGAAAAAAAAATTAAGGCTTATCAACTGAGAGAAAGGTTTATTAATATGATTCATATAAAGGAGAGAGGAACACGGTGAGGTGAAATGAGAAAAATGAGGCTAATACTTTGTATATATTTTTTAAGTGCACCAATGCACACATGGAATTATGCGCATGGGTCTCAAATTATGCATATGGGCTCTGGATCCATGCAGATAGAGTCTGGATTTACGCACATAAGATATAGAGTATGGATCCGTGCACATGTAGTCTTGAATTGTGCACATAAATTCTAAATCTATGCACATGGATTAATTTGTGTTGTGTAACGGTCAAGCGTAAGAGTCAAAGTCGAGTACACTGAGCCGAAAGGAAAGGAAACACTCGCTACACTTATAATAAGTATATTTTTCTCTTTTTTAAAATATATTTTTTGTAAAATATTAAACAAAATTTATTTAAAGATCATGTATATGTATTCTAAAAAAGATGTATATAACAATTAAAATTATTTATGTAACAATTAAAATCATGCACTTGAACTTTTAAAATGTTATTTATATATTTTATTATTATATACTCCCTTCGTCCCAAAATTATTGTCCAGTCTCAAGAATATTTTAAATATACATTAAAACCTAATATATGTTCTATCATCATCTTACTTGAGCTGCGGACCAAATTTGCAATTGCAGAAAACTTTCTTTCTTCTTCCCCGACGAACACAACTTGCCGCCGCCACCTTCTTATTGGATCTCGCCACTATCGCCACTTTTTATGCTTTGATTCCTCAGCCAAAAACTTGAATCAAACCAAAAAAAGACAACATTTAGAATAATTGGTGCAATACAGTCTTAAAGCAGAAGAAATTATATAAATAAATAATATTATATGGTGAGTTAAAAAATATTATATGGTGAGTAGATATGCCGCTTCCTAACTCACCATATACTATTTTTATATTTTTTAATTTAATTACTATTTTCTTAATAAATGACTTTAGTAATACAGGCTTTGTGGTGCGATTTACTACTCTTGCTGCTCAGTGATAATGTGTTGCATTCTAATTTGTATCATTTGGGTAGTAAATCACTAGTGATAAAGCCTTGGTCTCTTGAGAAAAGAATTAACTATAGAGAACTTAAACTACTTAATTTAATTATTCCAATACAAGTTCAAACTACTTTGTGATCACTTTTTTTTATAAGAAAACTATTTTTGCATTATACCATTGATCGAATCAAAATTTGTGTTTATGCATATTTAAAATATGGCTGATATAAATTTTAATATATATTAATATAACTAAAAAATATACTCCCTCCCTCCGAAAAAAAATTCTATTCTATTTTTAAAAAAATAAATCTTAAAAATGTAACTTATCATATTGGTATCAATAAATAGTCATGAAACTTTCAATTTTCATATTAATTTTTCTAATTTGCAATACTGAGTCAACTAAGTCATCTAATTTTTTAGATTTTAGTTTTTTAAGTTAAAATATTTTTGTGGGAGGGAAGTAGTATAAAATAATGTAACCCTCTCGAAATCGGATTTCAGTTTATATCGTCATTAATCACAACCCTCTCGCGAAAGACATTTCTCCCAAGAACAAAACTGCACAAGCATTTTCTTCGTCAACTGCTTTTTCCTTACTACCATTGGTCAGCTTTCACCTCTGTCCGCTATTCTATTGGATTGAACGTCCGATTTTATGGTTTATCACTACTGCCATCTTCTTTGATATAATGTGAATTGTATATATTATTAGCCTTAACAACTTATTTTTTAAAATATGATTGACCGGGCGGTTTATTCCTCAAATATGATTGGTCGAGTAGTCGTCCTATGATATCAGCCTTACTTCACTTTTTTAATTAGAGGCAGGATTGTAACTTTAGAAAAAACATAGTCCTTCTATTTCATATTCAAACTTTAAAAAAAGAAATTATAGCTTATAAACTGAGAGAAAGGTTTATTAATATGATTCATATAAATGAGAGAGGAACACGATGAGGTAAAATGAGAAAAAGGAGGCTAATACTTTGTACTCCCTCCTGTCCTTAATATAAGGCATTTTGATTTGTCCTACATTTAACCTAATACGTATTTTTAATTGGCTAAAAAATCTTAAAAATATTTCATAACAATCAAGAGAATACAACGAACGTGAAAAAATGTATTTTTAAGCTTTTTTTTGTCAATTAAAAATGCATACTAGGTGAAACCTAAGACAATATCAAAATGCCTTATATGAAGGACCGGAGAGAGTATATAATTTTTGGGTGCACCAATGCACATAACTTCTTTGCTATTTATAAGCAAATGATCAAATAAAATGAAAACTACAAAACTATTAGATCCAAAGATTTTTGTTTTTAGTTTGCGACAGTGAGTCAACTTTCTTGTCAAATCAACTTTGGCATTCAATATTTTTACAACGGAAAATAGATTGTTTAACTTGAACTAGTGAACCACGAATCTGTCATATAACCAACACAATGTTATATTTGCTATTTTCAGCTTTAAGTTCCTTTATGTATATATTTTCATAATATTTTTAGTCCTATATCTGATCTTGATTCTTGACTATGCCCTGTGGGCTGTGGATATCTTTTATAATCAAGTTTTCATATTAGAGGGAATTTGATAATTTCTCCAAAGTAAATGGACTATTAAATCGTTTTATCAAAACATGAGAGCAGTAAATGTAAATTCTCCTAATTTTGTTGGACTATTCTCCAGACCGTCGTCCCGCCAAAGTCTTCTTTTTCTGTCGTCGCCAAAGAGACCCACATTTTCTTCTTCCATTTACTAAGAAACTTCTCAGTCTTCCGTCGATTAATCAATTATTATAGCTCATGATGCTCATGGGAGAAGGGTCCAAAAAGATAGAACCACACGTATTTAAATTTAGACTTCTGTGGCCTGAGAAACCACCGGAATTGAGGTTGGATTTTGGGTGTCCTTTTGAGCTCAAAATCAATGAATTATGGATTCCCAGGGAGACAGATATGTTAGGTCAGTTGTTTTCTTCTTTTGGGCTTCCTTAAATTTTTGACGTTCCTTTATATAAAAGTTTCTCTTTTGGGTTACTGCAATTTTTGTTGGTTTTGGTTGTTCTGAGCTCAAGTGATTGATGTCAAGGGAGACAGACGTGCTTGTATGTGTATGTGTAATTTTTTTTTTAATGGGTCCATTTTTTTTCAATTTGGAATGTAAAAATATTTGATATTGGCGAGTTGGAGCAAACAAAAGGTTTTTTTTTTTTTTTCGGGTGGGATGAGGGTATTATGTTCGAAATTATCTGGCAATTTTTGGGCTATGTGTTGCTGGAAGTGTCGTAAACTACTAATCTCAAGTCTTTTTTTAAGTAAGGATGATGTTATAGAGCACTGGAAAATCTTACTAGATATTCATTGACTTTGCATTTAAATATAACTAGATGATCAGAGAAGTTGTTCTGTTTAAACTTCATGCAAGTAACTGAACCATTTCTACTTTTTCTAGTGATTTGTAACTCCATAATCTTGTATCGTTCTTGAAAAGATGTGATTTTTTACAATCTAATTGTAGGCTTAAGTTTCAGGAGTGTTATATTACACTTATCTTTTTTCTTTGGTCTTTGGATACCCAGGTTTCAGGACTGGAGTTCAGAGAGATCTTTTGTCTCACCACAATTTTCTTCAACTAACGGGCAACTTTCTTCCGTTAGGAAACCTAGTCTCAGTTCAGTCATGAGTAGCATTATAAGAAGGGGATTTGAGATGGGTTCTGAAAGGATGAAAAGCTTAAAGAATCAGCTTGGAAAAGAATCAAATAGTGACACGAGGAAGAACAAGGTTCTTGATCCTCAAGGTCCATTTCTTCAGCTGTGGAATAAAATTTTTGTAGTCTTGTGCATCATGGCAGTGTCCCTGGATCCATTGTTCTTTTACATCCCGGTAGTAGATAACAAAAACAAATGCCTGGACTTGGACGACAAGTTGAAGATCATAGCTTGCGTTCTTCGTTCAGTACCTGACTTATTGTACACATTTCACATATTCTTGCAATTCCGCACCGGATATATTGCTCCATCTTCTCGAGTGTTTGGAAGGGGCGAGCTGATTGATGATTGTTGGGAGATAGCAAAACGATATTTGTTTTCTTATTTCATCGTGGACGTCTTAGCAATTCTTCCCCTCCCTCAGGTTAAATCCAAATTTTGACATTCTTGCGAGGCTTTGTTTGTTGGAATTTTTCTCATACAGTCCCAAACGCAATATCCTCCCCCACCCCCTTCTCTTGAAAGTATGATTTTGATGCATTTATTGTTTACCTTCTGAAAGCTACCTTTGATGTTGTTGCCAGGTGGTCATCTTAATCATAGCCCCGAGAGTACATGCTCCAGTTTCATTGATCACAAAAACCCTGCTGGAAGTTGCCATTTTTACCCAGTATGTGCCAAGACTTCTTCGAATCTATCCATTGTACAAGGAAGTAACAAGAAATTCTGGGATATTCACTGAAACTCCCTGGGCTGCAGCTGCATTCAATTTATTTATTTACATGCTAGCAAGTAATGTAAGTTTCCTCGCCTCTGGAACATGTCATACCCACAGTTGCAAGCATTTCAGAAAGTCATGTTTCTGTTAAGCATAACTTATTAATGCATGAGTCCCGTAATTGTATGTCCTGATCTGTGAGTGTGGTGTTTTTGGTATTTCTATGCCCCTATTGAATTTTTGTTATAGTTTGCCTGATAGCTTCTTGTTGCCAACTTGAAGAAATATTCCTCCTTATAGTCCTAACAGATAGTGTAACTCTTATGTTAGGTACTTGGAGCATTCTGGTACTTGTTCACAGTAGAGCGTGTAGATACGTGTTGGCGTAAATCATGTAAAAAACCTTTCTGCAGTGTTGACAGTTTGTACTGTGGAGTGTCTCGTACAGGAGACTATTCTTTTCTAAATTCTTCTTGCCCTCTCTTGGAACCGGACGAGATAAAACGACCAACAGATTTTAACTTTGGCATATTCCTTGAAGCTCTTCAGTCTGATGTGGTTATAAAGCGAAACTTTTGGGAGAAGCTCTTCTATTGCTTCTGGTGGGGCTTGCGAAATCTAAGGTTTGTCCTTAAGAAGTTTGTGTTTATCTTTGTTTATTTCTTGGTTCGGTACATTCCATACTGTTAATTTTTCCAGTTTAACATTTCAACACTTCATGCAATTTTCTTTAATCATGCTAGACCGTTTGTTGAGACCTTTGGTCATTACATTTTGATACCATTGCCCAAACATTTGAGATTTTTGTAAGAGAATAGTCTATTTTTAAATTCAAGAAGAGAGAGTCATTTAAGACTTAGTTGATGATAAAGAGGTTAATATGTCGTTTTAACAAAACCAAGAAAGAGATGTAGGGAAAAAAAAAGAGCAACTAAAATAGACAACCCTTTCCTATGGCAGAAAGTAAACTGAGCCAAAATAGTGTAAAAGTATCAGATTGGCCAGCTGTATGTTTTTGTTTCAGACCCATTTTCCACCAGATTTGGACAATAATTTCAAATGAAACATCTATTGAGGTTTATCTTGAAGTGCTGGAACCATCATTCACACTTAGTCAGGAAGTTCTTCATATGATGGATCGAATCTTAGGTTCTATCAGATATTCAGACTTCTGGCCCTTGTGAGTTGGAGCAATTTTTATATGTTAGAATGAATTCATTCCTCTGGTTTAGTATAATGAATGGAAAAAAAAAAAAATTTCCTAATCTTCTGCTTGCCAGTATTGGGTTTCAAAACCCGATGAATTTGTTAAGTACTCCAGATATTCAGACTTCTGGCCCTTGTGAGTTGGAGCAGTTTTGATATGGTAGAATGAATTCATTGCTCTGGTTTAGTAAAATGAACGAAAAAAAAAAAAAAAACGTTTCCCAGTCTTCTGCTTACTAGTATTGGGTTGCAAAACCAGATGACTTTGTTAAGTACTCCACAGACCTCCTTCCCTGAATGATTGTCCTGTTTGTTGCAGTATGGAGTACTGCATCCATTTGTAGATAAATGTAAAACATATGGGACCAAACAACAAAAGTATGCCTGATTCATTTTTGCTCCTGAATCAAAATTCTGTCTATTTCTTTTAAGCAGTGACTCTTTCTTTTGGTGAAACGGATGAGCTTCTATATGAATCCAATTTTCAGTCATTTATTCACACCATTTCACTTCATTGAATTTGGAGATGACACACATATTCTTTCATTTTTCGTTCAGTTCCTTGGGACAAAACCTCAGAACAAGCAGTTTTATCGGGGAGAATCTGTTTGCCATCTTCATCTCAATCATTGGCTTGGTTTTATTTGCACTGCTTATTGGCAACATGCAGGTAGAGAAGATAATCTCATCTAATATTTACTTTCTAAATATATGCACAAGTTTTTTCTTTGCGAAATGTCATGACTTTCATTTTTATTCTTTTTTTCTGGCTTTTGGCCAGGTAATTATTTCACTAGTTTCAATGCTCACTCAACAATTTAAGTGAAGTAAATTTGTTTATTCCATCTGAAAGCTTCATCAATAGTAATGGAAAAAATATCACACGTCATCACACGTCCAAATCTAGGGATAAATTGGCTCAATTAGTAAACAATAGCTAAGTCACCAAGAGCGAAAAAATATGAAAGCTGGACCACTATGTGGATCTTGCTCTTTGTTTTTGCTTTCTGAAATTCCAATGTCATTACAGCTCTCGCAAATTTTCTTTGGTACAGTAGTAACTTTGTCATTTTTGGGATTTTAAACTGAAATGCTAAACGTACTTGATTCCTTGCTGCTACAGAAATATTTGCAGTCCATCACTGTTAGAGTGGAGGAAATGCGTGTGAAAAGGCGAGATGTAGAGCAGTGGATGTCACATCGTATGCTGCCTGAAAATCTTCGGCACCGGATCAGGAGGTATGAACAGTACAAATGGCAAGAAACAAGAGGTGTTCAGGAAGATGCTTTGATTAAGAATCTTCCAAAGGATTTGAGAAGGGACATAAACCGTCACCACTGCTGGGCTTTACTAACTAGAGTAAGTTTCATCTTTACGTTTGCTGCATTGCCTTTGAGTATGTTTATCATTTTTCCTTATACGATCATAGTATCTCTTACCTGAGATGGATCTTAAAATGGATTTTATCATCGGTATAGGTGCCAATGTTTGCAAAAATGGATGATCGGTTGATGGATGCTTTGTGTGATCGTCTGAAACCAGTTCTTTATACTGAGAAAAGTTGCATTTATCGCGAGGGTGATCCAGTTGATGAAATGCTCTTTCTCATGCGTGGCAATCTATTAACAATGACCACCAATGGTGGAAGAACTGGTTTCTTCAATTCTGTTTATCTCAACGCTGGGGATTTTTGTGGAGAGGAGCTTCTTACATGGGCTTTGGATCCTAATTCTAGCTCCAGCCTTCCAATTTCAACCAGAACAGTCCAAGCTGTGAAAGATGTTGAAGCTTTTGCTTTGAAAGCTGATGACCTGAGGTTTGTAGCCTCCCAGTTCCGGCGTCTCCACAGCAAGCAGCTCCAGCACACCTTCAGGTAATCTTTTAATATTAATGGCCAAAATATTCCTTCATGCTCAGAAGTCAAGACCAGTTTTGGGCTGATTAGTATTAACGCCAGCATACTTTCTTTGCTCTTCATGTTTCCAGTGTTTGTTATACTTAATTGAAAATGATTGAATGGATGCAAACATCAAAGAATCTTGTCAAATCTTGCTAAATGCAATCACCTAGGCCTTAGGGAATGTGCATCATTTCTAACGTGTTAGTCCATCTCAGGTTCTACTCCCAGCAATGGAGAACATGGGCAGCTTGCTTCATACAAGCAGCTTGGCGTCGTCATACGAGGAAGAAACTCGAGAAGTCCTTGCGGGAGGAAGAAGATAGATTGCAGGGTGCCCTGGCCAAAGGAGGAAACTTAACCAGCCTTGCTGCCACTATTTATGCATCCAAGTTTGCTGCCAATGCACTACGTGCGCTACGTCGCAGTCATCCCCAAAGTAGTGCTAGAGTATCACCCAGATTACCTCCTCTACTGCCTCAGAAACCAGCAGAACCTGATTTCAAGGCTGAGAATTAGATGTAAATGTGAAGAGAGATTACACTTTCTTGTAAAGAAATCTTTAGTACTAACTGACTGCTGAAATGAAATTTTGTTTGTTTCATAGAGAAGAGTGACACTATCTTAGTTTTATTTTCCGCTTGAACTGAAATACTAAAAAAAGAAAACCCAAAAGAAAAAAAAAAAATTAGTGTACTCACCTCTTCTCTACTAACAAATGAGTTTATTCTATACCCCATTTGTCAATCGCAGGTAAGTGATTCCCAGCAACCGTAATAAAATACTCTTTTATTCTAAAAATGAGTTTATTCTATACACTTGTCATACCAAGTAAATAATTGAGTGATATTATAATCAAGGATATAACAGTTTCACTTTATGGTTATGTTTTTTTTTTTCCTTTCAAATGGAAGATAGAGTTTGAGTAAATTAATAAATTAGATAGAAAAGTTTTTGGCTTCGTGCAATATTTTCCTCTGAAAATCACAGTGTTAATCATAAATGTAAATTTTTATTATAATAATGAAAAATTAGAGGGTATAATACTTTGGAATAAATTAATAGTTACAGAGAGGGAAACGTTTTTGGCCTATATTGTGTTTCAGATTCATTCAATCAACCAATCGCACGAACCCAACTGGGGGTCTGTGGTCAACATTAAAAACTACCAAAACTCAACTAAAGTAAGCCCTGTTTCTTCTTCTCTCCTCAGACCTCATCAAAGCATCAGCAGCAATGGCGGCTACCAGAGTGATAGTGTCCGCAAGCAGCACTGTCACCACTTCCTTGTTGAAGAAAACCCCATTGCGAGCACCCACTCCCAGTTTCAGCCTCTGCTTCAACTATGGTAAAAATGGGCATGTCCTTCAAAAGCGCCGCCTTTTTACTTGCAAGTCTATATACAACCCACAAGTTCAGATCAAAGAAGATGGCCAGCCTGAAACCCTTGACTACAGAGTGTTTTTCCTTGATAATTCTGGCAAAAAGGTATCTCCTTTATCCCTCTGGACTTCATTTCATGCGGTTTTTTGATGCGGGAAAGTTAATTGCTCCAAAGAATGTTCATAATTTTCATTCGGGGTGTTCTGTGTCGAAGTTAATTGAAGGCGTTGAATTGTGATAATGTTGTTTTTTTATTCTGAATTCACTGGCTTGAAAGTTAATTGGCACCAAACTCTTTGATTCTCTTCCTAATGTTTTCCTGAAGTCCTATGCCTAACTGGAGTGAGTGTAGTCGTAAAACTGTTTATACAGCAATTTGCCAATACTTGCTTGTGAAATTACATTCTGTTTCATAATCGTTTGTGATTTCTAGTACTTAATTAGCAGATATGTACTTTTAATAGCCAGAACAGTTATTGGCCTGTTTCATGTGTAAGGATATTCTTGTACTAGTAGTTGTTAGCTACCATTTATTGTGCAAATTATTAGTTCTGTACTTCAATATACATGCATGAAACCGAGTTCTAAAATGCATATGTACTTCGATTATGATTTTTCTGGTAGGAAGCTTGTGGGTCTTGTCTCCTCTTCTTCTTTGTTGGTTTACAAGGAACATGATTTTTAAATGAACTTGCAGATATCTCCTTGGCACGATATTCCTTTACACCTAGGTGATGGTGCTTTCAACTTTATTGTTGAAATTCCAAAAGAATCAAGTGCAAAGATGGAGGTTGCCACTGATGAGCAGTTTACCCCCATAAAACAAGATACAAAGAAGGGAAAGCTTCGATACTATCCGTAAGATTGAACTCAAGATCTTCTTCCCTTGCATATTATGTACAATGCATATGAGCTATTTGAATTGCTTCTGCCTCTGATCTCATATCACCTTGTAACATTTCATGTCGCCATAGCTGTTGGTTGGCCTTTTGAATTTCTTACTTAGCTAACTAAGAGAGGAGTATGACATTAGGGGCTTACATTTGGTTCTTATTTGTGATCTGTACTCATAGGGTATAAACATAACAAGATTTGTATTTCCTGTTGTCATGTTAACTAATACGTGAAGCCATTAACGATGGGACTGTTAGCTAAACTATGTTCTTCCTTTAGCAATGATTGGACTGCGTGCTAAATTAAGTTCCTCCTTTAGATTCATTTATGCAATCAATTCTGTGATTTTTCCTTGTCAAAATGCCATCGGTTGAATTGTCACCATTTGCTTATTAACTAGAGCTGAAACCTTTATCCTTTTGCAAATAAAATGTGGTTCTCTATGGTAGTGGTTTATTAAACTTTGTATTTCCCTAGATTTTGTTGGCCAATATTGAAAATTACAGGTACTTCCTTTAAGAAAGCTTTTTGATTTGCCCCTGGCTTTTTATGTTACCTATAAGCTTTAGGCAATCCAGCTAGAATTATCTTTCTTTTTATGCATAAACATTGTAAATGAAATGAACTGGTTGGACCATTTTCTGTAACTTTTTTACTATGTTAGATGTATGGACTTTCTCCAACATCTGCTGCCTTTCATGTTCCATCATTTAAGGGCAACATGTTTTTATCTTATCAGGTACAACATTAATTGGAATTATGGTTTACTTCCACAAACATGGGAGGACCCGTCATTTGCAAATGCCGATGTAGAGGGAGCATTTGGAGATAATGATCCTGGTAGGCTTTTAATCTTCTCACAGACTGATAACATCGTATGATTTAAACCGGGGCCATTTTCCATTCTCCTTCTTTGGGGAGATAAACAAAAACTATGGCACTCTGCCTCTATTGATTTCTTCTTTTCTTTTTTAAACTGCAGTTGATGTTGTTGAGATTGGAGATAGGCGTGCTAATATCGGCGAGGTCTTAAAAGTGAAGCCTTTAGGTGCTTTGGCAATGATTGATGAAGGTGAGCTTGACTGGAAAATTGTTGCGATCTCACTGGATGATCCAAGAGCTTCACTTGTCAATGATGTGGATGACGTTGAGAAGCATTTCCCGGTATGTTTAGTTACATTTTCTTTGATGTGATCTTAAATTTTGTGGCATATTGAGCTTTCTTTTCCAATTCAAAAAATCTGGCCTTTATTGAAATATAGGCATTTACATGCCCTTCAGAGGTGTTCAGTTTCTTGAATGACAAACTTGGAAGTAATGTTTCCGCATACATTGTTCTGTATGGTCTTTGTCTTTGTTGACTGAGATCTAGCAATATCTTAAGCTTTACCACATAAAATTGCAGGGCACTCTTACTGCAATAAGGGACTGGTTCAGAGACTACAAAATCCCTGATGGGAAACCTGCTAACAAGTTTGGTCTTGGAAATAAAGCTGCAAATAAGGTATTTTTAACAATTCAAATCTTACAATTGCTACCCAGGAACTTGCCTTTACAGTTATTTGATGAGCTAGATATTTGCTTCCCCATGATTTCTACTTTACCCGGCTAAGAAATCCATTCTCTTAAGCAAAAGTAATCCACTCAAATAATTTAGCTTTGGTTTCTGTCAACGTGAAGTTATTTAGTTTGACTAGTGATGCCCAAAGATTGAAAGATATGGTTTGTTTTGATCACAAATTACACTTCTCAGAAAATGTAATCTCTTCAGTTGTTTTGACATTTGGTGCTTGTTTAATTTGCTTTAATCTTTTCACCCCTTCTTTGCTTTAGGAATATGCACTTAAAGTCATCACTGAAACCAATGAAGCTTGGTCTAATCTTGTGAAAAGATCGATCCCAGCTGGCGAGCTCTCACTCGTCTAAATGTGACTTCAATTTTCAGCTGCCATCCATTCAACTGGGGTAAACATCATAAATCTTTGTTAGTCCATAGATATTTATTTGAGATGGGAATAATTAGTTTCTCTTGTACTTACTGAGACGAATTCTTTTGCTTGAGGATTTGTAGTTTATGATGCAGTTGAAAAAACACACTGTTAGACTGCCTTTGTAATGGATATCTTCATCCCTTATGGATTTCCCTCCCTCTGTATTTTTTGGTTCATTCTTTTTCATCATTCTAATGAAAGGGGAACTGCGGTCTTACGCTGCGGATGAGTTCTGATATCTCAATCTCAACTCTGAGATTGGTGAGCAAAGCCTAGTCGGCGCTACTCATTTTCGCTAGCTCAAAATAGAGTTCTACCTTTAAGATGTGGTATTGTGAGGACACAATCATTATTGCCTTTTTGATGAACTTGGAAACATACAGGTGGAAGGGTAAAATATGTTACTAATAAAAGAAACTCTATTTCATTCATTTTTGTATTGGACTTTGATTACTTGGGAAACTTGGAAAGGACAAGTGAAGAATAACAACCCACCGTTCGGTGTCCTGTGTCAAATTTTTGGAGTTGTAGTTATCAGGAAAATCAATTTAAGCATGAAACCTGTAAATTGGAAGTTGCGAATGGGGAAAGGTCATTCTGGGATTAACAAGAACATGTTACTGAGACATAAGGAGCAGATTCAAAGCTTCAAATTTACAGCCTAATCTTTACAAACTGCAAAAAAGTTAAAAAGGCGAAGCATTCCTTTCGGCTTTAACAGTTGCTGAGTTCAAGAATATCTGGGACGCTCTTCAGCGGAGTCTTGCAGCTCCTAGTCTTGGACCTCTCTGAAAACCACTTCTGGACTAATGCCTTCATTTCAGAAACGGTCTTCAGCTTCTGCGGCGGCTGCTGTTGTGAACCACCAGACATTGGCGGTGGTTGAGGAGTACTATGTATGTGGCGGTGGAGCATGAGCTGTGCTGCCGTCGGCACCATTTGAAAGCTTCTTAAACTCAAAAGCGAGAATTAGTAATGAATAAGGCGGAAGAAAATCAGAGCAAATTATGAAGAATGGTGGACAGTGGCTGCTATTTATAGTTGTAGTAGTTAAATGGTCTGTACATGATAAAACAGTAGTAATTGGGAAGTAGTAAAAGTTTTTGAGTTGAAAATGCATGTTGGCAATACAACTCATAAACTGAGGGCGGATGGATCTTTGCATTTTTTTTTTCCTTCCCACTGTTTTGGTCCAAGATTACGCTTCTCCTGCGGCGCGGTTCATTACAGTGGGCTTTTTTGGGTACCTGGGATTTTTAACAGAGCCTTTTCCACCTTTCACTTCCATAATTTCTTCGGAATTTGACCTTCTGTCTGATAATTAACAGTAGTAACTTTGTTTTCTTATCAATGAACATAGAGAACCCACATGGACTTTTTTTTTTTCTGAAAAAATATACGATAACATTAGCGCGATATCTCTTGTTAGTCAACCGAAACACGAAACTTCAGCTCAAGCACAAAAGTTTTGAAGTGAGTATAGAAGTGGACTCCTAAACAAACAAATGTGACGCTGACTCCAGTAGTGAATACTGTGTGCTATTAGTATGGGAAAAACTTTGAAAACTAGCAGCAACCAAATCACTCGGGCTGCTGGACTAGCAACAGTAACAAACCATTTGATACATATACTGGAAAATAAATCGCTACATATACTTGAAAATAAATTGCTGATGCCTAACAAAATGCACATCACGATGTCTACAATTTAAGTGAGTGGCAAAATGCCACAATTCCCTGTGCTTCTCGAGATTAGGAAAAAAAAAAAAAGAAGAGAGAATTATAGCCTTATTTACACTCGAGATGAAACACTTGACAGAGAATTTACAACATGTCAGACTTCACTTGTGACTGATGCCTTGGCAATCCAACGAAAATAGTCGTTCAGCACAAGCTTCGGTTGTTTGTTTCAACCGGCTTTTCTTCAAGCAAGGGTGTCATGTTTGACCTGTCACTCGCAGGAATTCCGTGTTCACTTTCTTCGTTGAATCTATCAACACTCTTAAGGAAGATACCTGCCAAAGCCACCAAAAATTAATTTGTTCAAGGCTCACTCATTTCAAGTTAATAAAGCCCACACCCCCCAAAAAAAAAAAAAAGAACACACTTTGAACTTAACAATTATAAGGTTATTAGAAAGCTATTAGTAACTTATCCTTATATGACATGATTAGCGCCAAAAACTTCAAACTACTAACCAATACACCATACTGCAGCCGCGAGAAACAAAATCGATGTTAGAATTAGTGCTGTTTTTCTCCAATTGTCGATATGGTCCTGCAAAAAAAAAATTGATTACATTGATAAGCAGCAACCCGAAAAAAGAATATAACATGAAAACAATATAGTGCCTTTCTACATTTAATAATATTGACATAGAAATTAGATGCTGATTGTTATAGAGACTATTTTGCAAATTGATATCGCAAAAACTAGCAACGCATTGCCGTTGAAGTGCTATATCAGTATCAAACAAGCAGCACAAGCATTATTAGGGGAACTCACACTTATATTACCGTTTTCCAAGTTGACATTTTATCATCTTCTTTCCACTTTTCGAGATATAAATGAATTGCTCTTTCCAGTTGTAAATGAAATATAGAAATTCTAAGAGCCACATTTTGGAAACTAAGTACTACTTTATGTTTCAAGCTTCATATATCAAAGTGTTGCAACAAAAATTCAATAAAATCATATGATCAGTAACATATCAAATAAACACTTTTATTGAAAAGTATACATTTAGTGAGACTAAGTACCTGGAGAACTCCCACAAGAGGCGAGGAAGGCACATCCCCGAATATATGAATTGAAACAGTAGACATTGCAATTGATAAAGGTCTCAAACTGGGCTTTACACAGTGCAAACATACAAAATTCACAGGACCCTGCAACCACATCACAAAAGCTTTCCTATTTATTATGATGATCATCTATGGACAGTTGAAATTTTTATTGAAAAACTACATATGGATGTGCAATAAACAAAATAATTACAAAATTCTCCGTTTTTGAGATGTTTTGCAACAATTGCAGTACATATATGGGTAGTACTGAATGTAAAAGACCCAAGAGAATCTAACGTAGTACTTCCCACTTAAGCTCAACATTTTATACCATCCACATCTTCAATTGCAGCTTATATGGTAAACAAACATTTGAGATTACAATATTGGAAACCACAAAATAAAAAATCAATGACAGTCAAATTGATTGACAGGTCACCTGAGTGGCAAATAGAAGCAGCTCTCCAATTGCAAAAAATGCTATGAAAACATATAAGCTCTTGAAACAAAATGCAGCAAAACAGAATATTCCCCCACACAAGGTAGCCACAGAAAGAAGCTGCAAAAGAAAAATAAGCGAGAGACAAGTTATCAAAAGAACAAAGAATATGTGTAAGCCAATGATACTGAAACTAGGAAAAAGTGGAGACTTCATTTCAAATGTAACAAACCAATTCCATCAAAAAAAGACTAACAATCTGAAAAAACTGAGAAACTTGACCTAATATTACTGACAACAATTAGTACTACAAATTATATGCACGAGGATTGAAAACACTGGTTCAATTATAACAACTCTTTTAACTGACTAAAGATCTCAGGACAATTTTATCTCATTTTAGATCAACAGTAGCCAAACCATAGATATTTAACAGATAAAGAGATGTGCTGAAAAGTAAAGTTTTCTGAACAAAGCATTGGAGGGTCATCCTATTATAGCCACGTGAATGGTAGGAAAATTCTAAAAATATCCTTAACAAATTTTATAAAGATATATAGACCAGATTGTATTTTACTTCAACAGTGCAATACTAAAATATTATTATAACAAAATGAACATGATAAGTTACCTTAAAAGCATTGGGAATTGTGGAAGTCAACCGATCTAGAACAAAACCTCCGGCTAGAGTTCCAAATACACCACATATACATGTCACACCGCCGAAAGTGTAATCTGCATTTTTCTAGGACATAATAAAGTATAACTTAGTTACAAAAATCAGTCAGAAATTTTAGGCATATATTTTCACTTGACATTAGATATAGACAAAATATTTGAAAGATCCCAAAAAACAAATCTGAGATAATGTATCTTTCGAGAAGCCTGTGAAAAAAAATGTAAGAACCTTTGGAAGCTTACCATGTGATATATGTTATAACCAGCCTTTGGTCCCCAATAAGAATATGCACCTATAACAAAATTATATGCCGTATAGCCTGCAAAATATCATTCACAATTACTAAGAATAAGCTCAACAGTGTAACAATATTATAGATCTAATATGCTAGATTAAGATTTAACTGCATTCATAATCAGCTGTAAACCGGGAGACAATAGCAATGAGTTAATTTCCCCTTTGCAAGGCACTAAAGGGTGTACCTATAACATTCACAACATAAACCTTGTCAACCAAAATACTTTTTGCATCTTTTAGAAAGCTTTTCCCTTGGGTTGGTTTTGTAATATCCTTTGACCTGCAAGAAAGCTCAATTGTGTTACAAGTTTAAGCATAACAGGAAGTATACCAAACAAAAAGTTTTCACAATCATATATGGATCATAATAAAAATTAAATAACAAACATATCTTACTTGGAAGGTCCTGATGTTTGCTTTTGCAACTCTTCTGTGACAGACAATTGGCCACCTTTAAGATTTGGAAAGAAAAGCATTTAGAAATTATCTAAATGAAATGATGGAGCCAAGAGAGATACATGCACACATGAAAGATGGAATTTAAATTAGAAAGATAATTTATAAACCTTTCAACCCAAGAGCACTAGATGGGTAACAGGTTGAGATTGTCGATTAGCAGAATTGCCATTATCTTCATTAATGACTATTGAATAAGCATTATCTTCATTAAGGACCAGAAAACCAATGTTCTATCCATTAAGAAGGCCAACTAGAACTCGAAGTGCAAGCCAAGCCAATGAAAAAGTAAAGAAAGATTATTTTTGGCTTTCCCTATTTTTTTGGGTAAACTAGTACCTTTAACTCAAGAAGTGTTGAGTCACTATACTATTCAATATGCAAGTCAAAGCATGAGTCACTTGAAAGAAACGATGGGACATGAGTTACTACATGACTAGTTTATTCTTTCTCAAACTGGATTCAAAGATGATAAAATATAGACTTATTTGAACTTTCTACCCCAGCTATTAGGGTAAAATATTCTCAACATGAGCTAAATTTTACAGCAAATTAAATAAATGAAACCAATATTGTGGCACATTCAATATACTAAACTTTCAAGTGGAAAGCAAGAGTCTGAGTACTGCAACTAATAGATTCAAAGCAACTAGATAAATTTAGATATACTTATTTGAAAACACAGCACCTTGGTCTTCAGTGGCAGCTGTCTCTACAGTCAATGCTTTTTTGGATCCAGCTGGAGCAAAACCTGTATCGACAAATTCTTAGAAAGAGCTCTAATGCCAATTAATTGCAGATGTAAGAAAATCAGGCCAATTAGCACCTTTAAGCTGCAAGGGTCTCATCACAAATCCTAATACAGCAAAAGGAAGCATCATAACAGCCTCGATCCAAAATGCATACCGCCAAGAGAGATGATTCCCCACCTACCAGACAGAAAACTACAATTTCAACCAAGCCAAAGAAAGGAGAATGTATGACCAGAAATGACAAAGAACCAACTAGACAGTAAAAGATGTCAAGAGAACAAAACAGAATTAGTTTCATATAGAGATAAAGTAAGTTTATGCTTACCAATCCACCATAGACGTAACCAAGTGCCACACCACATGGTATGCACATGTAGAAAACACCCAACCAAGCTGCTTTCTGGTTCCCAAATAAAATAATTAAAAAAAAATTATGATCTCAATGAGGAAATGGACAGACACAATGTTCAATGCCTTTAACACGTTCTCAATTAAGAAACAAAAGATAAATAAATACCTTTGCAGGTGGAGCGTTGTCATCAATGTAAGGGGCTGCAAGACTCACAAAAGAAGCCTCTCCAACTCCAACAAACCTAAAGGAGCACATCTTAGTTTTACTTTTGCTTTCTTTCAATCTTCTACGAAGGTGAAAAACTCACTTTTTCTTCCTTTCAATCTTCTATGAAGGTGAAAAACTCAAAGCAATATCAGAAATCTTTTCATTTACAAGTTTCTTTTCTTACATGCGGCAGAAGGCAATGGACCAGAAATCAACAGTAAAACCACAACCCGCAACAGCGATGGTCCAGACGGTCAAACCAACTCCAATAAGCCGAAAGGGGTTAACCCTACACATGTGGGGACCAAAAAGGAAAAGGCAAAATTAGGAAAAAGACAATCCAGAGCCCTTCACAAAAAGTAATCACTAAAACTAAGAAAATATAATTCATCATCACGAGTATTCTAAGAGTTTTATACAGTTCATAATATTTAACAGAATATGGCAACCGCACACGGTTCAGTCTCAACATAAAGAAATGGGGCAGGGAGGAATGTTTTTCTATCAACAAACATATTTGCTTCAACACTGCATTTTCTCCATGTGCATAAACTAAGTGACATAATGGGTAAACTAAAATGGATCTCCCCCTTACCTCTTGGCTAAGTAAGCAAATATTGGAGATGCCACAAGGAATCCAACCATAAAGGCTGATGATATTACACCATCCTGAAAATTACTCAAATTGAAATCGCCCCTGCATTGAGAAAGACGATTAGAACAAATTACCTTTTTATTAGCTGTTATATATCAAAGGCAGATGAAGGCTGAGCAACTACGGATGATTGCAACTCTTAAATGTCATACCACACAAAGAAAACATATAATGCAGATAACACAGCTAATTCTAAAGCTTACAGAGAACAGCATCTATGATTCATGTCATCAAATAATAAACACAAGGAAAAAGAAGAATGATGAAATAGTATATTAGGTTGGAGAAGGAAAACTTACTGAATACCACTACCTCCTGAACAAGCACCGTCTTTGGTACAAGTATTTGGATTTCCATTGACACCGTTACTTGCTATGGCTCCGCGATCCACATAATTAATCAAGTTGACCACACAAAATATCACAAGCAATCTGCAAACAAATGAATAGGAGTTAAAAGATTTTAGCCATAATCACTACCGCCAAAGTGTATCTTCCCAAATCAATGATTTGTTGAGCTGCTATTCCTACCCAAAAGAATGAGAAACTCAAATCTTCGCTTTATCCCTCCCCACAAGTCAAATAACCAAGCGCGTTCGAGCTATTAACTATAACTGTAAAAGAAACTAACAAGAAACATGATGCAAATAGCATAGATTCTCCAACAGGACTTTGGTTAGCTAACTTTTAGATAAGTTCCCTTAATGAAACGAAATCCGAACGAATCAAGCCTTTTGAACTTGTTCCCAAAATTCTCTGTATAGCACCTTCATAATCAAAATATACGAGCAAGAATCTCTGTTTTCAAGCAGACCCATATGGCCAAAGTGACTAAAAACAACACAAAATTTTCAACTCTACCCGAAATTCGCATAGTTTCCCAGCAACCCACCAAAAAAGAAAAAGGAAAAGAAGGAAAAAGGTGCATTCTTTCTGCCACAAGAATTAAGAAAAAGAAGCTTACCTAACCGGTGTAAACCAGGAGGGGCTAGGAGGTGATGATAATGACGGCATTGGAGGTTCAGCCGGCGGAGGAGGCTGGGAAGAGACGTCGTCAACCACCGTGGACGGAGGATTAGGATTTAAGTTTGGTTCAGATTCTTGCTGTGACTTTGCCTCCTCCTCCTCGTCTCCCATGGAAAATAATGGTATAATTTTGAAAGGTAATATATAACTAAAAAAATTAATGACGTAAATATATTCAGAATTGACTAATTTTAATGGTGTTTTTTTTTGGGTTTTTTGACTGGTCGTTTGTCATTCGGGAGAGAAAAATATCATCATCCCCCTCAAATGGTGAAAAACTTGAAAACAAAAGATCCTTTTGTTCTGAGGAATCAGCTGGCTCAAGTTCGTTTGTTGTTATCTTCAACCTTCGATTCTTTTAAGGAAAAAAGGAAGAAAAGATCCAACTAAGCCCACAAAGTATCTTTCACTTTATGTTGTTGCTTAGCATTAGGATATTGTTTTTGGTTTGTTTTTCTTTTTTTTTCCCCCACTACATTGGGTAAATTTTAAAGATTTATAATTGTGGTTTAAAGATCTTGTTCTGTTGAGAAAAATAAAATTTGGACTTGAATTTTATGGATAATGGCTAAGAGGTTAGTTGGGATATTCCCTGGATTCTTGGATATGTTATCTGACTAATTAATTTTGTGTTTTTTTTTTGTTTTGGAAAAAAATATTTTAATCTCCTTTTTTTTTGTTTTATTAAGGATATATTGATTTAATCTTGATAATGAACTTATCATGTTTTTGGAATATATTCCTTCAATCTCAAAAATAATCCACCACGAATTTGGAGATTTGAGATGGATTGACTAATATTTATCCCAAGATGATTGTCTCCTAACTAACAACAATTATTATGGTATGGATAAATATTTTTATTGACATTTGATAAATACAGAACCATTTTGTCTATCTTATATAATGATAAAATTGTTTGAATTTTATAATTTCAATATCATTTACACTAAAATTAAAAGTTCAAATTTTGGGATAAAAAGTTAATTATAAGAGTTTATCAGTATATATGCATGCCTCAATTTTCTCTTGCATGAATCCAACAATTATTTACCCTCTTTAAGTCCTTCATAAATTACTTCGAATTTTCATTAGCGAATTTCTGTAGAGTGCGATTTGATCTCGGAACACATGTTTCATTGCAAAACTCTTTCCACTGAATTGGGATCTATTTTTTGACTATTCCGAGTTTAAAACAAAATTGTTAGAACTTTTTTAAATTGGTGAGTATTGTAAAAAAAAAAAAAAAGGTGTAAATTGGCATTAGGAATACTAGTATGTGTTTCGTGCTTTGGTGCGGGTTTGTCAATGTTGAAAATTTGTCTTCCAACACAATTAATTAGATAATGTAGTTACTAATATTTCTTAAAACCGTAATATTTTTTTGATTAATCAATTTTAGATCAAAATGAGAGATATTGATATTATTTATGGGATGTATATTTGTAAGATCTGGCCAAAAATATTACAACAAAAATTTTGAAAAATTGTATAATAAAAATTGTCACCACTAACTAATATTATGTTTGGATAAAAAAATATATTTAAAAAATACGCAAATTATGTCTTGATGTTTATGGCTTATTTATGGGTAAGAGGACTTTGAGGATTAGGCACAATTAATCGTCCTTAAAAATATAAAATCGATAAACTTGAAGACTGAATAGCACATAAATAGAACTTTAAAGGCTAAAATGATAATAAGTTGAAAGTGAGGCTTGATGGTCTCAATTAGCGACACGTGTCGATTATCTTTCTTTCCTTTAATATATATAATAATGATTAGAAAGTATTTACAAAATACTGTATGAAATAAGAAAGCAACCATCCTTCCCAGACCTCCATCCTAAAAACCCCAAAAGGCATCCAAAAAAAAATCTCAACTTAGTAGTAAAGGTATATACCATAGGGTATATACTTTTCCCAATAATTTTAGCTTTGCATCCCTTTCTTTTCACTATTTTCACACATCATTTAAGCCCATCAAAGTAGTCAATATTAATAGCAAAACATACATCTAATGTCACTGCCAAATAATGAAAATGGTGAAGCTGCTAATTAGTATCCTCGGATTGATATTGCTCCTTGGATTCTGCAAGTTGATCTGTTTCCTCAGATGATGATATCCAATCTCCATCTGCCTGGATCACTTCATTGGATCCATTCACTGCTTGAACCCCAACTAAGTCCGCAACTCTCACCTAAAATTGTATCGAAAAAATGTAAAAACGTGCATTGGAACACTGGCGTCACAGTTAACCGTGTGGACATGCAAAAAACTTGCCATATAGTCTATATGCTGAGCTCGAAGTAAAACTTTGTTTTGCTCTTTTACGGTTTTACCTGCAACGGTTTCATGACAATGGCATCTCTTTCACCAGTTTTGTCGAATGTATCCTGAGCTTGTACCTCCATCGAATCCCGGACTATTTGACTGATAAAGCTCACATCATCGGACATAACACCAAACCCTTTCAGCATCTTAGAGCCAAGTTGCAAACTTGTCTGCACAACCAGATTTAGATATGTAATCAGAAAGTTCCAAATCATTACTAAGATTGAAAAGAAGGATCCAACTAACAATACCTCTGCATTTTCAAGGATGGCATCTGTTGCGCCTGCTTTTTTCAGTTCCAACAGATGCATCATATCCTGGGCCCGAGCATAAATTGGAACCTGGGAAGAGTTCACCAGGAAAAAGTTTGATAGAGCTACAACTGGGAGTAATCAAGAACTTGATGAGTAGGATGATTGTCGTTCTTAATTTATCAGAATCACAGAATGTTATTTATCAGCTGAGGAATACAAATAAGGTAATTGACCAATACTTGGAAATTTTAACCACAGAATCTAGAAATATACAGACGAAAAGGAACTAGGAATGGACAAGAGATGAAGATAACTGGAGGACAAATTACCGCAGGAAAGGCCAACCGGATCCTCTGAACAGCTTCAAGTGTCTTCTCTTTCCCAGTGTACATTACCATAACCGCTTTCGGGGAAGATATGCCAGCAGATTGCAAAACCGCTGGAAGTGATCCATCACCATATAGAACAGGGAAACCAAGCTTTCTAGATGCCTGCAGATGCAGTTATTCAATACTGGAGAACTTTTTGGTGAAACAGACAGCAAATATTTTTCTCTTCATTACAACAGTTGTAATTGTACCTTCACAACGGATAAATCAATATCAAAAGCTACGTAAGGCCATCCCTCAGTCACACCATCACCATCCAGTCCTGAAGCCAGTGGAGTGGACAAGAAGTTGGCAAGAACCTGCATGGGATGACCAGCAACATGACTGTGGAATCCTACATTTCGTTAAGGCACCTTTACTACATGATATAACACCACATACCTGACCCATCTGTCCAAACCCAAGAATGACAACTGGATCACTTGCACTGAAATCAACCAAATCAGCATTTTTCTGTGAAGAAAATGATGTGTTACCCTTGCCAGAATTATGAGAGTTTAAACAGCACTTGATAACAGTTGTCATGCAAAGTTTGTCATATTATTGAAACAAGGATAGCTCTTTTGAATTAGCTTTCAAATGATTTATTACTGTATATGAAAATATTCATTCAGGTCAGGCATTGAAGTTGTCTCCTTGACAGAATGATAATGAGTTTCATACATCTCATAACATTCCATATCAACCTGTCATCTGAAGTACGTTACACAAGAACTAACAAAAACTTCATTTAAATGCTATCAGAATGGAGAATAAGAACTAACTGGTTTCTCACAGCATTTTAGGTTATACGTGGAGCTCCCCTATATTCTCTTCTCATGGAACTAAATTAAAAGGATGGATTAAGAATGTGAGCAATTATTAAAACACCGGCATCTAACTCAGTTCAATGATATCACACAGTACCGGTAAGCATCCAGCTTCTTCATGCAATCATTTGAAAAAGATTTTTGAAGTTAATGAAGCAATTACATACATCACGCTCCTCAAACCTCTTGCTAATAATATCGGCAGCTTTTCGTCCAACATCATTGAGCAAAGGAGTTAGAGCCATAGACAGCACAACAACAATTATAAGGAGCTTGTTTAGTTCAAGAGGGAGCACTCCAAGCCTGAAACCAGGTATAGACTTCTATGTAAGCATAATCTTACAGTTACCATATCAACCTGCAAAAAGTGAAGACCGATTCTTACCTGTTTGCAAGTGAGAATACCACAAATGCAAATTCTCCTCCCTGGGAAAGCAGGAATCCTATCCTGATGCTCTCTTGTAGAGAGAGTCCAACTCTGGGACCTATTGCTGCTATTATGAGGGTTTTGATGACAATCAAACCTCCTAGCAGTGAAAGCACATTTGGCCATTCTCGAAATAGAAGCTGCATAAACAAAAATGTAAAGAAATTTTCCATGAGGGAAACTTACCCCAACACATAGAAGGAAGAATCATAACTCACAAAAGCAGAAAAATGTGCACATAAAAATCATAATCCGCTATTTTAAGCAGACAAATGTGCATGTTAAAATCACTGTACAGCACATGAACCATGTACTAGTATAGAACACACACAAAACATATAATGTATCTGACATATGTAAAAGAAATATTTAGGCAACATGACAGCATTTTGATGCAATTTTGCACAAAGTAAGCATGGGACCAGAAGTGGCATTACCTCCATGTCAATAGAAGTCCCTGTGGTCACAAAAAACAATCCCAGAAGCAAACCTCTGAATGGCTTTATATCAGCTTCAATCTGTGTGCGGAAGTTTGTTTCTGCTAATAGAGCCCCAGCAAGAAAAGCTCCAAGCTGCAGAACGACAAATTTCAAATTAGATGGACTAACAATTAATTCACACTTTATGTGAACTTTATTTTGGTAACAAATTTTCTAACCGTATCACTAAAACCCAACTTCTGGGTCAGAAGTGATGTCCCAGCAACTGTCAGCAGGCAGAGGGCTACAAAAGCCTCTGAGCTTCTTGCTTCCGCAACCACCTGACAGAAAGTAACTTGATTTGGTTCGTGTAGATAATGTAAATCAACTTTGCTCCCCACTATATTAACCAACCTCAAAAACTCGCCTCAAAATTAATTTTCCTCCCAGAGAAAGCAAACCCAGTCCTAATAAAGCCTTGAGACTTTCTTGAACTAGCATTGGCCACATGCTCTCTTGTGCCAAATTCTGCAGGGACGTGTAAACCGAGATGAGAAACAAAAGGTGCAGCAGAAGAGTTGCACAATGCTGAAGTCGGCTATAAAATATTTATATAGTATACAGTCTCATGTCACTCAAAACCAGTAATCAAGTATACTACAATCTGACAAGGTCAATCATTTTGTCTTAAACAGAAGATAAAAGCACTAGATATACAAATCACTATATCTTTGGTGGAATCAAAAGAAAGATGCTGAAATACGTGTGCAAAGATACAATCACTTCAAATCAACATTATACCTGGGTTTCTAACACTGGGAGGATGACTAAGAGTGGGACAACAGCTATGTCCTGCAACAAAGCAGAAGGATCCATAAGCATTATTGGTTTAGTAGCAAACATATAAATAAATACATTAAGATATCCAGAATAGTGGAAACAGAGATTATGTTGGTTAATTGGTTTGGAGCAAAAAACCTGAAGAAGGAGTACTCCCAGAGTTGCTGAGCCAAACCTAGTTGGAAGTTCACCCTTCTCTGCAAGAAGCTGGAAGCATTGCTAAAGGTAAGCACCAAATTGCCAGATTTAATTTCAACTATTATGATCTGTATTCTTCTATTATTATCATCCATTCCTTTATGCATGCTAGTGTAAATATAGGACAAAAAACAAAATCTGTGTCACACAAACTGTTTTAAAGATTAAAAAAGAAAAGTATAACAAATGAAATATTCCAGCTACAAAAGGAGGCATAGAGTACAAGTACCTATGCAACTCCCCAGAAATATCTCAGGTAAGCAAAATTGTGCAATTTAACATTTGAGAATCAATTTCAAAAACTGGGAAATGATAATGAAGAGAATCCTCTTACACCACTTTCTGATTCAATTGCCACGGGAAGGTAATCTTTGCATTGCACAAGAAAGACTCCAATCACACAGCATAGTTCTGAAACCTTGCTAAATAGGCCTTTTTTCAAATCCCAATTCATAACATTTTGGAAGTCTTAATTCATCAAGAGAGCCGGGAAGAAGAAGAGCTCACGGTGCAACTTTTGAGTAATTGTTTAGTTGAATCAATGTGAAGGCCCCATGACTAATTGTTGCTTTTACTTATACAGAGTGCAGCACATTTTATAGAAATCAAGAATGATTCCTGCAGAAGCTAATTGTTATCATGCCAAACTTTTTTGACAAAACAGATCACAGAATAGTTGCACTGTTTCCAAAGTTAAGAAAAAATGATAACTAGTTTCGGGGTTGTGTGTGCGCACCAGTGTCCAGAATATTAAATTCCAAGTTACTTGCCTAGGTCAATAACACCAACTTCAACACAAAGCAACAATGTAATTGTTCCATAAAATGGAAAAGTCAAGAAATATCACAGAGCTGTTTTCATCAGACCTGCAACACGAAAGCTGAAGATGACAATGATAGAGCAGCGCCAATTACCACGGCCTCATCAATGCTTCTGATGTTTACCTAAGTGGTTTTGGAAAAATTAAGAATGCATTAGCATGAAGATATAGCGTCAATTATGAAACTGATGAACAAAATGGGGGAGAATGACGAGAAGGTGATTAGAGTATATTTTCTCACCAGATCAGGTCTGGAGTTAAAAAGGAACATCAGAATTCTAGTACCCACAGCATCATTAGGTGGAAGCTCAAATGAAGTGAAAGCAAGAGTGGACAGCACGACCTTCCAACATAACAGACAAAAGGGAATTATGAATCAATGTAACTTCAGGAGATGATCAATCACTTTTCTTGGACAACATATTCCTGGCAAGGAACATAAATTTAAATTACTAGCAACTTATGGTAAAAATGATTACTTCTTTTGCACTAAAAAGATACAGCCTACTTGCATAATACTAAAATATGCCCTTAAGTTTAATCAGCAACACACCTGAGTCAATCCTATGCCAAAAGCGAATTTAGCAAGAGCTTTTAAACGTGCAAGTGAAAGCTCCAAACCCATTTCAAATAGCTGCAAGAAGTTATCTATCAGTTAAACATACAACAAAAGTATTACTGCAAAACTGTATTACCACTTCACTAAATTTCCACTGTTATACTGCAAATTAGTGCAGAATATGAAAAATTAGAACAAAACATTTCTTACTTATTCATCTCAGTATATACAAGATTATCTTATCATATTTCCTTACACTAAGTCCCATGCCGAGTTTTTGAGGCAAAAATCCACACAAACAGGGATGAAAGAGAATAACATCACAAGAAGACCAAAAAGCTGCATGTGGACAGTCTATATTTCCAACCATAAATAAGATCACTTAGGGTGCTATCCGTATCCGATGGTTAAGCACAACATATACCATGAGAATCAGATTGCATGCAAGCAGATCATCACAAAATTTTCACCACATTATGGTAACTAAGCATTTATCGCTGTAGATTTGTGCAGGTGAATGAAATGATGTAAGCGAACATATACACAGAATGTAGATAAACTAACAACCAGACATCCATCTAGATGTACAGCACAACAAAAGAAGGGGGTTTACTTCAAAGCGACAATGCACCTATAATTCCAACTAGCAAGGTCTTTTACCTGGAACTGAAAGAGTATGAATAAGAACAAAGACAAAAATATCATGACACTTACCAAGAAGAGAATCCCCCATTCTGAGAGAATCTTAATGTCTGTAAGATTCCTAATCCAACCAAGTTGATTAAGCACAACACCAGCAAAGAAGAAACCGAGTATCTGCAGCGATAAGTAAAACGAATGTAGCTCTTACAGAGAATCATTCAGATGAATTTCCAAAACCATGGAGGTAGATGAGGCTAGACTTTGACGTGTTAAAAAGATGGCACTCAATGACAAAGTACATAAGGACCTAACCAATATAAGCAATGAGGAGTTACATTCTATCACGAGGTATTCTTAAACCAAATAGTACTAAGAAAGCATAATGACATGATGCCACACTAATAAAGGAGAGCTTACAGGGCTAGCTTTGATGGTTTTAAAGGCAGGAACAACCAAGACTATTACAGCTAGCAACGTCAATGTGTCGGATCCCAAGTCATTGATGACATCAACAGCACTGGAGACATCAACTACTGCAGACAAACAGAATCTACCCTTCTTCGTGTGTCTATGATGGAAGAAAGATCGATTTCCACCAAAATGGCAAGATGAACAAGACCAGTCCTCCACGATAACTTCCGGAAAATGACCGGGACGTTTTATCCCTGCACATGAAAACTTCGCTGGCAAGTGAAGTATCATCCGGTTATAAGCATATGGGACACGATATGGACATCTGTACCGACGAGCAATGGCTCTGCAAATGCCTCTTTGTATGGTTAAGTCATAACCCTGGATGTAAATCAAAATAGCAAATTGATACTCAAAACATACAATCAATTCTGAGGAAGCCAACTAAATTCTCCATTCTAATTCCAAAAAGGATTTCTGTGTTTAGTCTTAACAATAACCACCCTTTACTCTAAGCAGTAATTTACATCTCAATTCTGGAAGGCGTATCCTTGTGCTAGCCATTTCCTACTTGATTCATCTTTCCAGGATTACAAAGGCAAACTCTTTCATTTGCCTACTTGGAAGTAGTTCCATGAACTAAAAATAAGTTTAATGACCAAAATATATGATTAAGGTTACCTTGGAAGTATGATAGCAAGGTACAGGGTCCAACATGACAGCACCAAAGATAGAGATTACGATTCTGGCATTTGATTTTGGTTTTTTTTTTTCAGAATTCTGAGAGTTGGAAGTTTTGGGTTATAGACTCATCAGTACCTAATGACTGACTGACTGACTGGAAAATAAAAGGAATGATTGGCAGCCACAAATTCCCAAGTCTACGTAAGCTTGGGACTTGTGACTTGTGAACCAGAAAGTGAGAATCAGAAAAGGTTGAAGAACAAGCAATAGGACCGTAGAGACTTGGGTGCTTGTGATTGCCATTATCCAACACTAGTGGACATTTTTTTAGTTTCATTAAGTGAATGTATAAATAATTGCATTCTCCAAATACACGTGCAAATTTTTTCTTTTTGTTTCCGTTCTAAAGTTTGCAATTTTCCAAAACACACAAAAATGACAAAGGTTTGAGTACTCATTATTATAGGATAAAATTTCAAACTAAACAACAGATGGTGTCATTGTAGAATGATTGTCCAGAAATTGTGTTTAGGGCAGGGATTATAGTTTCCGACATCCCACGCCCACAAGTTCTTCCTTCATTTCCTTAAAAAAAAAAAAAAAAAAAAAAACAGGAAAAAATTTCAAACAAATCCCGTCAACCCAGTCAGATTTATGAGCCACACATTAAGACTAAACTGAAATTAATTCAAATTTGTGTTTTCTATATGCCCAAAAGCACAAAGGAACTACATTTGGAAAAAATGGCGAAGAACTCTTATTTTAAGAAAACATGAGTTTTCGGAATTCAGCCAGGGCATGTATAGTGTCCACAATCAACTTTGCCCTTCAAATTCAACACATGAAACTAGCTTTATGATTTACACAGAAGTACAGAAGGCAAGGTTTCCATGAAATGGGATCACGGATCACGGCAGGGCTTTAATTTGCAGGAGTGAATTTCAGTGAGATGCTGTTGACACAATGTCGCTCATCCGTAGGTGTTGGAAACTTTTCACCCTTGAAAACATGTCCAAGATGCCCACCACAAGCGGCACATGTAATTTCCGTCCTCCTTCCATCTGGGTCAGGCTGAAGCATCAAACATGATCATCAGTTTTAATGCTTCAAGGTAATTTAACACTCGGGAATGAAGTGCAAGAAGAGGACAATAAGACTTACGGTGCGATTTATGGCACCAGGAATCCCCTCATAGAAAGCTGGCCAACCACAGCCCGAGTTGAATTTTGTATAGGACCTGTACAGTGGAGTTCCACATCCGGCGCAGTTGTAAACACCCTCGCCATAGAACTTGTCATATTCCCCTGTGCCAGGATATCTGCGAAAAAATTTTAAAGCTTAAATTTTTACACATTGCTTTCTCAAACCATGACAACTACTACACCCTCAAGGTTCTCAGAAAAAGGCATCTGAAGAAGGCTTAAGGTTGCATACAACAGAGCTAGTAGAATATTTTCCACAAAATTAGCTATAAAAATCTACTCAGATAATCCTAAGCCAATTAGCAATTAATGCATAAGAAAAATTACATTCAATTGCATGTTTTTTATACTGGTACAAACGTTTCAATTATTACAGGCACACAGATCGACCTTGTTGTATACATGCTAAATTATGTCCGCCGGACTATGTTGTGTTTATAGATTTACAAAAATTACAACCTTGGCTTGTTCTAAGAACTGTGAAACAAGTAGATCTTATGTTGCAAAAAGTTCAACTGGTAACCTACGACAAAATTGTTGGCCAAGAATTCCCCGTTATGTTTGCTGCCAACACCAACTGAAGGATTCATGAATTATCAAAACCTATAATAAGTTCTCGTTCAATTCTCTACATGAAAGATGAGCCATTGTGTATATCAATTGTCCTGGACAGTAAATGAAAATCAAGGATAAAAAATTCTTCAGCCTCCAAAGAGGCATCTTTAATTCATCTTTTCTCCATCCTTCCCGTCCTCTTCGCAACAAAATAAAGTAAAAGTTGATCATCTGGGGTTAAAAGTTTAAAGCAACTACAGGCAGGTAAAATCAATAAAGTTTTGTTCCTTACAGCACAGCATTGTCCTTTCAACACAACTATATTTTCCTCGTCTCAGTAGAATATTGAAAAAGGCTTATGCCCATCCAACCAGTTGCAGTTCATCAAGCTGCAATGCAAGTATAACCTTCTCGACATTTAACCACTTGTAAGTAGTATATATGTTCCCCATCCAATTGTTTTGGATGTAATCAAGCAAGCCATTTGTCTCAATATAAGCTATGAATTTCTTCTACAACGGAAACACATGTTCCAAAGCCAAACCAGCACAAGACCTAAAGAGTGCTATAAAAGGGAACCTGTATCCCCAGTGACTCGAAGTGACTTCTGTTAGGTGGCGTTCTAATATTGTCCTAACATTCTAACATTACTGGAGAAATCAAATAAAGCATCAATGACTAGAAGAACTAAAAGAACCCCGTCTTCTGCAGACATGGATGACTTTGTCTTTCTGAAAAAGTATCCTTTGAAAATTGAGTATTCAGGGATCTGATATACAGACAGTGGAAAACATTCTAAGATATGGTATCAGACACTGGCCTTCTGATTTGGCATACGTGAGAAACCAAATAAACCCCCAACAATCATACAAGCAAATAAAGACAAAATTAACCAAATACAATATCACACAATCGTAAATGGTAAGAGGCCATCTCCCTAAATCCATAAATGCAACCGCATCCATTTCTCAAGGAGAACATAATGTAAATAACAAGACTACTTAAAACACAATCACAAAAAAAAAAAAAAAAGAGAAACGCACTCTGTGCCTTTCTGTCTGAGAATTCGGAACTGTTCAGGAGAGAGAATCGCACGCCACTCCTCCTCTGACTTCTGAGCTGAACCCGAAGCGGCCATGGCCACGACCCCGCTTTTGATTCCCTTCTTGCTGATATGAATCGACCCACCAAAGCTGCTCAAGGAAATGCTATTCGCTGTCGGTTGAACGGACAATGGTTGAAGATGGGGCTTGAAGAGAAGGTCAATTGCGGGTTTGCTGGAAGAGAATCTTCGAGGGATGGAATTGAAAACTGCGATTCTTGAAGAAGCAAATGGGGATATTTTAAGGATTTGTTGAGAACCCATTTGGGATAAACTACTATATGCTTAAAATCTACTGTATTCAACCTCAATTTATCGTCACTGCTGAGGGATGATGACATAATAACTATTACTCGTAGTATTATCCAGTTAAATAAAATAACCCAATTTTCAAGGAAAAAAAATTAAATACTAGAATAGAGGAAAGACAATTTTTCTTTCTTTTTTAATTAAAAAAAAAACCGCTACCATTTATTCCGGTGAAGGCGGTGGACAAGTATATGGCTGGGAGCCGAGCAAAGGGCCGGGGGAGTAGAACATGAGAAAAAGGAGATATACTTGCTGTATAGAATAATTTTTCATAGAACATTTGTTGAATTTATTTGGTTAAATTAATGACCGACTCCAAAGTTTATTTTAAAACTTTTGTTTATTTCTTTTTCTTGATAGTATTTTCAGATTAATATATTAATAATTGTCCAGTCCTAACGTATCTTTTTACATTTTTAATACACCGTTTTACATTTTCAATAAAAACACACGCTTAACAAACAAAACAAACAAGCCCTTAATTTTTAATGGACATATCGTTGTCATTTTTGGCCGGAAGGAGTTTACGCTGTTGCTGCTGAATAGTGAAATAGGCTGCCTTGTCAATTAAACAACATTTTTTTTGTTATATTTTTAAATAATTATAACTTGGTCAAATCCTACCGTTTGAGATTATTTGTAGCTGACCTTTTTCAATTGTTATTGTATTGCCGCTACATTTGATTAAATATTAAGTAATATCTGTAAATATTACTATTATTTCTTCCGTCCTATTCAAATCGAATAGTCATTTTAAAACATATAAAGCACCATTTATTTTAAAGTTCTTTGGGCGATGGTTAATTCATTGAGTTGTTATCTTTCTTAGGGTGATAGTTAATTCATTCAGTCATTGAGTTATATCGAGTTATTATCGTCCAGTCATTGAGTTAATCCATGAATTCCTTGATTCTATGACATTTAGGGTGATGGTTAATTCATTGAGGTGTTATCTTTCTTAGTAGATCGATAGTTTTTTTTTTTTTAGAAAAGTTTTTAGGGCGATAGTTAATTTATCATCGAGTCATATGTCTTTTCTGTATTGGTGTGGGATTAACTTTGACGGGAAATGCTAATTATAGTAGAGCATTTATTATTATTGTACTTCCTCCGTTTTATAATTATTGTCAAGTTTAGATTTTCAATTAAACTAAAAATGAAAATGTAAACTAGACAATAATTATGGAACGGAGCGAGTAATTTGTATATGGTTGATCACTTGATTCGTATCAACTTATCGTGGAAAGATAAATAAGAAAAAAAAAGGGGGTCCAATCCAATCAGTATGATTTGTTGTTTCTCCATTAACTTCTTATAAATTAAAAAAAAAAAAAAAAAAACCTCTCCAATCAGTATGATTTGTAGTTATTTACTCCCTTTTTTTTGTGTTATTAGGTTTTTTAAAAATGGCACAAAAAAAAGTCACTAATTTGGGGAATAGGCCACAAGTAGCACGTGCGAAGCATGCATGTCCCTTTGAAGGCTCGCTGCTCCGCCCCACGTTTTGGTTATCCCAATTGGGGCATTTCAGGGAAAACACCAAAAACCGTGTTTAACACACTCTCTCCTCCTAGAACTAGGAGGACGGCTAAGACCCAAAACCCAATGCCCACTCGGACAAAAACATTAATCAAATCAAAAGCACCAAAAAAAAGAGAGGACAAAGGAACGTACTATAAAGAGGAGCAGGTTGAAGTTTGAATATTTTTTCATCGATCGTCATCGATGACTTGTTCCACTTCCACCTAACCTAACCTTCTTCAACCCCGTGTTTTCATTTCTTTCATTGCTTCCATCCCCTTTTTCCTATCGACTATTCTGATAATTATCGTTATCAAGATATACATAGCAACAAAAGGGTTTGCGGAGCCAGCTCGCTTTTGATAATTATTTTCGTTTGTTTTGGATTTTGTCCAATCATGGCGGCGGCTGCGGCGAGTGGCTTCGTGAATTCAATTGCATTGTCGGAATCGAAATTGGGGGTGGACATTGCTGTTTCTTTATTGGGCTTTAATCATTTCTCCAGTTCTAATCACTTATCATCATCATCATCTTCTTCTTCTTCGTTAGCTTGTTTTCCTTCTCGAACTCGATTCCTAAGCAACGTTTTGAAGGTTAATCGCGGAAGGAAATCGTTAAACCCTAGATGCGAGGCTGTAGAAGGGATTGGATCCAGGCCCTCCCCCCTTTCGGCTTTGGAGCTCCTTAAGACATCTGCCGCCGATCGTAAGCCTCCATTTTCTTTGAATTATTACTTTTTATGATTATTTGTAGTGTTTGGGAGCATAGATTAACAATTTGGACTTTATTTAGTGATGGGTTTTTCGCTCAGCATAGTTTGATTAGGACTTGGGTACTTAATTTTATTCTTTGTTGTGTTTGATATTTTCTGTTAATTAAGTTCTGGTTGTGAAGCATCATGGATTGGGGATCGTATTGTTTCTCAGATTCAATTGGCTTGACTATTAAATTGAATCTACACGGTCTAATTGTTTTGACAATCTTTAGCTATATTGATAAATTATACTAGTATGATTATTTTACGTAGCATCAGAATGTTTAGAAGGGCTGCAGATTCTGGTTATGGCTGTTGTGATTACTGTTTTGTATAATGATCACTGACCAGAGTGCTGAATTTATATTTCGACAGGGTATACGAAAGAAAGCAGCAGTCTTATGGTTATAGGGATAAACTTTCGGACTACCCCTATCGAGATAAGAGAGAAACTATCCATTCCAGAAGCTCAATGGCCTCAAGCAATCAGCGAACTGTGTGGCTTAAATCATATAGATGAAGCTGCTGTTCTCAGCACTTGTAACAGAATGGAAATATATGTTGTGGCTTTGTCTCAGCATCGAGGAGTCAAAGAAGTGATAGAGTGGATGTCTAAGGTGCCAATCTGTTCCATCTCACGTGTTTTGCTATTATCCTTTGTTCTGTTCTCTATCTTTTCAAAGTTGACTTGTGTTTGACAATAGCTTTACATTTTTTTCCGTGCGCGTCATGAAACCTGGCAATTTGACTGATTCTTGCTGCAATCCTTTGATCTCAACACTTGTGTTTTGAGTTCCTTGAAAGTCTGATATAGCTTTTGTCTTGATGGAAGTAATAATGTCAACCCTTCCTTGTCAAGTTCATTAAATAACAACGGAATAAGTATTCATAGTGTAACTTGTTCATTTGAAGCACTTTTAAATGTTAGTGGAAAATGTGTTGTCCATTCACAAATGATGATCACTAGGTATTTGATGCAAGCCTGTTTTGCTTTGTTTTCTGTGAAATGCTTTCTATTCGACCTTTTACAAGAGATAGCAGTTGAAGTCTTGGAATTCACATATTAGGCATCATCATATTTTATTAACCAGTTTGTTTTTCATTGCCAGAGAAGTGGAGTTCCTGTTTCAGAACTTTGCGAGCATCGCTTTTTGCTGTATAACAAGGATGCTACACGGCATTTGTTTGAAGTATCTTCTGGCCTTGATTCACTTGTTCTTGGAGAAGGCCAAATCCTGGCGCAAGTGAGGCAGGTGGTTAAATCGGGGGAGGGTGACCCTGGGTTTGGCAGGAAAATTAGTGGGTTGTTCAAACATGCTATTACAGCAGGAAAGAGAGTCAGAACTGAAACAAGTATCTCAACTGGGTCAGTGTCAGTTAGTTCGGCTGCTGTGGATCTTGCTCAGGTGAAGCTTCCACAGTTTTCGTATGCAACTGCCAGAGTGTTGGTTGTTGGAGCTGGTAAAATGGGGAAACTTGTGATCAAACACCTCATTGCCAAAGGTTGCACAAAAATGGTGGTAGTCAACAGAACTGAGGATAAGGTGGCAGCCATTAGGGAAGAGTTTAGGGATGTCGAGATAATATACAGATCTTTGGAAGAAATGTATACATGTGCGTCTGAAGCTGATGTTATATTTACTTGTACAGCCTCAGATGAACCATTGTTTCTGAAAAAGCATGTTCAGATGCTTCCCCCTGTGAGCTCGAATGTTGGAGGGCATAGGCTATTTATTGACATATCTGTTCCTCGAAATGTGGGATCATGTGTCTCAGATGTAGATACTGCACATGTCTATAATGTAGATGATTTAAAGGAAGTTGTGGCGGCAACCAAAGAGGACAGGTTGCAGAAAGCTTTAGAAGCTCAGTCAATTATTTGGGAGGAAGTTACAAAATTTGAGGCCTGGAAGGATTCCCTCGAGACTGTTCCAACCATTAAAAAGCTTAGGGCCTATGCTGAAAGAATCCGGGCTGCAGAGCTTGATAAGTGTATGTCGAAAATGGGTGATAATATGTCAAAGAGCCAAAAGAAAGCTATTTATGATCTGAGTATGGGAATAATTAACAAGCTTCTTCATGGACCGATGGAGCATTTGAGGTGTAGCGGCACTGATAACCGGCCCCTTGGAGAGATTCTTGATAACATGCACGCTCTTAACAGAATATTTAGCCTTGATACAGAGATTTCTGTTTTGGAAGAGAAGATACGGAGCAAAATGGGTAAAGGCCAGAAGTAAGTTATAGTAATACATTCCCTCTGATGTTCTCAGTCGGTTAAATCGGAGCAGAAACTGAAGAGTTGACACCATTATTATTGTTTTATGTATAATTGCTGTGATATGTGGAGCTTGGTGGAGGAATAGTGTACATTAGTTAGACTAGTGAATGATAGAGAACATCTTGCATTTGAGGAACTAAAGTGGACATAGTTGAGTTTATCTTTTCTGCAGGAGAGCATACGTCTGTAACCCTTAGATACTTCACTAATTTCCATGATTCATTGGAAGTACCACTTTGAGGAATTCTGCTGTATACTATTGACATCTATTGCTATTATTAATTCTATTTTTTGGGTGTAAAGTTCCTTGTGGCATTAGTAGTTATTTTGTTGATGTGATAGCCTTGTCTCTTAAGTAGAATTGCTATGCTATTGATGCTTATCTGCTGATTCTGCTCCATGCACCTCCTTCAGAACATGGAGAGTACAGATTTAGACAGTATTTGGGCAGTGACTTTACTTTGAACGCTTTTTTTGTACTCCCTCCAGTCCTTATTATAAGGTATTTGATTTGTCCTAAGTTTCCACCTAGTATATTTATACTAATTTTTTCCAGTTTCAGTTTGTTTTCAGTTTCCAACAGTTGCTTCTCGGCCTAGATGGTGATTTATTTACTTATTGTAGACTATTCTGCTCAAATATTTTTAGATTTAAGGTAATTTCAGTTTTAGGAAACTTCCAAATAGTTAACTACTTTAATCCTTCTCAGAGTATATTTTGGATGAGCAATGATATAGATAATGAGGAAAAAATAGTGAAAATATATAGTGACTGATATGTTTATAGTAATTAAGGGTAAAAGGGTAGTTTTGGAGGAAAAAAAATAGTGAAAACACATAGTTACTGACGTGTTTATAATAATTAAGGGTAAAAAGATAATTTTGGAGAGAAAGAAAAAATTTCACTATGTTTTTGTACTATATTATTTCACTAAGAGTATCATTTTCCATTTTAGATTTCTCCTTGTTTACGCCACACCTAGAAAAAAATGTTACAATCGTGGTTTTCACTTTTCAAGTATTACAGCAGAAACATCGATGACGAAGATGTCTCCTCCCCGTCGTCGTCAGCGGAGGATTTCTCAAATTTCAGATGAATCGTGGATGGAGATCCTCTCTTATCTTCCGGCAAAACATCTTATGCGATTCAAGTCGGTGTGTCGTAAATGGCGTTCAATCATTGTGGATCCAGGTTCCGTCCGATTACACAGTCAGCGTGGTGCTGGTAAAGGGGTTCTAGTATGCGGCACCTATCAGAGTCCAAGAACAATAATGGATTTTTATCACATCAGCCTCGACGGCCAGCGAATCTCTCATCACGAAGCCGTTTTTCCGTGCTCCAACGATGATGATAAGCTTGTGGGATGCACCAACCAGGTGAACGGATTGGTAAGTTTTTTCTGCGGCAACGTTTCCTACTTGTATAATCTGGCCAACAGAGAAATCCTGCGACTCCCTGATGCGGATAATGATCGTGACACTTGGGCTTACCATCTTGGTTTCGATCCTGTTAACAAACTCTACAAATTGTTGAGGTGCGAATTCGCGGATATAACTCCAATCTGTCCTCCTCGTCCTATATATTATCCTGAAGATGGGGATGAAGGGTTAGTTTTCTCCACCGGCTATGGAGAGGGAGGACCCTACGAAGGAGAAACCTACGTACGCTCAAGCTGCGAGATTCTTACGTTTGGACAAGGGGCCGATTCGCCGGAATTAAGGTGGAGAGTTATTGATTCTTCTCCACCGACACCAACTCGCTCTCTGTTACCACGGATTGTTTGTTACGATGGGGTTTTATACTGGAAGTGGGACAACAACACGCATCTCCATGCTTTTGATCTTTCTACAGAGACGTTTTTTGATATCCACATTCCAGCGTCTGGAGAAGTAGTTAATTGTATTCCGGAGTTATTGCGTTTCGGACCTTGTCTGTCTCTTTCGACTTCTTCATGTAATCGGGATGGAAAACTGTATTGGAAAATCATCTCCCTTTATTATAAAAAAGATGGTAACCATGGCGACAGAGTACTCGACCTATTAGAGCCTTCAGCTGAGCTGAGGTTTGAAGCTCCCTTGAATGAGGCCCGACAGATGTCCCGACAGATGTATGGGTATTGTTCCAGCTGATGGCAAGGTCTGGAGGCATCACACTCGGTTTCCTAACAAGTTTTATTTATTTGAGGATGATCAATCCGGCAGGGGAACTAAAAAAGTGAAGATTGTCAAAATTGATGAGGAGATTATCAAAATTAATGGATCATCGTCAGCCTGCTGGTCCTTTGAAGAATCTTCTTATTATGAAGAGAACATCGTCTCCCTAAGATGTTTGGTTCCATATGCTAGTCCCCATCACTTCTTACTACTTGGGTAGCTAACGTTCTTCTAAACTGTAGTTGAAGTTTGTTTTATTATTAATATTTTTATCCCTTTATACCAAGCTAATTTATGAATGACAAAGCTTCTTATACTAGAACTAGTTTATATGCGGGCTACGAGATGAATTGATGAAGATATTAATAATCATGATAACGTTATTAGACTGCGTCTATTTCAACTAATGGATCTCGACAACTTCTTCTTCTTGTTCTTTTCCTTTTTTTTAAGGGTATCTGGTTTAATTTGAGATATTTATACTCTTATTTTTAAGTCTAAACTTAAAAACTCCTTGTGAATCACCTAATACATATTTTTAATTGACAAAAAAATTTTAAAAATATTTCATAACAATCAAGAGAACATAATAAATATGAAAATATATTTGTCAATTAAAAATGAGTACAAGGTGAAATTTAGGACAAATCAAAATGTCGTATATTAAGGTTTCGAAGGGAATATTTATTTTGAGAAGAATCTATATAAAAAAAAATAAAATTCTACTGCTAAAATAAGTAAGGGCCGTACTAGCTATACCAGGAGCAACTACATTACCTATCATATTTACATAACACACCTCAACCTCTTTAAATTCTTCACAGCCACAATGTTATCAATTATATGCCCGATGCTGGATAGTTCTTTTCCATTCCTATTCACTCGGTTGATTACATTTTAGCGCATAGCTTTAGAAAGTGCAAAGACTTTCTGCATGTTCAGCATCTTTAACTTGCTCCAAATGCTCCAAGTTCCAATTCTCCTTTGTGGTTCCTGACAATGGCTCCGATCCCAGCTTTTTCCTGACAATTTTTTTTTATTCCTACCAGTCGGTGGAGTTTTTAACTGTTAGACGATCGATTTGAAAGTTAAATCGTAATTAAAACAAGATATTGTTAATTAAAAGGCTGTGTTAGTTATATATCTCAAACAAAGAGGGGGAGTTGGTAATAAGATCGAACCTCGAGGAGCAAACTGTGGTTAACCCATTTTATTTGTGTCTGGCAAAAAAAAAAAAGGAAAATATTGTGCCTGAGAAGTAGTAATTCAAAAAGAGAAGGGCAAAAAGGGAATAATAAGACATTGCGCCTTGTCCCCCAAAAAAGACAGTGATGTAATTAAAAAAAAAATTGGACTGATGACTGAGAGTAGTAAGTATCCTCTGCATGCCGTAGCCCTTTTCTTCTGGGAGGCATCCAATTCCCTCCTCCTGCTTTCTCCGATTTCAGGTATCGCTTTTCTTGTCTCCTCCTATTTCGTTCTTGTTTTAGGGTCTCAATTCTGTTTATTTCTGTTCGATCAATTTATTCGGTGTGTTTTCTGGCAAATTGGTTCTTTTCACCTCAATCGCGGGATAAAGACGGTTGTTGATCAATTTGTTTATCCAAAAAAAAAATAAAATTGGGATACTTGTAAGTCGTCCGGTTTCTTTTGCGTCTGCTTGTTTGCTCTCTCGTTCCCTGACCTTCGACGAACTTTGTTCGATAGTTCATTTATACGTCGTTAATTCTACTATAATTTTGCCTTCTATGTTTAGGCGTGGTCGTTTGATTTGGTTTTGGTGATTTGACCGGGAAAACGTGATGAAACCTAAGCATTTTGTATGTTAAGGTCTGGATAGGAATATGGTGAAAAAGGGTAGAAGCATAAGTTGATCAAGTGAGGGTGGCATGTTGTTCTTTAGTTGGGTTAAAGAATCCAATTCCAATTGGGAAAGATTCTGAGGGATGGGGGCTTGGTTATGCGGTCATCGTTTTAGGCTTACCTAACTTGTTTAATCCCCACTCTTCTAAAATGTCATTCTGGTTTCTAGAAATTAGTGAAGGGATCGCTGTTAATGGGGATTTACTCCAATTCTTACATTGTTGTGGATTCGTAAAGGTTAGAGCGAATTTACACTTAGTTGGCTGATTTTTAAAATCTGTTTTTCGTTTGTTGGGGGAGTTATACTATGGTTCTCAGCTATACCCATTCATAATCCTTTTCTCCTGAGCAGGATTTCATCATAGGGATCTCAATTTTTGGTTGTTGTGTTACCTGATTAAATATAAGGCACAGGAATGGTTGTCACTAGAAACCCTGATCCTTTGGGAATTGAATTTCAAATTAACAGTGTTAAAGTATATGTCTGAAGATCTTTTATGCTCTGGTTCTGCTAGATTGCACACTTACAGCCTCGTTGGCATGGATAGCGTTTCTGCTAAATAAATTGCTTCAAAATTGTGTTCTTCTGGTCATCTTTTGATGTTTGATGTTGGGCTTTTGAACATAAACAATAGTGATAGTTTAGGTCTTCATGAGGTAGAACTTTATTCCTAACTACTCAATGCTCATCTATCTCGTATTTCATAATGAGAATGGAAAGAGTGGGATGATGTCGATTCATTAGAAGTACTTATACATGCTATAATTATGAGGGTTTGTACACTTTCTGGGGATGTTGTCAGGTTGATTTTTGGCTCTACTACTTTATCCTGATTGAGTGTATCCCCTTTTGACCTGTATCTTCTTAGTATAGCAAATTTGCATCCGATTGAATCGATTCTCCATGCTGCAGGAATTTGTCGGATATCTGAAATCTAAATATGCAGTTCAGTTCCATGAGCGATGCTCTAGATCGAGTTTGTAAGAGGCAAAAGCTATCGGCGTCCATTTCACACAATGTGATTGACGAGGTTGGACATGAAATTCAACAGGCATTGGGCGACATTCAATCAGGTCATGTTGCTACATGGGCATTGGTTGACATTCAATCAGATGGTGTCGCCACATCACTCATTGATCAGAGATCAATTATTGCTGAATTGAAAAATAGGCTCACCAAAGTTGGCCCACTCGGCAAGCTAGAAGATTTGCAGAAAGAGCAAAGCATAAATCTCAGCAAGTGTCAGAAGGTGCTTGAAAAGACCTTTAATCCTGACATAGCAAAGGCGTATAGATATGTTGACTTTGACAGACACAGTCTAAATCAGGTCATTCTTAGCCACTTTTACCGGGAAGGTTTGTTTGATGTTGCTGACTCATTGATAAATGAGGCTGCTGAACCAGAAGTCATTTCCTTGAGATGGAAGTTTGTGGAGATGCACCAAATTCTAGAGGCTGTCAAATATAGGAATCTGGAACCTGCCCTTAGGTGGGCAACTGAAAACCAGGAGGAACTGAATAATCGTGGATCACTTCTTAAGCTAACACTTCATAAGCTGCAGTTTGTGGAGATTTTGCAGAACAGTGGCCGAAAAGATGCAATTACCTATGTTAAGACACATCTTGTCCCTCAAGCTTCTTCTTACTTAGGCGAAATTCAGAAGCTTATGTGTTCTATTTTGTGGGCTGGAAAGCTGGAAACATCCCCATACTCTGAGATGGTGGCTCCATGGCAATGGGGGAGGCTTACTGAGGATCTTACTCAGCAGTTCTGCAGTTTCGTGGGACAGTCAACACAAAGCCCTCTGAGTGTGGCTCTGGCTGCAGGGATTGAAGGATTGCCTACCCTATTGAAATTGGCTACTGTGATGGCTGGGAAGAAGCAAGACTGGCAAGCCATGAAATATTTACCAGTGCCAGTTGAATTGAGCAAGGAATTCCAGTTTCATTCAGTTTTTGTTTGTCCTGTAAGTAGGGAGCAAGGGAGCCAAGAGAATCCACCCATGATGCTGCCCTGTGGGCATGTCCTTTGCAAGCACTCAATTCATAAGCTGTCCAAAAGCTGCACGCGTAGCTTCAAGTGTCCATATTGTCCTCAAGATGCCACAGCTTCCGATTGCAGGCAAATTTTCTTCTAGTATAACTGCTCGCTTTCCTCACACTTCTGTGTGTAGGACTCCAGTGGGTTTTGGCGTGGTAGTTTCCCCGCTTTTCTTTTAATCTTTTCTTATTGGGTTTAGCGCATAAGATCTTTTTCTGCTACAATAACAACCTAGAGCTTTGTAGCGAAGATTGCTGCTACTTTTGTTAATATATTAGAATTCAGGAAGATTTGGATGCTTTTTATACAGAAGAGGTATACTACCAGCAATGTTTGTGCTTTGATCACTTGTATAAGTCGCTTTTCTTATTCAAAAGCACAAGAGATAGAAATTACACATACTGCAATCTGAGAAATAGGTGGTGAAAGAAAAGTAGTACAGTATGATTTTAATCCAACAATGTCATCTTCTACTATTTTAGAAGCCAATTAATCTCTTCAAGCTAGGAAAAAACACAGGACCAGAATTACTACTAGAGGACTCCCTCTCATCAGCCAAATATTCCTCGATCAATTCTTTGGTCGATTTAGCGGACAAAGGATGAAAATTATCACTCCATCCTGAAACAAACCCTTGAGCCACAGCCAGTTTATCATCCTCATTCATCGCTCTCCACCTGTCCTTCACTTCTTCCGCTTTCCACCCCATGTAATTGCTGAACTCTGTAAACAAGAGTTCCCTGCTCTTATTGATGGCCTCTTCTCTCTGCACAGTTTGGGCGTTCAGTTTCTCCACCTCCGCGGCTAATTTCAAGGCAAGTTCTGAATCACTGAAGCTTTTGTTGCTGCTGCTGTTGTTGTTGGTGCACGAAACCGCGATAGGATGCTTGCGTGATTGATTGCTGAAATGGGTACTCGAATAGAAGGATAAAAATGGATTGGTTGGGAAATTTGGGATTAGTTGAATAGGTTTTGATGGCAGAAGAGAAACTTTGATGGCCATTTGCTAAACACTCGATGTTTGCTCTTTCTGATTGCAGCAGAGATGTTTGTAAGTTTGCCTCGCAGCCAGTTTATTCTTTATTGAACTCTATTTTACCGTTTATGCCCTTCTAGTTCACTGTACTTTATCATTTTTGCCCAGTTCTTAACTTGGAACTTTCGTCATTATTTCCGTGTCTCCTTCCAATTTTTGTTGTCCTTCCGTCCCAAGTATAACAAACAGAAAAATCATATGAGATCAGGCGATTATTTTACAGAGAGGATTTGTAAGTCATTATTTGAGTAGTAAGAATTATGTCTCGGAACATTTTGTTGCCCATCGAGAAAAAGTGTCATTTTGCATTTTTTTTTGTACATAATATTTTTCTCAATTTTTTGTGTGAAAACAAACAAATAGGTATAGCTCAACTCAATTCCAGAGCGCCTAAAAGAGTCCACTTAATATTTTGAAATTTCAAAATTGATAGCCCACCAGAAACTTTCAGGCCCACAACTTCATTCAAACTCTTAACCAGAAAATCTTGGCGTTCCTTGAACGATTTCACCATGGTTGAGACCACTTCTCCACCAGCATAGCCCAATCCTAAAGCAGCCATTGCTGCTTTATGAGATATGCTACTGGCACCTGATGTTAACTGACTTTGTATATCTTATTACAAGCAAGAATGAAGTGAGTTGGACCAGCCTGTTAGACTCCTTCGTCAATGGTGTCGTCTCAACAAGTGAATGAACCGATCCGCAAATAAAAAGTTTCGGAAATCAGCGGTGCGTCCAAGTCGGAAGTCACACAAGTCGGAAGTCAGAGGAACCCCGGAGTGTGAACATGATCAACCGCCGACATAATTAATTATGAGATGTTTCTTATAATTAAGGCATTTTATTTGATTGCTAATTCCATTCACAGTCGGATTTGATTTAATATGAGAAGGTGACAAGAAGTCTAACTCCGGGTTGAAGTCTTTTCTTCCAACGAATCAAGAAGCGGCCGACTTATCTTTCTCTCCAAGAGAGTTGCGCCCTAAATCCTAATCCTCTCTATATAAGAAGGCAGCCGCGCAAAATCATCATCATCTCTCGATTACATCATAAACAACACATCAAAGGCCTCCGACACCTCCTTTTTATCTTTCTTTTAATTCTTTTACTATCATGCCTTTTATTATATTTTTCTCAATGTAAGTCCTAGCAATTATAGGTGTTTGCCTGTTTTTCCTTCATAGAAATAGGTAGTCGTTCATGGATTATACTTCAGTGAATTCCATAATCTCTGTAATAGCACCATCGATATGGACTTCCGTGTCGGCACTAATATCTCTGGTCCGTGTCATAGCGTATCATCGACTACGTCTAGTCGGCGCTAATATGTGTCTTTGTAGTAGCGTGCCATCGATCGGGAGTTTCCTATCGGCGCTAGGTCTTTTTCCATTTATATATAAATCGAGCCGCTTGGCTTGTTCCACTATCTATTTCTTTCTTTTTATTCTTTTACAAATCAGAGTAAACTGTAAGTCCTCGATTCCGAGTCCGGGGCTTGTTTTCGAACTCATCCACAATCGTTTGATATTTTTATATTTAAGAGATTTTTACCCTTCTTTTCTTTCCTACGATTGAAGGTGATTTTTTCGGCACAAACATAATGGCACGCCCAGTGGGATAAGCTTTGGTTTGATTTTTACATCGTGGGAGTCTTTTCCTTTTTTTCTAAAAATATATATATTTTTTTAAAAAAAGTCTACTTTTTGCTCGAGTCTCGGGGGGCTAGCCACTGCAGGTGTTCCAGCCGACAGAGTTCCAACAGTCATACCTTCGATACAGCAATTATCTTCTGACAGAGCATCATTAGGTGTTACTACCAATGGGACCGATTCATTGTTGGCTCGACTTCTGGTTACACAGGCACAAAGCATTTGTTTCAAATACATTGTGCCTCGGGGGGCTTTATGTTGACTCCAATTTTGTCAATAGTGTCGGCCCAACAAGTGATATGAACCGGTCCGGAAATAAGAAATTTCGGAAATCGGCGGTGCGTCCAAGTCGGAAGTCGCCTAAGTCAGAAGTCAGAGGAACCCGGGAGTGTGAACATGATCAACCGTCGACATATTTAATTATGGGATGTTTCCTATAATTAAGGTGTTTTATTTGATTGTTAATTCCATTCACAGTCGGATTTGATTTAATATGGGAAGGTGACAAGAAATCTACTCCGGTTTGAAGTCTTTTCCTCCAAGGAATCAAGAAGCGGCCGACCTATCTTTCTCTCCAAGAAAGCTGTGCCGTAATTCTCTCTATATAAGAAGGCAGCCGCGCAACATATCATCATCTCTCGATTGCATCATAAACAACACATCAAAGGCCTCTGATGCCTCCTGTTTATCTTTCTTTCAATTCTTTTATTATCATGTCTTTTATTATATTTTTCTCAATGTAAGCCCTAGCAATTATAGGTGTTTGCCTGTTTTTCCTTCATAGAAATAGGTAGTCGTTCATGGATTCTATTTCAGTGAATTTCATATCTCTGTAATAATGTGCCATCGATATGAATTTCCGTGTCGGCACGAGTGTCTCTGTTCTATGTCATAGCGTGTCATCGGCTACGTCTAATTTGCTCTAATATGTGTCTTTGTAATAGCGTGCCATCGATCGGGAATTCCTTGTCGGCGCTAAGTCTTTTTCCGTTTATATAAATCGAGCCGCTTGGCTTGTTCCACTATCTATTTCTTTCTTTTTATTCTTTTACAAACCAAAGTAAACCGTAAGTCCTCGATTTCGAGTCTGAGGTTTGTTTTCGAGCTCATCCACAATCGTTTAATATTTTTATGTTTGAGAGTTTTTTATCCTTCTTTTCTTTCTCACGGTTGAAGGTAATTTTTTCGGCACAAACACAACCATGCATGTACCGACTCTCCAGCCAGTTGAAAATCCGTTGATAGTCAGATTCTTGTCAAACATTCCTGGTAGAGAAGCATAGCTCGTGTGAGTTGCTGGGGTATAGATAATGTGCTCGATGAAACGTATGTTTCATCAGAATAATCAGACAGTACTAGAACCCTGGCGGATGGCGTTGATCCCTGCCTCTGATATCATAGATGGAGTATTGAAATCGGACTCCCCAGCAGATAACCGAATAATTGGAAATCCAGCTTCCACAAGAGCAATAGCTTGGTCAGTTATGGATACCGTCTTTGATGCCTTCACTGAATTGACATTTTCGCTTATAGAAGTATCCACCTCCTTTTTCTCTGCTCTCACAACACATTGTTCATGCAAAAACAATACTCCCCTTGAAATGATAATTTTCACGGAGCCATTGAGATTGCGAAGTTGAGAAGAGGAGGAGAGTGATCTAAAGCTGCTTGAATGAGAAGGAAGAGTCCCAGAATAGTAGTGATTCACAAATTCAAGAGGAGTTAATTTGGAGGCAATAGTACTTGATGGTGTAGCAGCCATCAGTTCGGGAGAAGAATCAAGAGTCCGTCAGCCTTGGAGAAGGCGTATTGTAATATTTAAATTGCCTTGTAACTGAAACTGTGAAAGATTATGTCTTCTTAGGTATAATGGAAGTGTTTTGAGCTTGTTACGATATAAAGCGTAGCAACTATTGCCAGGAAAATTGTAAGCGGACACATGAAGGCACTTCGAGTAAAGAATAAATGAATCACATAAAAGAATAGCCTCCTGTCCGTATCGTTGATCTCAATCTGATTGATTGGCCTTGCTTTCCGACCAAGTCAATCGACATTACACATTATCTCCCAGCGAGTACTCGAAAATGCAAAGTGAACAGTTTCTAGATTCTATGTGCTTCGCATAACCTAGTAACATTTGCTACTCCCGCCCTCCAAATAGTGAAGGCAAAATTTGCTACACTCTTCCTATAAGTTTAAAGTGGCACGATTAGCTCGAGAAGCCTCAGCAATTTGTCCCTGAAAATGAACAGAGAAACTGTACTTGCGCCCAAATATTTTCATCTGGGAAACAGCTATATGCTTTTAAGAACTCCTTTGCAGAAGAAAGCGCATATAAATCCTGCAGCAATCACCCTCTACCAAAGCGATAACGGATCAGCTGCACTAGAATATCAACCCATGTATCTGGAACGCCTGGAAGGCACCAGTGCATGCAGTCTTCACCCCATTCAGCCACCGCATCCTTTTTACCCAACCATATCGCAGGATGGGCATCCGATCTGTACTCGCTCAAATGAGTAAGATCAAGTAATCTGATGTCTGTACCCTTTAGTGCCTTCTCAACAATTTGATTAAGCAGTCGTGCTTCTTTATTTACTCCATTATTGCTGGGATCAAACCACAAATCAAGCTGTACAGCAGCAAAAGACCTCCTTTAGAAGTGATAACATAATTTAATTTATTGAGAAGTTACTTGTTCATCCATAATGTGTGAGGTTTTTGATAAGAATATTCCATTCCACAAGTATACACATACCAAAGGATCAAAATGCAAATGAAATTGCTTTAATTGCATTACCTTATTTTAAGTCCATTACTTGTTCATCTCTGACAAAATTCTTTACTAACTATCGACAAAATTAGCCTACTTTAAGTCCATGCAACAAGATACAACAAATAATGAAGGTATACCTGCTTGTTATAACAGAGTACATCATACCTGGGGTTCTTCAAGAGGCTCATCAAATGTGCAACTACCATTTTGATTCCAATCACCACCATGGAAATGCCTTGGAGATTGCAATCGCCAGAACTTCAATGTCTTTGCCGGAAAGTTTTTCTGTATGTGAGCAACCATAGAATCAAGAACAACTTTAAGTCCTTCATACATATCCAACGGAGGATGTATTGGTTTTCCAGCCCTAAAGAAGACAAGTGGAGTCTCCCATGGAAACTTATCATGGTTCCACCTGGAGAGGATGAGTAATCAGAACTTTTGCAAACTATATTAACTAATTGACAAAAATGTCCAGATTAGGCTTAAATGAATGAATACATAATTGAATAATTTCAAGCCCAAACACCTACTAAAAGGTTTCTTTATATTGCAAAGAGTCCATATTTCATGAGGCTACTCTGGATTTAGGATTACTGTCAACAGCTTCAGCAAGATAAAGGAATCATAACATGTTACAAAAGTTCAGGAAGAGGTAAATAAAGGAATAGAGACTTACCAATGGCCAGTATTGAATACAAGAACATCATAGAAATCAGCAATGCCTGCCCAACCTTCTGCTGGAACATCAACATCAACTCGATATATTTCTTTAAATTTAACTTGATCAGAAGAGACCCGACGTACAGGCAGCTTCAGCCACCTTTTTTAATCAGCAACAGCAAGTTAGTTTCCCGCATCCAATAAAGTAAAATGAAACTAAGAAACCAACAATGAAGGTCTAGGTAATGAATCTACTCAAAATAAGCTTTCTACAGTTGAAAGCACACACGCAACTGACTCGACCTTTAACTTCAAAATCTAATGGTTTTGCTCAGAAAATCAAGCTCTTAGGTCAAGGATGCTCTGTATTGTAGATGAATCATGCATGCTAATCATCAACCTTCCTAAAACTCATACAAACACATTCTGTTATGCGGTATGTTTATATCATATTCTCTTTAGTATATTTGATAAAGAATATTACTTTAGCATTTACTCAATCAGGAAGCCATGGAAGCACCTAAGTTCAAACCTGAAACTGTTTCTTTAAAGGCAAATTTACAAATTACAATGCAAGTAAACATCTCTTTGAGTAGTAAAAAAAAAAAAGAAAAGAAAAGAAAGGTAAAGCTTGAGTGAGATTACTCACACGTACTTAGCCAGCAAAACAGCACGATGATATCCAACAGTGACGTTAAACTTGGGAAAATAAACTCCTCTCCAAGCTCCTTTTTTCTTCCACTTCTTAGCCCCTGAATCAGCCCTCCTCAATATACAAACAAACGACACTAAGAAATTCTCATTCAACGAGTCCCCCACAAGCCCAATGTTCTTATTCCTCATCATCCTCAAGAACTTTTCCGGGTCGACCCGGAGCAGAGGGCAATCCTCCGGCACCCATGTCCAAGAATTGATTCGATCCATATGAGCCCTTTGATTTCTAAGGCAGTTCCATGCGTGCCTGTGAAAAGGGCAGGTCTCATCGTATAGGGGCTTCCGATTAGGATCAGTTACCCACTTTCCCTTGAAGAGATTACACGATTCCGGCGGCAAATATTCAACTTCAGCTTTTTCGACGGCTTCTTCTCTCGCGCGGGGTTCTTCTTCTTTAGAAGGAGTATAAAGGAGTGTGGTAGAGTAGATGAATAGAAGGATGAATGCAGCAGGCAAGATTAACCGGGCGAGTGTGGGAGCTAGCTTGGACGCCATTTTTTCAGTCACTTCATGATTCTTCTGCTCACGGATCTGTCTCTGCGCTTCTGATGGATCAGTGGAAGAAGGATTACTCAAAAGATACGGCGTCGTCTCAGCTTGTTATTTTGATTTTTGATGGTTTCAAAAAAAAAGAAGCTTATTTTGAAGTCTAATTTCTAGTATATTATTAAATAAATGAAATTAATGTATTCCCTTCCCTCCTGAACATAAAACATTATGATATGACCTACATGTTTATAAAGTTACTTAAATGGTTAAAATTATTGAATTAAGCATTTTTTTCATTTCAACATGTTTGATAACAAAAAATGAATCTCCTAACGAATTAAGTGGTGCTGAAACTGCAGTACAAAATATAAGCAATTAAAGTTAGTTTATTACTTATTCCTTAACTGTTTAATGAATTTAGTATTTCTAATTCAGTATTAAATATTCAGAATGAAGCATTAATTTTTGTCAAACAAGTACTCCCTCTGTCCCAAAATTATTGTCCAGTTTGATATTTCACTTTTAGTACAATTTGAACTAGAAATGAAAACTCAAACTGGAGAATAATTGTGGGATGGAGGGTGTATGTATTTTTAATTAAAAAAGAAAATGTTTAAAAATATATTTTCACATTAGTTGTGTTCTCTTAAACGTTAGAAAATATTTTTAAAATTTTTATCAATTAAAAATGTGTACTAGACAAATCGAAATAAGGACCGGACTATAAACTATTAAACTTGGTTCTTTAATCTAATAAAAATGATGATAAAAATATCTTGAAATATCGAATCAAACCTTACCATTTTGTTGGGAAGGAAAGAAAGGCTGTCCGTCATCCATGGAGGCGGCGGGAACAATGACGTCTGGGAAAAACCTAAGCCTTTTGCCTTCCGGTTATGCCAGTACCTTTCTCAGAGCAAACCCTAAAGTATCTAGTTCATTTCTGTTCCTCAAGCCTCAGTCTAGAAACAACAACGTTAGAATCTGTTCCAGTGGCCGGGTAAAATGCTCATACGATTACTTTGGGAGCAACAACAACAATAATACATCTAGTTTCAACAATTATGATGGATTTATGGGGAGTCAACAGTATCCTAAACCTACCGAAATTCAGTGGAAGAAAGAACTCTGTAACACCGTACAGCTTATCGGAATCGTGGCGACGCCTGTTCAAATTAAGCAGCTTAGCTCCGGGAAGGCACTTGCTTGGTCCCGCCTCGCCGTCAAGAAGTCCCAAACCGACACTATTTGGTAGGTTACATACTTCCAAAGATTTACCAATGTCCTGGAATGATTTTTTTTTTTTTAAAAAAAAAATCTAGTATCCATTATGTGATTGTTATTTGTTATTCTAGTTAAATTTGCATACTGCAATTCTTTGTATCTATTATTTGATTTTTTTTGGGGTTAAACTTTGCTCGTTATATGTATCTCAAGAATTGAGTACATCAACTCCTTTTGTACATATTTGAATCTAATTGTTCCTCAGAATTTACGCACTAAAATGGCTAAATTCGTTCCCCTGGTGCTACATTTGAAAGAAGGTCAGTTGCATTGCTTCTTTTAGGAACCTAATTTAGGATTCTCTAGTTAACAAATTGGCAATCTTGACAAGGGTAATCTCTAGTTATATTGCATTGCTTCTTTCACAGTGTCTAACTGGATTCGAAAACTGTTTCCTGTGATTGAATCTTCCTTCCCTTCCTCAAAAGTTAGCTAAAGATTCTGTGCCTAAAAGAAGTACCATAATGTGTTGTCAATATCTGTTTCAGGATAAATTTGACATTCTGGGATGAATTGGCACATGTTGCATCCCAGCATTTAGAGAAGGGCCAACAGATATATGTCTCAGGGCGCCTGGTGTCGGACACTGTTGAAAGTGATGACGGCAAGCAGCAGACATATTACAAGGTCTCTTGGCTTAACTTATAGTTTTTGTTCTTTGGGGATTTTATTTTCATACGCTAGCAAGTCTGGATGTTCTGTTCTAATTTTTGCGACCATTGGCAGGTAGTTGTTCAGCAACTAAATTTTGTTGAGAGAGGAGCTGCACCTGTGGCCTTGTACGATGGGGACTCTAGTGCTCCAACTTCAGGTACTTTATGAGTCCAAACCTGTAACCAAATTAACCATAAGGGTACCAGCACTTTTTAGGGGAAAAAGAATGATCAACTATATTGTACCATTTCTCTTGCTAACTGCAGGCTTTTGCAACTTTACACTGAATTCTTGCAGGCAGAAAACTAAATAGTAATGCGGCAAATAGTCCAGGATCTGTAGAGGAACTATGGCAGGCGTTTTTTGCTAATCCAGTAGAATGGTGGGACAACAGGAAAAACAAGGTAATCTTAGTTGTGAACAAGTTGCTTATTGCTGTTTGGCATCTTGCAAATTGTGATATCCTGATCAAAGCTTTTCTTCAACTTTAATGTGCATTTGTTAGCTTCTGCTTGAAATCTGACCAGTTATAACTATGTACTTGACAAATTCCAGATTCTATGTTTTCCTGAGGTCTAACATTGATGAAATTGATACAAGTCTAGTTCTTAAATTGTGTCGTAGCTGAAAATTAGAACTCTTGCAAGTGTGTTTTGTGAAATTCTTATTTCTTCGATCATTTATGTTATAGTTTCTTCCATGTGAGTGCCCGTTACATGCAGTCCAGTTCTGCAATCCCTACAAAAATGTATAATGATAAAGTTATGGTTTGCAGAGAAGTCCAAACTACCCAGACTTCAAGCACAAGGACACCGGTGAGGCTCTGTGGGTTCAAGGTCGGTACAATCCGCCTTGGGTGAAATCTCAACTTGCTATTTTGGATGCAAGGATGGAATCTTTCCATGAACAAAATGGGAGCAAGCAATTAAGCTATATGACTATTGATAATTTGTAGTGTTGAGACCTGATATGATCTTCATGAAGCAGTTTTCAACTTGCTCCACTCTGAGAGAAGTGTGAAACTGTGATCCTTTTTGTGGCAAGTCCTTTGTGGGGGAAGTATTTTCTGATGAATACAACCAATGTATTCAATATTTCCAATTGTTCGTCTTATGCATAGGATTTCAAAGTGTACTGTGCAAATTTAAATCCTCACACTCAAAATTGTATATTGCAATGAACCCAAAAGAAAATAAAAAAAGTGTATTTTTGTTGATGAAATGAAATGGTTGCAAAATGGAATGAAGGTTGCTCAATACATACATTAGACTAAATGATGCAAGGGCATACGTATCAATGCCAATCAAAACAAAACCCCATAAGACAAAATCAAGGAATAAATATCTTGAGAGAAGTATTGGTAATTTATGAAATTGTGAAGGTTCAACCTGTAGTTTTTACGAAATTGGAGGCGATTTCCCTTCTTTTGCCCTTTTTCTGGAAATAACCACTTTAATGCATTTTGCAAAAACAGGCAAATTTTATTCCTTTTTCTGGAAACAAGCACTTGGTATCAACAAAAATGCATTTTACAAAACCAGCAAATTTTCAAACAGTAAAGAAATCCGCAGATATCCTGATGATCTGATTAGATCGAATTGATTTATTTATTAAAAAAAAATTATAATAAATAAAAGAAAAAAAAGAAGAAGAAGAAGAAAAATTGTTCATTATAAATTACTATTGTGTCTGATAGTGGTGGTGCGAGTGGACCTCAATCTGCTGCAGTCGTGTATGACATTAACCGCCACCATCGCCATCAGCAATTCCACTTGTGGTGGCGGCGTCCTCTCAATAAGAACATCATCCACTCCCAATCCATCATCATTATTAATATCTTCGTTTTCCGATTCCACTTCCACGTCAGTTTGGTTCAGGTCCCCATCCACTCCTACTCCGATTACTACTAGATCGTCTGCTGCTCCAATCTCACTTCCCATTCGTCGCTCTCTTCTTCCATGCGGTAATTCCAGACAGCTTCCACAACTTTAGCTTCAAATCAGAGATTCTCTCGGTTTCTCCTGATGTCGTATTCTTGTATGATTTGATTATGACTCGTGATTCTTTATTTTTTTTTATTTTTTTATTTTTTTGCCAACTTTTTGAATTTATTACCTACCGGAACATAAACTTTTGGAAATGTAGACGGTATCAAAACGAAATTCGGTTCAAAAGCTGCTGATAATGCTTCATTATAACTACTGATTCTTTAAATTTTGGTGATGTTTTGAGAAAACGGCTGATTTAAGGTTTAAGCATCTTATTCTGGCATCGTCAGTGTAATGCCGCTACATGCTTTTGTTCATCCTCCATATAAAATGTAAAGTGTGAGAAATTCGACTCCGTTGCCGTTTTATGAAATACTTGAAAATCATATTTGTAATCGCTGATTTTCATTAATTTATTAGACAACTAAGCCGTGGATGGTGACGTTTGTGCCATGCTTTTCCAGTTGAGCTGCTCTTACTGACCTTACTAATTTTTTAGCATGTTAATTATCTCTTGAATATGTAGATCCGTTGTGTGTGCGTGTGTGTTTGCATCTTTATTTACATTAGAAATTTTGCATTTGGTATAATTATTCATCTTTGAAACACATAGGTTCTCATTTTGTCTCCCAAAGTTTTTACATATCTGCACAGGCTGCGTCTTATGGCTAATACTTCTCTCTATGGTGTTTAATTTCTAACAATTGATTGTTTCAGTGGCTGCCGCCATGGATAGTGGTGGAATCCCAAGCTTGTATCCGTTGCACCGGTGTAAAACTATTCACCTGGTTGGTAAAAACTTTCTTTGATATTCATTTTCGTCATACTTTCAAAGTGTCAAGTTATTGCCTCCTAGGTTTGAAGAACACTGAGATCTTCCGGCCTTATTATATATTGCAGGTGAGGCATGCTCAAGGAATCCATAATGTTGATGGAGATAAGAATTATAAAGCGTACATGTCTCCTGAGTATTTTGATGCTCACCTAACTCCACTTGGCTGGCAACAGGTGTTGGTAGAGCAAGCTTAGTTATAGATATTAAGAGGAAAATCTTCCTTGTTTTCTTGCTTCTGTTATCAATAGAAAGTACTTTTACAGAAATCTTGTGGTGTCATATATCCTACATCAGGTGGAAAACTTACGGAAGCATGTTCATGAAAGTCGGCTTCTGGATAGGATTGAACTTGTCGTTACATCTCCATTGTTGAGGTATGAGGTGACACATCCCTGGTGTATTTTCCAAAATTTATCTTCTTTTGCAATTACTTCATAGGTGTTGGCATTCTTGTAGCCTTGTTTTGCAGTTGGAAATTAGTGGCCGCACATTCCTTGAGATGCAAAACTGTTGAAGACAATATTCATTTTAGTTCTTGAAATATATGACTGCATTCCTTATACGAAGCTTGAAATCCAGGCCACCTAGATCCATATGGTCTACTATAATAGATATCAGCAGATATGATGTTTTCTCTTTATATATTTTTTGAAATTGTTATAATTTCCCACTTGTGGAAACCCTTTGGCTCTGTTGTGATTCACAAATTTTTAATACGACCATGGTATAGTTGTTGTCCAAATATTTTTCTGTTATTTTCCGTGTTAGTTGTTTCAGTAGAGCTCTCACCTGTTAAAGAAAACTTGCTCTGTAACTTTGCAAGTTCGTGACTTTGAATATAATCTATCTTTTTCAACAGGACTATGCAGACGGCCGTCGGGGTCTTTGGTGGTGATGGTTACACAGATGGAATGAATGTGCTACCTCTGATGGTGGCTAATGCGGGAAATAGTGACCGTGGTGCAATATCAAGTCTTAATAGTCCTCCTGTTGTTGCAGTAGAACTTTGTCGAGAGCATTTGGTAGGTTCTGGGTAAGATTTTTGTTCTGCACATTTTGATTGTGTGTAATCATTTCGAACTTTGCCAATGGGGTTTAAGAAAATTATTTTCTTTATCTACTTTAGTGGTTGAAAATCTTGTGACGTTTGAAGTAAATAGGAAAATTGCAAAAGACCGCTGCCTGAAGACAGAGCTCTTATGCTCTTACGCATTGGCTACTTTGTAATATAATGATCATAGAAACTTGGTGATACTCCAATAGTTTGGCTTCTTCTGAATTTGACACAGCTCTTAGCTTATTGCTGTTCTTCAACAATTGGCTGCCGATGAATTGCTAAGCTTATATAAGTTCCCTGTTGAGATGCACATTAGTGGTCATCTTTGAAACTAGCTCGTGTCATCGTTGAGTTATTTTTCATGGTCTCACATTAACGGTCGAGAATTCTTCCAGTCATCATTTCTTTTCCGTATCCTCAGTTTCTGGGTTTTAGTGGCATGCATTTGTCTCTAAATCTGGAGACACAATAAATGACTTAACTGGTTTTTTGGTGGTGTTGACACACGTGAGCTATAAACTTTCACTACATATCTCACATGGTGGGCGTTGATGCCTAAGTTTTGTTCCAATTGGCTGCCTGCAGGGTGTTCATCCATGTGATAAGAGGAGAAGTATTGGAGAGTATCAATGCCTCTTTCCGGCTGTTGATTTTTCGCTGGTCAGTTTCCTGTACCTATCATGGCAATTAATGAGATGATATCATTTAAATTCTTTCACCGGAAAGGTCATTTATTTCCTTTCTGCATATTGACTAGAATCTTTATTTTTCGGCCAGATAGAAAGTGATGAAGATACCTTGTGGAAACCCGACGTAAGGGAAACTACAGAAGAACTTGCTTCAAGGGGAATGAATTTCTTTAACTGGTAAACTGCCATATTTTTTAAGCAGTAGATCATTTAAGCATTGTTATTGAAACTAGACATGATCAGCTGGTTCGGCTGGTTTATCTGAAACATTTGGCTGTTGTGTTCAGATTTCATGCAAAAACTGGTCAGGAACTGGGTTTGACTAGACACACACAAAAAAATAAATAAATAAATAAATGAGGCTTCTTTTGATCACTTTTTATATGGTCGTCCTGGGTCTTTCAACATCTGAATTTATAGTTTGGCTTCTACAGTTTCTGCTTAAATATTTTGAACTTTTACTTGTGAAATTTTTAAATTTTAGAAACTATGTGTTGAATTGCTATTTGAAGGAATTGCAAAAATAAATAAATAAATAAAAAATAAACATTATGTTCGCTCAACATATATCTGTTCAGTCTAAAACTCATTGTGTCCTGATTACAAAGACTAACTTCCCGTTGATGTATTTGAACTATACTTTGGCAATTTGTAATTAATGTGCGAGATATGAAGAAAAATTTTGTTGTTAATATATTTTTTAATACGTAAAAGATGACTGTTGTTTCGACATTTTACCATTGTTGATCCCCCCCTCCCCCAAACAAAGTAGCCAGCTGTATTTCAGTCCAGTTATGATACCCTCCTTTGTATGTGATGCAGCACTTCTTCCATCTTGAGTTACTGTACTGCTCCGAGCAAAGCTGATCAGTCATTAAAAATGAATTTACTGCGCAAAGATTGACCATTTTTCCTGTTTGGCTCCCTTTTTGAGTAGATTTTCGTATCACTGGGAACTAAAGCGTTTTTACTAACTGTAAATAGTTGGCTTTTTCTGTTAATTCATCTTGGCGACAGCACTAATCAGTTTCTGCTACTGATGAGTGTTAACTTTGTATGTGATGTGCATGTAGTTTGGCTATGCACTAAAGCTGGTGAATTTTCCAGTTTCACCTATTTTATTTTTTGTTGCTTCCATGAGAAATGGTAGTTAGTTGTCTATTTTTCCAAAGCACCCTTCTCAAAGCATTTTTTATCCGTATAGGTTGTTGACTCGAAAGGAGAAAGAGATTGCTGTTGTCACTCATAGTGGGTTCTTGTTTCACACATTGACTGCATTGGGTAATGACTGTCACCCTCTGGTGAAGAAAGAAGTCTCAAAGCAGTAAGCTCTGATTCGACTAGAATCTCTCATTGGTTGTTAATCACTGTATCCCCATAACTCTAGTGCCATTTCAGATTATGTCTGGGCTCTTCTTTCGTTTTAATTGAATAGAAGAAGTTAATATACTTGTGGGGTAGCTATAGGAACATAGCAGATTTTAAACTTTCAGGGTGACTATATCACCTAGAATCTTTCCAGTTACAAGTTTTTCATAACTCACAAGTTTCACACTTTTAATGGACAAAGAGTAGGCAATTTATGCAAGGAGACAGGATTAAACTCTAACTAAGAAATAGAGATACATTTGAGTGTTTTCATGATAGAATATTTTTGTCTTCCGCAATATATTGATTATCTACATTAACCAGGCAATTTATTGCTTGTCGTTAGCAAGTTCTGTCTTTCTAAATGATGAAACTTGGTAATATTAACCGTGTTACCTGTGTAATAGAAAATTTTGGAAATTACTTTATTTGATTGAGTGGATGGGATACTTACTTGCTTATTGTTTTACAGTTTCGGTAACTGTGAGCTTCGCTCAATGGTCCTTGTGGATAAAAGGTAACTTCTGTTATATGTGCCTGAGCCATTAATAGTATTTTGGGTTAGTTTAGAGACTCTTCGTCTAAGAATTTCCTGTTTTACCAGCATGATTGGATCAGACATCTCAATAACCAACTATACTGGGAAAATTCCTTCTGGACCCGACTTACCTAGCGATGTAGCAGATAAGAAAGTTCAAGAAAATGGAGACACTAAATGAAAGATGTCCCATCTAGTGGCTTGAGGTGCACTTAATTTTGGTTCATGGTATAATTGGCTTTTTCTCTTGTTTAAAAACATAACTCAATGGATCTCTGATATTCACTTGAAAGTGATTGCATTGTGTCATAATTTACTTCTTTAGGGGTTCTGGATCTTTGATATTCATAACGAAGTTGTCTCTTTGGCAGAATTCTTACTCAAGGAGGTAGCAGATTCTAGGACTCCAACCCAGATTGCTGTTGTTACGTTTTAATTAGTTCAAGCATGAACCGATCTATGTTATCTGTTAAGCGCCAATGAATTCATGGCCTAGTCTTATGCATGTTAGTTGTCTAAAAGGCCCTCTAAATTTCATTTTTGAGGATTGTCAATGCCGTATGAATTAAACTATTTGTGATTTGCATTTTGGGAAGTGAAGGGAGTCTGCATCTAAAGAAAGAACTGAATTGTCCCAGATTTGTCACTCTTAAAAGTGCAAGAAATTATGTCACATTCGCCAATTCAATAATTTCATTACAGACTTGCCACTGTTAACAATACCAATCCATCTAGTAAATCAACTGCAGAATCGTGTAACCCTTTCACCCTTTCAAAAAACGGAACTGAAGATACTACTTATTGCTCTCGTGATTTTGCACCAGAGTGGTATCTTCAAACAAGCCAGAACTGAACCTTCAATTGTTTCCTTTAAGCAAGTCATAAAATTGGACTGGTTTTTTCTTCGTGTCGGGAAAAATTCCCTACAAGTCAAAAATACATAGGTTAGAAACCAACTTTTGAGAAAAATTACAGCGTCCTACAGGAATTCTTAATTGCCCGAAATATGATATCGTTCATGTTAGTGAACAACACGAAAATGTACCTCTATAGTGGCAGCTAAACGTAATATGGTGGCCTCAGCCCATGGGCGGCCAATTAGCTGTATGCCTATTGGGAGTCCTTGCTTATCATAACCAACCTGAGATCAATTATTTAAAGCAGATAATGAAATGGATGTATAAAGCTCAAAAATCAACTCAAAAGTTGAGTCTTACCTTCTCATTTTCTTATCCCTAAGAACAGCCTTACAGAATTTTCCTACATTCTAATGTATAATATCTTCATCTTTCACATTCTAAAATGTTTTTATACACATTTTTATAATTGGCTGAGAATTTGGAGACAACCAAAAAATCATACTTCTGCTAGTTAGTGAGACCAGAAATATCGAAATAGTCTTACAAAATTACCATTTTCAGAATTGTTTGGCACAAAATAAATTAATGTTGATTAGAAAAATTTGTAATGACTAACGATTAAATTAGTTATTATGTCGGAGTAAGGTACGAGGTCCATAATTTACTTGACAAAATAATTGAGAGTAGAGTATAGAAAAATGCAGAATGAAGATGGATAGGAGACATGATGTAGTCTAAACCTTGCACTGTAATTTTCATGAAGGGAGAATATATAAAGCACTTACAGGGACAGAAATTGCAGGCAAACCGAGAAGATTTCCAGCCACAATAAATCGCATAAGGTTTCCTGTAAGAAGAATGGCAGCGTGACAATTGGAGTTATTAGCTGACTAGAGTTAATCGTAGCTTTCTCTTAGCTATTCGAGCTCCCCAAAGAGTTTCATAGGGAAAAAACAGAATTCGGAACTTAGTCAACAAACCTGAGACTTGTAGATCTGTCTCTCCACATTTAAGAGCACTTTGAGGTATTGGAGGTGCTGTCATACTGGCAAGAGAAATGGTCAACATTCAAGAGAGATGTAGATCATTCATTATGTGAAGACCCAAATATGCGGAAAAGGAAAGCAATATCACTTGGCTGCAAACGAAGTAGTAAATAGAAACTATAGAACGGCATTTATATCAAGTAATTGCTGCATACCCTGTTGTGGGAGTTACAATTATATCCACCTGCTTGAAAGCTTCCATATGGTAGTGCATTATCCTCCGTCTACATTGCAGTCAATAAGGTGAAAACAGAAATAGTTAATAAAATTATTTCTGCAAAAGTATATGCACATTCACAATGTCAATCAATTTCATACAATTGTAACTTGGAGATAACAGAGTCTTGATGGCACATCTATTGACATAACGCATGGAGCAACATGCAAATGATACCCAGTGACCACAAAATAATGTAAAGGTTGTTTGTAGATTATTAGATGGAAACAATTAAGGGATAAATGCAAAGTCATTGGAGAAAAAAACTCACGATAGAAATAAGAATCTGGAAAGAGTTCTTAGTTTTTCTCTGTTAGTATTCTCAATTGAGCTCATTGACAAAGGATGAGCATGTTATGGAGGATAAATTGAATGACTTAATATCTCAATTGAGTCCATTGACAAGGATGGGCATGTTGTGGAGGATAGAATGACTGACTAAGGACAAATAATACTCCCTCTATAACAGAAAATAGTCCACATTCAGTTTTCAGATTTGTACTAAAAATGGTATAAATCTCAAAACTCAATGTGGACTATTATTTTGGGACAGAAGGAGGAGTATAATGAAATGAATTATGTTGTCACCTTAGGCATTGAGCAGCAACATAATCTGCTGCTGTGAAAGATCTAAATAGCGAAAGATTTGTACGCACATCATAAGAGAAGTACTTCCCTTTTCTGCAAGAAGAATGGAATTGAGTGAATAATGAATCCAAAGCATCTTAAACACAAGAAAATTATGAAATTAGAAAATCAAACATCCTCCAAATATTGCATTCGATTTCTTAAAAGAGTGAATTCACAAGCTCCCTAAATAAGAGACAAACCCGCTCTCAAAATCAGGATTCAAAGTGGCAAGTGCTTCAGAACCTATTGACACAATATGAGCAGTGCGCATCTCATGCAATTCTGGAAGAATAATCTCTTTCAGCTGAAACATCAAAATGAAGTTAGAGACAGGATGGTTCAACAAGAACCTCAGATCAGATTTCCTGAGATTCCCACAGCATGCTTGCAGTATTTTTAAAACTCATGAACAAGCAGTAATAATTGCCTTACTTGGCACCCATATTTTTCCGACAGTAGGCGAAGAATTTCTTCACATTTGGTAGATATATCGGTTGAGAAAACATCATTAAACCACTGCAAAACAAAATTAAACACAAAGGTTAAAATCCCATGGAAGAACAAGATGTCAGCCAAAGCAGGGAAACAATAAAGAAGAATTCAACTACCTCAGTATATTTCCCTAACCGTAATGATTCAACAGAACTCCGACCTTCTTGAGAAGAAAGATCTGGTATGCACGGTGGAGACTGCAAAAATGACCCAGGAAAAGGATCGAGTCAAATGGATAACTGAAAAGTAACAGTGTTATGATAACATTTCTCCTTGCTCTCCCATGAACATCTAAATCAACAAGCTACAAATTCTCGGAGAAAACAGAAATAATATAAACTGACGTCCCCATTGCATCTACATCAGCGGCAATGCATCAGTTACAGTGAAGTGAAGTTGAACTAAAAACCTATTGATATATGTTCCCAGCACAAAACAAAAAAGCCATTGGCTGCCGGAATGGAAATTTGGTGTTTGATAAAATTGTTCATAAGACAATTTCAAAGCTAAAACTTGAGTATTAAGTTAGATATGTGGCCATATTTAACTCCATCCAGTTGTATTCAAGCTCAGAAGAATGACAAGCCTAACAAGAATAACAGACAAGCTAAAATTGAAAACAGTATTTCCAAGGAGATTGATGAACATGAACTAGTAAGGAATAAAAGTTTGGTGTCTACCGGGTTCAAACTGAATCTCCCAGTTGGAGAGGATCCCAAAATTGCTGCATACCTGAGAAATAGTAAAGGAACACAAGCAAATTAAAACACAGGAAAGTCTAAATAACACAGATAATCTAGTCAGCCTTATAAAATCATGGAAATCTAGACTTATTTAACTAATGCACGCACATTGACCACTTACACAAGTAGTGTATCCTCAACTGTGGATGCAATAGGACCGATGATCTCTACTGTCCCTGCATCACATAACGACCTGAAACCAATAAACTGAAATGTGACAAAGATACATCCATTTAGTTGAATTATCTGTTACACATTTAATCATCAAATTGCATAGATTCTGTGTTTTTTCTCCCCAAAAAGAAAATGAAATTAGAGGAAAATCTTTTGCATGTAATCAAATAGCAATTTACCAGAGGCCCTTATAATTGCAATAGGCCAGCAATAAATGACATATCAAGCAGAGAAGTGACTTAGAAAGACAATGAATCTTGATGAGTCAGAACTAACACAAAGAAAATTATTAGAATCTGCTCTGTATAAACATTAACAGACCGTATTTAACCAGTTGTATTTAACCAAAATTTTCTATTACACAGGTAACACGGTTAATTAGAGAAATCACATGATGTTGTATTTATTTCAGAAGCTTATCAGGTTAACCAGTCGTAGATAGAATAGAGTTTGCAGTTTAAGGAAAACCCAAACATCTCAAGTGGGTACATATAGGTCAAAAACCAGAATTATCCTTATTTTCCATCAGAAAAGAAAAAAGGAAAAGAAAAAAAAAGAGAAAGAAAGAAAGACAAAGGAACAGTTCCCCCGTTGATGAGCTTACCCGGTCATGTCAGTTCGTCCATATGTGGTCTTCAAGCCAACCACTCCACAAAGAGAAGACGGGATCCGTATTGAACCTGCATCTTGTAAAACCATGCAACATCAGGAAGAATAACTTAAAAGAGAAAACTGATTCACAGACCGACAATTAATACATCACCTCCTCCATCTGTTCCTAATGCTGCTGAACACAGTCCAGAGGCAACAATTGCTGCCGGTCCTGAAGATGATCCACCGGTATACCTATCCGGAGCATGCGGGTTCCTAGCCGTCCTGTCGAATGTAAAAAGTATGTCTCAACAAATCATCTTCCATCTTTCAACATATTTCCCAACATATAAACAAGACTTTTATTTATTGGTAGTGCAAGTAGCTTGAATTTTACGTATAAGTGCAAAAATGCATTATCTTACTGCAAGGATGGAAGTTGGGAGGTAAAGAGAGCATTCTAAACTCATACCATCAAAAGAAGTGATCAACTTTGTAAGGATTAGATCGATTTTCAAGTGAAAAAAACATCACAAGGTTTGAGATGATGCCGAAGCTAACGTATCAATTTGGCAAATATATATAGAGGTATTTAAATCTCCAAATTTTTAATGGCCTCAGTAATCAATAATAGATGTTTGTATGTTGACAATGCAGGCTACCTATGGTAATCATCTAAAATTAGCCAAATCAAAATAACGCATACAGACAACCTTAAATACAGAAAAGGAAAACAAACACACACCAAGGGAACACAGCACTGGCTACTTGTACCCATATAAGGTTTGATGTTATACTCCAAACACAAATTCAGTTTTGAATATCTCATAATTAGCTTCAGGATAACTATCTTTTTCTTGGAATTGCATTTCAATTTGAACACTGAAAACCATGTCTACTCTCATCCGTTGGGTTTAAACTTAAAAAAAGGCCTTTTAAACATTGAAGTTTGAGTATTGGGATTCTGCAAATCTTACCCGTGGTTTGGATTATTTCCAGTTGTTCCCATGCCAAATTCATGCATATTGGCCTTTCCAACTAAAATCACACCACAGCAACGTAATCTAGATACAGAAACTGCATCCTTCTTCACCTCGTGCACCTCGTGATACCACGTTGTGCCACCTTATTTCACATGTACCATCTGAATATGTTAATGGCCAAAGGAGAGAAATCAGAAAACAGAAATGCCAAATCAATACCATTCGACGGATGAGGGTAGCAGTCAATGTCATCCTTAATAGCCATAAAAGTTCCATCCAAGACTGATAGTGGTTTTCCTGCACCACCAACATTTGATCACAGAATATAGATGTTCAAATGTTTAGAATAAGGTTCCATGGAACAAACATAACATATTAATACATTACAACCAAAATCAAAATATGACAATACCTTCCTCAAACCTTCTTGTTGAATCTGCAGCTTGCTTTCTTACATCGTCGGGGTCATAGGAAATCAATAACGGTGTTGGAGGCTTTTTATTATTGAACTCCTCCATTGCTGCAATGAAGCGCTCAGCTACCTGCCAAAAAAAAAAAGAATGTGATATACATTTCAGAATGGAAATATGCAACTCTACAGAATAGAAACTAACAAAGAAAATGACATACTATGGAAGGCGTTACAAGTTTTGATCTGTAGGCATAAGCATAATCGCGTATCTTCCAGTAACGGAAAGTCCCATTGGAATCAGTAATCCATGTCTTTGCTGGATCATAATACGGAAGACACTGCAATGCTAATTCAACTCGATCTTCTGGTTTTCCATCTTCTTCCATAGCAGTAACGAGAGATTCTGGTTCTGAAGTTAGAGATTCGTGTTATGCTAAAATACTACTTCAGTAGCTTAAATAGAATAGAAGAATGTGCGAACAATCTCAAATTTAAAGGAAAAGCAAAACAGTTTTGCAGTACAAATAGCTTAAATAGCATATAAGAATGTATGAACAATCTTAAATACAAAGGGGAAGCAAAACAATTTTGCAGCACAAAACATTCTACTTTCCAAAAACAAATTTATTTTCCCGTTCGCCTTTCCCATCCCATGGCACAGATGAGATAATGTCAAATTGGAGCACTGGAAGGAGGAATTAAAATTGAGATGTTTTACCACAGGTATAGTTGAACTGCACAGAAGGATTAACATAGTGAAGCAATTGAGTGAATGCAAAAATTAACATGCATGAATCAGCGGCACGTTAAAAGTAGAAAATATTGAATACTTGGGAAGTCCATAGAGACGTTATGCGTAGAATTTAATGAGGGGTGAAACAAGAGGAGAGTATGACTCTAAACTCTCTAATCATCAAGTGCTAGTGAAATTGGGAGGAAAACTCTTTGAAACGGCAACAATACTAGGACCGTTATCAATCAGATTGTTGGTTACTAAGGTATATAGAAGCATGAATAAAATTATCCAGCAAAGAAAGACCTTGGTCTCAGAAAGATACAGATAAGAAGAGCATGGTACATCAGAGCGAAACAAAATCTGTCATTTGTGAGAACTTATTGGAGAAATATTGACATATGTAGTAGTGTGACAAATGCTTCTGCGAGGTAAACTTAGTTGTTTTTAGTCTTTCCATCACGGCTTTTGGATTACATTAGTACTTTGAACCAAATACAGCAGATTACATTGAGAGAAACAGACTACATTTCAACACGAATGAGACCGTGGGATGCCACTTTTTTTCTTTCCAATATTTTGGGGGTATTCCCACGTACAGCCACTGAGGTGGAGGATTCACTGTATCCATCAGGATGATTGCATCACAAAATATTCCAACTTTCGGTTCAGCTACTGTACTAACATGAATGGAGTGAATAAAGGATAATATACTAGTATCTTATTATTATTATTCAGAGATATAGAAAATCATTCTCCCTTCTATTTGGAGCCGAAGTAATGAGCTCAAATGAACATATATGCATGACAGATAGGGAACACGAAAATTATTAATTTCGGTATACTACACTAAGGGACATAATGATATTATTACAACAAGATTAGGACAAACCTTGTGGAGGAAACTCGGGTTTAAACATTGGAGCCTCTGGTATCACGGTATTTTTCAACATCTGTTAAACCATTTTTCAAGGAAAGGCAATTAATATATACATAAACCAATTCATTTTTATAAATATGGCTAATCAGTAGTACTTCAAACACTAGAAAACACAGACCTCAACCATTCTATTTTCGTTCTTCAAGTAAGTGGTAATCATAGGACCGATAAGCGGCGCTTCAATTAACTTCACAAATAATTTCATCGAAGTCCCAGTCAAATGCGGAGCTGCATTTAACAAAAGTTCGAGCTCACAATCTAGATCAAAATTACACTTCAAATAAACGAAAAACATAAAACACACACAGAATGAGAAAGCTGGAAGGAAGGAAACCTTGAATCTTCTCCGGCTCATATTTCACAGCAGTCAAGTCAAGTTCAGTAGCCGGCACCATAACTCGCTTCTTCCCCATATTCCTCCGAGACAATTAAACACCGCTACACTACATCCATAACATCCGACGATCAGAATATGTAATTTATCAAAAATGATTACCTGAATCGGTGTTCTGTTCTTCGCAACTAAAATTCTTCGCTAGAATTACCTTCGATCTCCAGAAGATAAGCAACAGCGAAGTCCGTTCGCGTGAGAATTTCCGTCACCGGAGTAAATTAAGTAGTAATTAATAGACTATGAAAGAGCACGGCGGAGCAAAATATAGCAAAAAAAGGCTGACGGAAGCATTCACACATTCGTGGAGAAAATTCGCAATAATGAGAGCAGTTGAGAGTTGATAAGGCGGATGCTGAGGTAGGTGGAAACTAGAGAGAGAGAGGAGAAACGGAAGAGGTCAACAAAATGAGATTACAGTACTGCGGGACAGAGAGTACAGAGATGACGTGAATGAGACAACAAACGCCAGCGCCATTGAAGAGGAGCAGATTTGGGATTTTTGGTTTGGAATTTCTGCTCTGTGCTACGGCTATGGAGTTTTCGATGATGGATTCTTTCATGTCGCTTTCTGAATTTAGTACTACTTCTTCTTCTCTCGTTTCTACTACTGCTACTATTCCCAACTCCCATCCGTCCAACAGAAAATTACTCATACGCTGGAGTTGGGAGTCACGTCGAGCTGGGCGACTTTCTCGACGAAGGTGTTTGTGAACTTTTAAATTCAATACTATAATTGTTTGGGCTTTAGCTAATTAAAATGTGATAATTGGGCTTTTATTTACTAAAGTTTAGTTAGTCAGTCGGTTTAATTTAAGAAAGTGCTCCTGCTATAGTTGGTTGCAGCCTGCAGGGTAAAAGTGCTCCTGCTTCATATGTTTTAACTATATTTCACTATATAGTTGACGACATCTATTTGTTAAATTATTATTTTTTAACTTGTAAATTCTTGTTTCTTAGGAAACAATGGAACACTTCTATCATCTATTGTCAAACACTAGACAAATAATTAATGAATTTAGAAGTTTTTGTTGGGACAGATAGAATATTTGTTAATATTGCTGACAGAGCAACGAAAACCAATGTGAACGAAATAGACAAAAATCTAATTTTGTAAAAAAATATAAAAAGTAAATTATTTTGCTGCTCTGCATAGTAGAAATCGCTATGGTAATATCGCAAAACGCAAAGTATTCTAAAATCATTTGAGTATCAAATTTTATAAGTGAGGAATTGAACTTAATACGGAAAGGTAAATATCAAGCGAAATTCAATCACATCTTCCCTAAAGTTTGCCAATTCTGGCTTAATTATTTTAAAGTTTGCCAAAAATCTGAGCAATAAATTATGGAGGAAATATTTTCCAGATTTCTCGCCAAAAGAAAAACAAACAATTAAAAATATTGTAAAATAAGAAAGAGAGAATAGGAATCCGTATATTTGCTCATTAATGATTGTTTTCAAAAGTAGCGTTCTAACCACAACAATGAAGAAATATCCTACTACTAGTATAAAATCCTAGACCAAATATAATTTATTCTTCCTCGTTATTTATGGTATCAAATCAGCAATAAAAATCTCTTCATCAAAATTATAATATGTAAATATGCAAAAAAAAAAAAGAAAAAAAGAAAATGAAATGTAAAACGTAAAAAATAATAACGCATTTATAGCAAGCAATAAAATTTCAGAGACTGTCACCAAAGACGTTATTTGTGTATTGGACACACAAATTCTGCGATTCCTAAAATTGCAAAGATGAACCTGATCAGTACATCTTTTTCTCTGTTCATGATTTCCTTTGTAATCTTGTTGTCCACGTCGTGCCGTTCTGCTAGTGCAAGCATAGTAAGTGAAGTTTGCAAGAACACAACAGATCCAAAGTTTTGCACTGAAACGCTCAACGCAGATCCTCGGAGCAAGACTGCAGATAAAAAAGGTCTCGTGCGTATTATTACCGACAAGGGATTAGCAAAAGGTAAAGAGGATTTCGATCTCATCAATAAATTACTTAAAGAGGCCAGGGATCCTGCACTCAAACCTTTATTGGAACATTGTAATTTTTGTTACGATTTACTATCCAATAGGGATTTTTATGATGTCATTGATGCCTTGAACAATAACGATTTCGTTAGTGCATCGATTATGACCACTTCTGCCATGGATAATGCTGTTGATTGTGAAGATGGCTTCAATGGAGCAGGGGTCAAATCTCCATTGAAATCTCAGAACAAATACATGGAGGATTTGTGTTTCTTATCCATCGAAATTTTAGATAAAATGATTAAAATTAAAGTGTAATTTTTAGACTTTATTAGGCAATTTTTCTGATATGCATTCTTGAGGAGGTCGGTTTTGTTTTCAAGTTTATTGAAATTCTGCTCATTACAAAGAATAAAAAATTCTCGGTTGGATCGGGATTCACCTCCTTTATTTTTTGCATTATGGTCCTTAATACACTTTTTCTCTCCCTCCCAAGTAATTTTATATTGTTTACACTTTTAACTATTACAGCAAATATTAAAAGTGTTATTTCTAGATTATATATCTATATATATATATATATATATATACTAGTGATGTCTGGTCGTGCAATCCGCGACTCTGGCCCAGTCTATCTGTAAATCTTACAAATGTTTATATTTGAAAAAAAATAAAATTTTGTATTTGGAGCGATATATTTTAGAAATGTTTGAAGGATTTAGAAATGTTTTATAAGTGTGATCATAGAAATAATTGTATTTCACAGAAAAAAAAAAAAAAAGAAATTGTATTTCGCCATGTAAGTTATAGAAATATTTTATAAGTGTTACTTATTAAATATAAATAGCCTTAATCGAATATATGTATTGAAGTAAATGTTAGATAAAATATAAAAGCATCCTAATAAATTTAAATATTAGTAAGATGATTTATTGATGTTCGGTCGTGCCAAATCAATACTTAGTTTTGGAGATTTTTAATAGCTTTGTAATAAGCTTCATCCGCAGGGTATACGCTTAAAACAAAATTGACACTTTGTAATAAAAACCTAATTGATCAATTTAACTTAAAAAACTACTCTAAATGAATGAAACATAAAGAAAAAAATTTAAAAAAAAAAACGTGTCACGTAAAGTGCAAAGGGAGATTTAGTAATTTAGTTATGGTTTAGACAAAAGGGCAATTTAGTACTTTTTATATGCCACGTGGCAATCATATGAAGTGTTTGAAAGAGAGGTTTTTGTTTCTAATATAATAGGATATAGATATACCACGACACATTATAGTAGTGAATGCTGTCGAGTACTGTTTTGAATTTCGGACGTTTCCAAAAGAACAAAATAAACCATGCCTGGAAAAACAAAATTGCTAACGTACTAAGGAAAGCCGATACTTCAAAACTCATGGATCATACTATATTTATAGTAATGACAGAATAATTTGTAGAGTTTGGTAATCCTTCCCACTTATTTATTTTGGCTAAATGTTTTTACATGTAATTTATCAATTTTTGTAGTCCCTTGTTTAATTTGATCAAAAGGATTTATTTTTTCCTATTTTTTTCATTATTACTCATTATCTTTAATAATATCGTGTGAAGATAAAAGTATTTTAACTTTCAGGCTATTTATTTATTTAATTATTCATATGCTCTCTGGGATTGAATTCGTTTTCAAGTAAGAAATTGAAATTCCGTTCGGTACAAAGAGATGAAGAATACAAAATTTGTCATTTTCGACCCTTGTCCGTACCATGCAATATTCGTATAAACTATGTTTAGAAGATTTTTTGAGTATGTTTTTTTGTATTGAGAATGTAAAAAGGTATATTAGAAATGTAAAAAAGTATAGTGGAATGAGATAGATATTAATTTAAAATTCAAAAACAATTAACCAAAAAAGAACCAAACATAGCAAGTTTGCTTAAACAGTTAGGTATTAGGCTTGGTAGTTGCTTATTTTGGAACTTTCCTTGCGCCAAAGACAATGCGATTCATACCACTTCCAGAAAATTGAACACATTTCGGTTTTACCACTACAGTCAATTACCATTTACCAAATTTGATCTCATTCAAGGGACTTCACACTAAAATTTATAGCTCTATAACGAATCTGGGGATGAAAATGAGTAATAATTGTTGTAGCAAAAATTTGTAGGGAAAATATACTTAGAATGAGTCATAATCCTCTATTTTTAAATATTACATTTACAAGTTTATATAATAATGAGTTAATGGATAGTTAAAATTCAGACAAATCATTCTTTATCAAAATTTCGCTACACGTGTCAACACTTATATTAATATAATAGATAAATACTATCACACATACGAGATTAAGGCAAATTATTGGGTGCACCCGAGAGCATGGTGCACTCCTTTCTATTTTTTGCATTACTAGTCCTTATTACTTTTTTTTTCTCTTTTAAATAATTTCTTAAATTTTACAAGTTTAGTCACTGTCACTTTTTTCTCTATCCTATAAAAAACATCTCTAATATTTAAACGAGCGTAACTCTCAATCCGTGAAGAATTAGAATATGTGTTGTTACACATGAAATTTATTGTTTTCTTCAAGATTTATCTAACAAGATCCATATCGAATATTTTTTTCGAACTTAAAAATGACTAAATTTTGATAGGCAAAAATAAAGAAATTTGTATGTTCATCCGGATGGATATCCAGTTTAAGAAAATGGATAACCAAATTATTTTAGATTGATATTCTCGTGTTATTTATATCTTTTGATTCGTAAAGAATTAGAAAACGAATTATATACGACACTTATAGTACTCAACGAAATCTATCCGATAAAATCAATATTGAAATTTTTTTTGAACTTAAAAAGAATTAAATTTATGGGCAGAATTGAAGGAATTTTTTTTTTTTCTGAAAATGCTTATCCATTGTGTTCGTACTGATTATCTAACCGGTTTAAACTAATTATCCATTTTGTTTGTACTGGTTATCTAATTTTTTTTTAAAAAAAAATCATTGTTCAAAATGTTCCTATCGATTATCCACTTTGTTCACGCTGATTATCCAACCAGTTTGAACTGATTATCCATTTGTTTTATACTGGTTATCCAATTTTTTTTTAAATGGTTGTCCAATTTGTTCATGGGATTATCCAACGGCTGTGGAAGAGAAAAAATGGCCGGATAAGCAGTACCATTCAGATGAATAATCACTATTAACGCATTGGACGGCCACTTTTACAAAATAAACGATTGGATAAGTAGTACAAATAATTTGGATAATCAGTGAAAATAATTGGATAAGCAGTGTAAGTTGGTTGGATAATCAGTTACAAAAAAAATTGGACAATCATTTTCATAAAAAGAAAAGCAAGGAAAAAAAAAGTTAGATAACCATCACCAAGAAATTGGATAATAAATATGAAAACATTAGACATATATTTTCTCAAAAATATTAGTAAAAACGACTGGATAACCAATACAAAATGCTTGGATAGTCACTACCAATATAAAAAATGGACAAGGATTTCGCAAAAAATAAAGAAAAAATTGGTTGGATAATCTATACCAAGCTGTAGGATAGTCACTACGAACACGTTGGAAAACTATTTTTTAAAAAAAAAAAAAAAAAGAAAGAAAAACTATGTTGGATAAGCAGTATTAATAATTAGTTGGATAATCAATAAAAACATGTTAGACAAGTATTTTCATAAAAATATTGACTTCTGTCTTTAAAATCAATGTTTCTACTGAGAACTATCCTATGCAACACCCAACCCCAACTGTTCGAAGTTCCTCTACTGTTCTAAAATAGCTGGAGAAGCAAAAGCAAGGAGTTGGATAATCAGTATGAACACATTGAACAAGCATTTTCTCTAGAGAAAAAAAAAGAAGAAAAAATAATTGGACAAGCAGTACAAACTTATTTGGACAAACGGTAAAAAATAATTAAATAACCAATATAGGACCATTGGATAATCAGTATAAACGAACTGGACAAGTATTTTCATAAAAAAGAGAAGAAAAAAATGGTTGGATAAACAGTACCAATTAGTCGGATACCAGTGCGAACATGTTGGACAAATATTTTCTCGAAAGAAGAAAAAAAAAAGAGTGGACAAGTAATAAAAAACTTATTTGGACAGACATGTTATTTCTGGGAGACATTAACACACTTTTAGAATTTTTTTTTTTCGCTTTCCCTTGTTACAATATTAATGAAAATAATTGTCCAGTTCTTGTATACTCGTTATCCAATAACTTTGTACAAATTATCTAATTTCTTTATGTTAGCTATCCAGTAATATTATTTCTAATCATAGTGACTATCCAACTATGATTACGTATTCATATCTTTTTTGTAATGTCTCTCCATCCCCATAATTTCCCCACATGTAAACGCAAACATAACATTTTTCTTATTTCCTTTTTTCATGAAAATCCTACTCCATATTGGATAATCATTTTCTCAATAGAAAAAAAAAAACTGATTGGACAAGCAGTACAAATTATTTGGACAAGTGGTAAAAAATAATTGGATAACCAATACAAAGAGATTGAATAATCACTATAAACACATTGGATAACCATGTTTCAAAGAAAAAAAATGATTGGATAAGCAGCATAAACAAAATGGATAACTAGTATTAGCATATTGGACAATGATTTTTTCCAAACAATAAAAATAATTGGATAACCAGTACAAACAATTTGGATAGACATATAAATTCGTTGGATAACCAGTACACATAACTTGGATAGGTATACAAACCAAATGGATATCCAGTTCAAACAAGTTGGATATCCAATACAAACAAGTTAGATATGCATACAAATCCGTTGTATTATAATTGCAAAACAAGTTAGATATGCATACAAACCAAATGGATAAGCAGTACAAACAAAATAGATAGTCAGTTCAAACCGGTTGGACAATCAGAATGAACACAATGGATAACTAATCTAAAATAAGTTGGTTATCCATTTTTCTAAATTACATATCCATACAAATTTTTTTATTTCTGTCCATCAAAATTTAATCATTTTTAAGTTCGAAAAAAAATTCGATATGGATCTCGTTGGATAGATCTCGACGAATACAAAAATTTCATGAGTAATACATTTTCTAATTCTTCACGGCTTTAGCGATGCGCTCGTTTGAAGATTAGAGATGTTTTTTGTAGGAGAGAGAAAAAAGTAACAAGGACTAAATCTGTAAAATATTAAAAGATTAAAGAAAAGTACAATAAGAACTCCTAATGCGAAAAATATGAAGAATATACCATGCTGCAGGGTATACTGGATACTCGAGATTAAAACTATAATAATCAAATTATATCCCATGAATTGAAGCGCTTCAGAAAGAGAAAAAAAAAAGTGTTGCACGAACTCAAAATTAAGTGTTTATAGTTACATTAATCATTAACAAAAAAAAAAATCATAATAATGGACTGTGACCTTTATATCACGTCTTCCAGTTTTTCAAATGACACCATGTTTGAATTATTTTTTC